AACTCCAAACAAAAAGAAAAACTTTGAAAAACCCAGGAACATCTACGCAAGCAAATTACCAGAGAAACTGTCAAAACAAGAAACACTGAGAAACATTCATACATGATACCTACCACCAGTCTAAAACACCAAGCTTCGATCTTTGTTGACTCTTTTGAGAAATAAACAGAAACTGCATTTATATCTATGACACAAGACAATTCAAAGTTTGGAATGGAGGGCGGAGGCAGTATGTACCTGTAGTAGAAAACTAAATTTTCAAAAAGATCAAACCTTTATTATCTTAGGAGAGTAGGTGACATCAAACAAGCAAGCCTACCCCACAACAAGTGCATTTTGTATTTGCTAGTAAATTCAAAGGCAACTGAGCCGTGAGACAAAATGCTTATCCCGGACATAGACCTTCATTCTTGGTTCTATGTACAAATTTTATTTTATTTTATTTTCTATGCAGACTTTGACATAAAAATAATCATAAGTTGCGTGATAGATTAATATTATTATTATAAAGGATCAGTTTGTATAATTCTTTTGTTGTTTAATGTTCATAGTAGAATTCGTGTAGTCATCTAATGATCCAAAAGACTGCTTACCTTTGGCTTTTCTAACAAGTCTTGTCTAAGTGTACAATGTAATCTTTTCATTTGGGTAACAGATGATTAATTGATCGTTACTGTATTGGCTTAAGAGTAGAGCACCCACCTTCGAATTCAATGAATCAATTTGTCTTTTTCAATTTTCAAGAACGATTTACAATTATGCATGTGCATGACCATTGTATGGAGTAAATTCTAAATTAGTTCCTCTATTTAAAAAAAAAAAAGAATTGATTAGTCATTTAAGTTTTAAAAACTAATTATTAATCCAGTAATCAATCCCAATCATGTTTGATTTAATATTATTTTATTTTATAAAATATTATTTTTTTATCAATCCTTCCACATTTTTTTTAGATCTTAAAATAAAAAAATAAATTAAATTAAAATAAAACTAGAAGATTAAGTTACAAGAAAATTTTAAAACTATAAAAATTAAATAATTAGTTTTTAAAACAAAGAAAATTAATTAATTAGTTTTTAAAACTAAAGAAATTGATTTGTAATTTACCCCCAATGCATGTGAATCGCCTCAGCTAAATTTGAGCAGTCATGCATGTTTGTTGCAGTATAATTATCTTTTGATTTTCCTTTTACAACTTTCAACATACAAAGTGAGAGGAACTCCCTGAAATTGTACTCTAATTTATTATTATTATTTTTGGAATGTAAATAATTTAATTGCTAGGAACATGGCTTGCTATTCTTGGTGGATTGATTGGATGATCATAGAATGCACCATGAAATTTCTTGTAACCTTAGTGGGGCCAATTTAGAGGCTTTAAAATTTTTATTAGAAGTTTCCTTGTAAGTATTTTAGAAAATCTATGAGAAATTTGTCTTTCCTTTAATTAATTTGATCATTTTTATATGGATGTAAGTAAATTTAATTCCAATTTTTTTTTTTTTTGAGATATATATAGGTTAGTTCTTATCACTGCATTAAAAATAATAAATAAATGAATACTAGTATTAAATATTAAGAACATAAAAAAAAAGCTAGAAAAATAGAACTCAATTAAAAAGTACATTAATCTAGCGTTCATGCGTATTTTTGGAGTGTTTTCCTTATCATATTTTTGTAATATTTAAGATTATTCTATATATATATTACGGTAAAAAAGCATACTATAAAATTTGTGAAAATTGTTGTTTTTCTTGAATACGTGTATCAAAGTATATCTCTCCTCTAAGATATATTAATCTATCGTTAAAAGATATTTGCCAAGTTATGTTTTCTAAATTATGTAACATGTAATAATTTTTTTTAGAGATTTATCTCTTCTTAATATATATTTATATCAATCCATGTCAAGGTAAGAGTCACGATTCATGAGGATGGTGGACGGTTGCTTTCCTTTTGACTCAAGGTATGTGAGCATGGTGTAAGCCCATTTAATGAAGCCAGACAAAGAGGAAAAACTAGAAGCACGATTCATGAATCACGAGCAATTAAGAAAAGCTATCACCAACCATCAACGCGTTTTCTGTGTACTTGAACTAGGAATAGTATTTTTGACTTATCGCCATTTTGTTCTCCTACGAGTCAACTTGAGGAAGATGATGATGACATGAGGTTAATCTTCACTTGGCAGCTGAAATCTTTTAATGCAGGGATTAGGGTATCTTTTACTTGCGAAAGGAACAGCGTGAGACGTGGTCCAAAGTCGTCTTCTTGCGTATTAAAAAAAATATATATCCAAGAAACACCCAAAATGTCATTTTATAAATAACTCCAGTATTCAATTGTTATTATGTTTTTAATTGTATTTATTATATTCTAAAAAAATATTTAAATATTTAATTTTTTTTTACTATAAATAAATTTTTTAACTAAAATATGAAAAAAAATTAAATATTTCAAAAATAAAATATGCTAATCATATAATTGTAAATGATTTTTTTTTTTTTGGCAATCTAATGAAAAAAATTTATATCGAAAAAACAGATTGAATAATTAAATTTTTTATTTAAGAACATAATAAATATAATTAAAAACATAAAAATAAATTAAAAATTTAAACTATTATAAAAAAATAAATTGATTTTTTTTTTAATTTTAGAACTAATATCAAGAAAAAATTATGAAATTCCTGTATTAAACTTATATAAAGATAGATTTTTAAAATCGTCATAAGAGAACTAGTTAATCTCTAAAGGGTAGATAGAGGGTAGGTACTAGGTGCAAGTGACAGAGGAAGCTATCCACTAATACACACGTGGACATGAGTTGGGGAAAGTGTTGTGTTTGGTGACCAGACAAGCCTCATTAATTAAAAAGATATCTTAGGATTTTTTATGGCGTGGAATTTGTTTTTTTCTTGGCACGGCAGCAAAGTTATAGGTCTCCGGACTTAAAAAATTCAGTTTTGTTTTTTATAATTTTTTTGAGGTTTCACCTCACAATTAACTATCTGTCTCTTTCCATTATTAAATTAAAAAACTTAAAAGAATCACGAGGCGTTTGCTGCTAATTAAGTTCACAAATGATAATGAAATGGTACTTGTTTATTATAAAAATAAATTTTAAGCATGTCAAAAAATTAAATTTGAAGGATTTTTTAATGTGTTAAAAATTAAAGGCTAAGATTTTTGTATTTTATTAAGGGTTTTACGCATAATGAGATCTCGTACAATTTAAGATTTTTTTTATTGGGATCTTAAATTTTTTTTTCTGTTCAATTTAAGAGTTCTATTCTTATTTGTTATTCTTTCATACCCTAATCAATAACATTTTGCCACGTCAATACTCTAGCTAAATTCAATCGTTCAAATTTGAACTCACCATGACACATAACAAATTATCTTTAGCTAGAGCTTGCAGTTTGCTACGTATATTTAAATGACATATTAGATTATAAAACAATAACAACATAAGAGTAGAACTCTTGAATTAAAAAAAAAAAAAACCTTATGATCTCAATTAAAAAAATTCGATTTTTATGAGATCTCATCTCAATACGTGTAAAACCCATTTCATTAATATTAAAAAGTCACAAACACATCATTATTTTCATATATATATATATATATATAAAGTAAATGTATATATTGGATTTTTTAAAAAAAAATAATTAAGTAACGAATATAAAAAATAATAATAACCCAATAAAAACGAAAAGCAGTAAAAGGCAACTCAATCAAGCAAATGACTTCCAAGAAATCAAACTCCACAACAAGATTTCTGAACCCTTAATTATGCCAGGCTGAACTAATACCGCAGCAAATAACTGAAAGTTTAGCTAGCAAGTTTGTTTTGTACCAACACCGACTGACACGAGAAACCAAATAGCCAATTTTCACTGCTATTCTTGAGAAGGCCACAAAAACTTGCTCGATCCGGGTTCCTCAACTCGATAAAGTCACCATCAGATGGAGACCAGGTAACCAATTAAGCAGGAGACTCTGCTAGTTGGGGTAGCAGCTAGGGCGTTGGACGTCGTTTGGGTTAGGGAAGGAATGGAATTTGCCTTGAATAACAACCAAATGAGCTTACAATCCAATCATTGGACTTCTGGCCCAATTGAACGAAAGAAATTATCAATCCATGGCCTGGTACCTTGCGGTCTTTTTCTCGAAAACTACATAATAAGGAGTTACTTTTTTTTTTTTAGTTTCGAGAAATTAATTAATTTATTTTTTATTTTAAAAAATATTTAATTTTTATATTTTTCAATTTCTTATAATTTAATTTTTTCATTCTTTTTAATTTATTTTGATTTTTTATTTAAAAAAATGAAAGAATGTACGAGAAAATATGATATTTTATGAAAAAAATAATATTAAACTAAATCAATATTTATCAAGAGATTAAATAATCAATTTTTAAAATAAGATAAATGATTGATTTATTTATTGAAAAGAGAAGAACTTTACAATTTACTCAAGTAAGAAGCTGTTACTTTTTATTTTATTTTATTATTTTTTTTAGTTAACTACAAAAATACTCTTCACTTATAAGATCATTATCAATGTTATCCTTCAACAATATTTGTATCAATTACTAAATCCTTAATATTGTCTAATATACTCAAAAAATCACACATTCACACGTGTCCCTCACAAATGTGATTATGTGAACGAGCCTCCACTTACGTTAAATATACATGTACGAAACCCTTCCTACCGAAAGAATCTCCAGCACCGGAAACACCCCCGGTTTGCTCATTCCTCCTTAATTCTGCAAGCATAGTCTATTCTCTTACTGATAAAGAGCATAAAAGAACAAATATTAAATAAAAGACTTTGACATTGCTGTGATTAGGAGTAGGATCATTGTTCAAAGAGCTATTTAGCATTTAAAAAAAAAAAAAGTACACTGATTGCAGAAGAAACCCATCTAGAAAGTTATACAAATAACTTGATAGGTCAAATAAAAAGAGAGAGAAGAAAGAAGCAGAGTAGCTACTGGCCACCGAGACGATGGCCTCTTCCTCGAAAAGCCACTCCATCATTTGAATTAGGCTGCTGCGTTTGAGAATTTGCCTGTGCTTGCTCTGTAGTGTTACTTCTGGTGCCATTGAGACGATAACTTCTTCCGCGGAAAGCAATCCCGGCAAATGGATCACGCTGCACTGGAGCATTTACTTGCGTTCCCTCGCCCCAGAATGCTACTAATTTGTGACTATGAACAACGTTAAGGGCCATGCAAAGTCTCTAAACATCTCTCCAACTCATATTACATGGCAACCAAAGTGTGTATATATATGCATAAAATTCTAACACGGGATATTACTATATATATGCACACAAGCAGTAAAATATTTTTAGGTTAGTTTACTATCGATCAAAATTAAATTTATTATTTTCTAGATTAGATCAACACTAAATTACGTCTAATTTTTTATCAATTCTAAAAATTAAAATAAATAAGAATCAAACTCCGACTCAATGAGTCAAAATACTCTTCTTGCTAATCTTTGGTGGCAAGAGATATTACTATTAACTTAGAATACTATTGGCTGACAAAGAGACATTTTACTCTAGTTTAGGACTTGGTTAAATAAGTCATAATAATTATAATGACCTAATTAGTTTATAATGTTTACTTGTATAGAACTGTCAAGTACTAAAGAACTTATAGTCCAGTGGTCGTGATATTTTACAATAAGAGATTACGGATTCAAATACTAACAGATTAGTTCGTTAAGAGTTCTAGGTGTGTGAATTAAAAAAAAAAAAAGATTCTACAGGCAAATCATGTTGGTTGACAAAATAATAATGATAATGAAACTATATATTAGAGCATCAAGAATATTAACAAGGAAGGATACACCCAAATAGGGGTCTTGAATATGTATTTTCCACCAGAGAGTGGATGAAGCACCGTGAGGAAGTAGTAGAGATGTCCAGCAAGCATTCCAAGGATATCAGGCATTAGCGGATTGCCAAAAATCAAATCCAATGCTAGCATTGCCCAGGGAAGATAGAATCCCTATGCCAGACAACCCATTTATTTGATATTGAATTACAAATAATAAACCAGCAAAATTAACCAGCAAACGTAATTAAAAGCAAGATTAGGGTTACCTTTAGTGACACAAGGCCATATATGCTGATGGTTGCATTTGGAAACTCACGTCCCCAAATATAGACTATCATAAAAACCAGAGAAACTCCCATAAATCGAGACCAAAGAAATGGAACAGCAGCCATCACCTAATTAATGAAATTAAAAAAAAAAAATTTCACAATCATATTAAAAAAAAATTAATAGAGTTTTTAATAAATTAATCACTACACATAATCAAGGTGCTAACCTATGGTTTCTCCAACCAAAGAAACTTAAAAATTATTATATCGTTGTCAATAATTCTACAATCTTATTATTATTATTATTATTATTATTATTATTTTGTAAAAATAAGTATAAAATATGGTTATTAGGCTGTGTTTGTTTCAAAAAAAAAAAAAAAATTCCAAAAACTTATCTTTTCTATTTTTTTCTATTTTTTTATGGTTGTTTCACGTTTAGGAAAAAAGCCAACAGAATTTGATTTCCAGTTAACAAAAATTAATAGATTATTTTTGAAAAAATAACTTCAGAGCTAAAAAAAAAAAAAAACATTCTTTCTCTCATGAGTTGTCTCGCTTTCGCATTACTCATCTCTTTCTTGATATATTTTAACAATTTTTTTCTTTGTCTTCTTTTTTATTTAAAACATATTAAATTAATTTTTAATTATTTTTAATCAATTATTTTTAATTATTTAATTTTTTCTCTATTTCTATTAGCATTTAATTTTTTGATTTATAAATACATTAAATATTCTTAAAAACTATTTTTACACCTTAAAATTACTTTTATAATAAATATTTTAATAATTTATCTTTATTTTTTTATATAATTTTCAAACGTTATAAAATATATATTTTTTTAAAATAACTTCTTAAAAACAAACTTTTCTAGAATTGTTTTTTCTATCGAAAACTGTTTTTGGTCAAATAAAAGAACCTTAAATACTAGACAGCTTCTTACGTACATACCAGAAGAGACAGTGCCCCGAAGAAGAACATCCACACAAAATCTGCTGTTCTCTTATCAAATGGTCCTCTCTCCAGTTGAACGCCATATCTTGCTCTGTGCAAGTTAAGAAATAGAAAGGGAAATAACTCATTTCCTGAGAAAATTTAAGCACAGAAAGTGCAGAGAGATGGGAAAAAAAAAAAAAAAAACTCAAACTTTCTTACATAATTATAAGGCGAAATGCAAAGGGGAATGAAAATGGCCCAAGAAAGAAAAAGTTGGTAATTAGCCTCCAAATCTGCATCAATTACAAGGAAATAATATGTAAGATTAGACAGAATAAATTAACTAAGCTTCCAAGCATCGATTAATGCATATTCAAGGGACATAAAGATACTAGATTTTACCTGAAAACGTTTGATTACATCTTCATAATTAAGTGCTATGGAACTGGGATGGTAAAGACCAAGATAATAGGCAGCTGTGGTCATTAAACAAGCCACCCCATATGTCTTGCTCACGGGTGGTAAGGACCGATAGTACCTATACCAAAAAAAAAAAAAAAAAAAAAGGGAAAATTATCAATCAATTTTCCTTATAAAGAAGAAGAAAATAAAATCTATAAACACAAGCAATCTTTGATAATTTAGAGAGGGGAAGAGAAGAGAGATTACTCTCCCGGTGTAGACATTTTTAATGCTGGTGGTGTAATTGTAAAGAGCAATGTGACATTTTCCTATCGTCGTCCTTATATTTGATGTTTTTGATGGGAGTGTTGAATCTTCCAAAGTGAAGGGACTTTGGAGTCTTCCAAAATGCTAAAGTCAAAAGTCTACATCAACTTTGGAGTGTGCTTTGGGCCATGGGGTTGACCCTCTATAAGTAAAGCGAATTGGAGTAAGGTGAGCAGAATTCGATTTAAATTGAAAGATTAGATCCAACCGAAATCGATTTTTGATTTGGTTTTTAATATAGAGTTAAAAATAAAGAAACAGAACCAAATTTATTATGATTTTTCAGTTTCGATTTTATTTTTCAAAACTTTTAGTTTGATTTTTGCTGAAAACTTTTTTTTTTTTTCATATTTTAAACTTTTTTTATTATTGAAATTTCGATAGTTCGATTTATACAAATAATCAATAGTTTTTATTATTATTATATATTAATAGAGTAAATTAAGATTTCAAATTAGAATTATCAAGTTAATGAAGCTCAATCAAATCAAAATCATAAGTTTATTTGAGATTTTAATTATATAAGTTAAGAACATGATCTTATTGATTAATTCTAGCATGATAATAGAAAAATAGATTTATAAATAATTATGCTTTGCATGTATATATATAAGATTTCTAGGTCTAATTTTTTTATATATATATTTTAAATATGAATTAATAGATTTGTATTTAAATTTTGATAGCTTATTATGAGGTATAATTTTATACTTCAGTCTTATTTAAATAAATATTTGTTGTTTTTTAGATAGACTAATTTAGATTATTTGGATTAGAAAAAGACTCTACAGGCCATAACATAATTATTTTAGTTTATTTATATTATTTTAAAAAATTGAAAAATACTGTAAAACTGAACTCAAAAATTGGAATTTCAAAAACCTAATAGTAATTCGCTTTGGATTTGTTATATATATATATATATATATATATTCAATTAACAAAAAACCACCGAATTAAAAGGTTAAATATCAAACCGAATAATGATTCCTGCTTTTGAGTATCGTAGGATGCTAAAGTCAAAAGTCCAAGTCAATGTTGGAGTGTGCTTGGGCCTCGGGGTTAATGCCATTGCCATTAAACATTTTGTACATAATTTCATCGGTGGAACCACGTCATTTGGGGTAAATTATAAATTAGTCCCTCATGTTTTGAGAATGAATTAATTAGTTCCTCTCATTTCAAAAAATAATTATTTAGTCCTTATATTTTGAAATTTACTTATAACTTAATCCTTTTTACTCTTTTTTAATTTAGTTTTATTTTTTTGTTTAAAAAATAGAAAAAAATATGAAAGAATTGATGAGAAAACAAAAGATTTTATGAAATAAAAATAATATTAAATTAAATATAATAAACACTCGATTAAATGACTAAATAATAATTTTTGAAATAAGTGAGACTAATTGATTTGTTTCTTGAAACTGGAGGAACTAATTTATAATTTACCATGTCATCTGCTAGAAAAAATTAACCCCTTTGTTTGGATAATTCCTCTTGGGAGGAAAGAAAATAAAGAAAAGAAAGTGAGAGAAAAGAAAAAGGAGAGGAAAGAAAATCATTTTCCACTTGTTGTTTAGATAAGAGTGGAAAGAAAAAGAAAGAAAAAAATATATATTATTGTATATTTACTATAATGCCCTTAGGATTATATTTTTATTTTGATTTTTTATTCTCATTAATTTTTTTCATAACATTTCTTTATTTATTTTTCCTTTTTAATAGAAAAAAATAAATATAAAAATATAAAATAGACAAAAAAAACTAATTTATTAATTTTTAAAATAGAAATAACTAAATAATTTGTTTCTCGAAACTGCATGGAACAATGTATAATTTATTCCTACACAAAATTACACTTAGTTTTGATTTATTAAAAGCTTATCTAAAAATATTTCTTAATTAATTTAAAAAAAAAAGGAGAAAAGAACAATTGTAGCTCGTGGGATGGGAGGAAAATTGGAATTTATTATTATTGTTTTCTTGTCACATGGATGGAGCAAGGGTAAAAACGAAAAAGCAAACCAAATGAAAAGTCAGCTGCAGGTCTCCTTCGGTTTCCTCCCAAAATTGGAAGGAAAATGAGTCCTACGAAAATATCATTTATTTGTTGTTTTTTTTCTTTCCTCTCATTTCCTCTACAATCCAAACGGGGCAAAATTTTTCATTTTCACCCCCATTTTCTTTTCTCTCTCCCACTTTCATCCCTATCCAAACAGGGGGTAAGTGGAGATAAAAAAAATCACGAAAGTAATATATGAGATTCTTAGAAAGGCTGACCAATCACCCTGGGTCCTACAATTCCAAATACTAAAAATATTTTATTTTTAATATCTTACGTGTTAATGTACATTAGTAGATAACTTTTGGATATTCTTTTAAAATCTAGTAGGAGTCTCTTCTCTACTGCTACCATATTATCTTGTTTGATAATTTGGTAATTTTGTTATTTATATTACTCCAAGAGTTAATTTCATAATTATTTCACACACACACACATCATATATATACATGATAAAAATTTTAGTAGAAATATTTAAATCTTCATCTAAATTCAAAAATATTTTTATTTAATTTTTTTTTTAAAAAAAATCATGGAAGTACTGTATGAGATTCTTAGAAAGGCCGGCCGGCCAACCACCCTACGTCCAGCCATTCTAAATATTAAAAATATTTTATTTTTAATACCTTACATGTTAATGTATCTTAGTTAATGACTTTTGGATACTTTTTTAAAATCTCATAGAAGTCTCTTTCCTATCAGTACCATGTTAGTCTTTTATGATCATTTAGTATTTTTGTTATCTATATTACTCCAAGAGTTAATTTGATAGTTATTTTACTTAAAAAAAAATTAATAAGTCTTGTTAGAAATATTTAAATCTTCATCCAAATTCAGAAATGTTTTTAATTTAAATTAAAAAAAAAATCACTGTATGAGATTCTTAGAAAAGCTGGCCGACCACCACGGGTCCACGCAATTCAAATATTAAAAATATTTTATTTTTAATACCTTACATGTTAATGCATCTTAGTTGTTGACTTTTGGATACTCTTTTAAAATCTTATAGAAGTCTCTTCCCTATCGCTCCCATATTATCTTTTATGATTATTTAGTATTTTTGATATTTATATTACTACAAGAGTTAATTTGATAGTTATTTCACACACACACACACTATATATATATATATATATAAAATAATTATTACGTCTCGGTAGAAATTCATCTAAACTCAAAAATATTTTTATTTAAATTTTTTTAAAAAAATCACTAAAGTACTGTATGAGATTTTTAGAAAAGCAGCCGACCACCCTTGGTCCACCAATTCCAAATATTAAAAATATTTATTTTTAATACCTCATATGTTATTGCATTTTAGTTGATGATTTTTGAACACCCTTATAAAATCTCATAGAAGTCTCATCCCTACCGCTACCATATTATCTTTCACGATCATTTAGTATTTTTGTTATCTATATTACTCCAAGATTTAATTTGATAGTTATTTCATTGTTTAAAAAAAAAATAAATCTTGGTAGAACTATTTAAATCTTTATCTAAATTCAAAAATGTTTTTATTTAAATTTTTAAGAAAATCATGAAAGTACTATATGAGATTATACACGCACACATATATATACATACACACACACATATCATACGGATGATAAAATTTTTTAAAAATAATTAATAAATCTTGGTAGAAATATTTAAATCTCCATCTAAATTCAAAAATATTTGTATTTAAATTTTTTTAAAAATTCTCATAGAAATCTCATATTTACTCGCTACTATATTATAGAAAATTTTATAATACACAAGGAGTAACTAGTGGCATGTACGGTAGTTACTCCTTGGGTCCACTTTGAGAAGAGAAATAGACACATAAAAAAAGAGAAATTACATCCATACCCACCAAAAGTGATAAAAAGATTTCCACGTCCGCTTAAATTTTTTTATTTTCTCTCTCTCTTTTTGTGTGTCTATCTCTCTCCTCAAAGTGGGCCCAAGGAATAACTATTGTACATGTCACTAGTTACTCCTTGTGTATTATAAAATTTCTCATATATTATCTTTTATGATCGTTTACTATTTTTGTTATCTATATTACTCCAAGAGTTAATTTGATAGTTATTTCACTTTCTTTAAAAATAATAAATCTTGGTTGAAATATTTAAATCTTCATCTAAATTAAAAAATGTTTTTATTTAAATTTTTAAGAAAATCATGAAAGAACTGTATGAGACTACACACACATATGCATATGCATACATACACACACATATATCATATGGATGGTAAAAATTTTAAAAAATAATCAATAAGTCTTGATAGAAATATTTAAATCTTCATCTAAATTCAAAAATATTTTTATTTAAATTTAAAAAAAATCACTGAAGTATTGTATGAGATTCTTAGAAAGGCCCAATATGTTTTTTCTCCGTTCATCTCCATTTTTACAGACTTAAATATGAAAAAACAAATGAATAAATAAATTGCTTCTGTAATATAATTCAGCAATGAATAGTTACAAATTCTCAATAAACGTGACTATACCAGAATTTTTTCTTGATTTATTTATTTGGTTTCAGTCAAGGATCAATTACGAATAATAGAAGCTCCCAATCAAAAGTCAGGAGTTTTTTTGGTTGGATTTTCAAATTTGGCATTTTTTACCATTATTATTCATGGGCCATAGCTTAGTTGGGCTCTAATGGGCTCAGTTCACTCTATGCTGCTAATCATATCATAGCCCATGTTTTTTTTACCTTCTAATTCTTTCGCAACCAAGGAAAAAAGAAGAAGAAAAAAGCATGCGTGAAAGTAGTATTTTTGCTAATGTTATTAATTCTTTAATAATTATGAAATTTATGTAGAAAATTTATTTTAAATTCATAAGAATTCTTTTTCTAGCAGTAATTAATTTTCTCCGAGTGTTCATAATTTTTTATGATGAAAAGTTGGTAATTTAAAAAAAGAATTCTGCAGCCTAGTGATTGGTTGACAATAGCTTACATATCTGATAGAGAGAGCGTGTTATACTAGGGATGACAATGGGGGCGGGAATGGCCATCCCAGTCTCTGCCCCGTGCTCCATTTGAGACATATTTCAAGTACCATCTCCGGCCCAAACGAGACAAAAGCAGGGTGGAGATGACCATCCCCATCCTCGTCCTGTGCCCTGTTCAGGACATATTTCGTGTACCATCTTCACTCTAAACGGGACAGGGCTGGACAGACCTTGTCTGGACGGTTCATATTGTCATCCCTATGTTATACTTGTAAGTGCTGCTGCGTGCTTTCATGTGGACAAGGCAGGCAGGTTACACTGATTTGCATGATTGCAACCTTTCACCGCCGGTGCCAAGTAGAAATTGCCCAATGATCAGCTTTGGTTTGTTATATATATATATATATATATATTCAAAAACAAAGACATTAGAAAACAGAAATAATTAATTGGAGCTTACAATTGCACAATGTAAAATGTAAGAATGTTAACGGGACATCATGCTAAGTGCAGAAAGTTGCTACTTCAGGGAAGTACATTGAAAACCTCTACATCCTCAGTTACTGGACTTCTGACGGAGTACTGAAATGTCCATCCATGACAAACACCAGCATGCACACCATTTTTATTGACAGCAACAACAGCTCCCACAAATTCTGGAAATTTTCTTGCAATTCTTGATATTGCATCTTTCGATGCAAGCCTAGGTTCCATTCCTAATCTCATACTTTCAACAACTTGATAACTGGAAAGAGACAAGGACAAGTTAGCTCTTAAGTAAAAACAAAGAATCAAATAAATAAGACTAAGCTAAGTACTGGCGGTAGGCTGAGACTGTATACGAAAGATGAGTGCTGTATTTGCTGGAAAAGTCTCAAACTTGAGAATCAACTCATAGACAACCCAAACTAGTTATTTATTACTCCTGAGAAAACCAAGCCAAGCAAATTTTCCTGTCAGCTGAGCTGATTTATGTCTTAAAGCATCAAGATTGACAGCATTATCCGGAGTTCAACCTAATTTAGGCGCTCTAAAAGTATAGGTCTTTGAACGATTTGAAAATCCCTTACTTTTAAAGAAATACAGATTCTTGTCCTGCTACAAGGACCAAGAATAACTTCACCTTTCAAAAGTTGAGACTATAATATTTAGTAAAATACCATGGAAGGAAGCGCATCATGATATCGCCATCCCCAGTTGCACCACAAGCACCAACATCAGCATCAGCATATGCTGAAGATCCTGCAATGGGTCCATCACCTACCCTGCAGTCAAAGGAAGATATACATGAAATCAATGCTTCCACAATATAAAACCACCTTTGTTTGGCTTTTGCACACTAACCTAAACTAAAAACCTTACTAAAGAGGGAGGGAAGGAGGAGAGGGGTGTACAGTTACTAAAGCAGTACGCAACTTCTTGTCAATTACTTGATCAACAATATTTCAAGGAAAAGTTCACTAAAATATTTATTTTGTTTACATTTGAAAAGATATCTCAAAGCTTCAAGACTCAAAAGTGGGAGACAAGATGCTGCTGATTACAGCTACCAAATTTCGTTGGAAGCAGAATCTGACACATTTAAATCATAGTCCATTTCCACAATGTTTACATTATATTGCATTAGCAATGGATTAATACATATCAAATTCATATTCACCTTACCTTCCAGGGATCTTATAAGTGGCTCCATTAGTTGATGTACCAACAGCCACATGCCCCATCTACATGAAAAGCAAAAAAATTCCTTCTGTAAATATATATATATACGTGGAAGACTCTGCGAGTGGGCGGGTGCGAGCATGCTAGTGGAATTCTTATATGCAGTTTCATCAGCTTACTTTATCAATAACAGTCATTGATATAGTGTCATGACTGTGACAGCCAACAAGAGATGATCTTGGTTCAACAACTCCCATTGGGTTGAGTGTGGAACATCCCCCTCTTTAACATCCATATAACCCTTCGCATGATAAGGGCCACAACTATTGACAGGAACAACATCTTTCCAAAAATTAGGTTGGCAGTGATTCTCTTTCCATTTACTCCACTTCCTGATGGAATCAGCTGAACTAAGGTTACTAGGTCCAGGAAGACCCATCGAAATGGCAAAGGCCGAGGCCTTCTCCCCAACAAGCAAAGTGTGCTTTGTATGCTGCATTACTAATTTTGCAGCTCTGATTCCATCTTTCACGTACCTCATAGCAGCAACAGCTCCAACCTCCATTGTTACCTATGCATATCCTTAGCAAAACTCACAACATGATCGTCATTTATAGAGGAAGCAAACCAGCATGCAGCAGTAAGGAGAACAAGAATGTTGATGAAAGAAACAAGAGAATAGTGGTTACCCCATTCATGATCATGGCATCAATAGTAGTTTCTCCATTCTCATCTGGACTGCCACCCGGTCCCACTGCTCATTTCAGATTCACATTTCGAGACAATCAGTTACCTTAGCTAAACGCTACAACAATTCAAAGCATGAATCTACTGAATATGAACTTGAGAGTACATCATAACATTCTCCATTTAAAATCATATGTGAAAACACTAAACATGAAACTTCATGTAAATAATGTTATGTCATACAAATGAAAACTAAAGCTTTCATTCAAGCAATTGAGTTATTCTAATGTCACCATACACTTAACACAGCAATTACAACTTGAATCCATAGACAGATTAATCAAGCAATTAACATTTGAATCAAATAATTTACCTGTACCATCACATCTGAGTTCCTCACAAGCAGAACAACCCTCCACAACAGCATCGACAGCAGAAAGGCCACCATCAACAGCCCTCCAAGCAGCTCTAACAGCTTCTTTGAAAGGCCAGGTGCTCACTACTAATGGGTACAGCTTTGAGATCCCAACCCCATCATCTCCTATCACCTGATAAACCAAAATAAATAAATAAATAAAACACTCATGTCATAAATTGATAAAAACAATCAACGTTCAATAAAGACCATGAAATATAACAGGCAGCAAGTATCAAGATTTGATCTTTCATTTCCATTATTCATTTTTTCAGTATCCAAGTAGAAGGTAAGAAGAGAGAATTTTGCTACCATGGAGAACAAAGTAAGCAAGAAGACAAGAGTGGTGATGGGTAGGATTCTATTGGCCATGGAACTGGAACTAAAGAGGAACCACACTGTTTCGTTCTGTTCTGTTCCAAGAAAACAGTGACAGTGTGCTGGATTTGAGCTATGACTGTCTGGTAGAGGGGTAAAACTAGTCTTGCAGATGAATTTGAACACGGTTACAAGGATGATAATGAAGCGGGTTGGGACGGGTCTTTTATGCATATGCACCTGCATCCGATTTGATGCATTTATAATTATTATTTTCTCTTTTTCAAAAACATTGTTTTTTTTTTTCTATCTGTTTATAAAAAAAAAAAAAAAATACTTGTTTGGTTAAAATTTTAAATAATATATTTTTTAAAAATATTCATAATTGATTAAAAAATCAATTTTTTCTTTCATCTTCTCTTTTTCACTGAAAAAATCAAAACCTTTATTTTTTTTTTCATTATACATATAATTACCTTTAACAAAAAAAAAAAAAATTAAGAGAAATTTTTGTTACATAAAAAATATTTATTTTTGTAAAAACTTTACTACATTCCAAAATTTGAGAGCAAAATATTTCTATTAATATATTATTTTTTATAATTATTTTAAATTTAATCGTTAATTAATTTAATGATTTTTCTTTTGATTTATCGTTTTAATTTTGGATAAATTTTCTTTTTATGTTAGATTAAATTGATAACTAATAATTTTAACAAAAATAGTATGAAAAAAATTATGATATAACATAACAATTAATAACTTTTAAGTAATAGTATTCATATCTTTTTAATTATTTGTATGAATTAGTAAATCATTAGAAATTAGTACAATTATTAACAGAAGAGGGAGAAAGTGCTCTTGGAGTTGGCAGTTCCTTTCTCACGAAAATGTGCTCTTGGATGTGGCAAATTACTAACAGAAGCAGGGCACTTGAAATCATCATTTGTTACCGACTTACAGTTTTGCGTTGCTTGCTTCCACACATAATCAAAGGATTGGTTTCTTTTCCTGGTAAAATTTGAAAAGAAAACAGTGTTTCTATAGCAAGGAATCATTGAAGATTACAGATCTTATTGTTCCGACTTTCTTATAAAAATCAGGTTTAGGACAAAATTTTTGCACTTCCCAACACAAAAGAAATTTGAATATAGTAACTTGCTAATCACTAAAATTTACAGTACCACATCCAATAGTCCCAGATTTGGCTAAAACCATAATATCTGCTGTCGGGCAATGGTTTCCCTAGATCAAATTCAGAATTCCATCTTGACGAGTAATCAATCGCTATGTCCAACAGGATGGATTCTCAGTCGCATCAAGAATACATGAACCAGACTCTAGTCCAAGACACTTGATTCATCTCCAAACAGTCTCATCTGCATCAGTAAAGACTGCATTGTGCTGTTCTATGAGACACTGAACAACATCAATAGCACTGAAGTCCACTGGCATTCCATCATCCAGGGGAATGAGAGAGGAAGCATCCATGCCTTCACTTTCTTCTGTATCCATATGAGAGAAAGAAAGAATCCCATCAATCGGTTAGCTTTTTTACCTCTTTCTATCCCTTGGATTTACTTTGATTCATCAATTATAAAAATTGTGCTCCTTATAGTAAGTAAATTGTTTGAGATGAACTCTCACCTGAAAGCATGTCCCATGAACTGTAGGTAGGCGCTGGATCCATATTCTTATTGGAAGGACTTCTCAACACATGATTCCAATATGACCTGTAAAATTCTGGCTTCCGCTCTTTTTGCCACATAATAACGGGGGCCATTTCTAAGGCAATGGTTCGAGCATCCATCTGTAGAAAGTAGATGACAGATTGGCAGTGGAGAATGCTTATCATATACTTGTGCAATATCCATCAATTTCACTCAATGGTAATCTCACCTCAATGGGGTTAAGAGCTCAATTCCATAACAATAAAAAGGACAATAAAATAAAATCCACCAAGTTCATGCACATAATTAAAGAGTTGCCAACCAAGGGAAAATGGAAATGGCCAGCTAATGAAAATGAAGGTTGTGACCTAAGGCATTCTTTTCAGATTAAACTCAAGGTTGCCAGATAATCAAAAAGAAGGGTATGGGCTACAACATTCTTTTCAGATTAAACATATAGAGCAAGTTATATTTGATTCACTTATCTAGGGATGAATCATGCTCAACCAAAAGAGGAACATGGACATCATTATAAAATATTCAATTTTTCATTGCATCTTATATATTTGGCCTAAAGAGATCCAAAGCTGGCAAACAAATGCCTCATTGAGATCCATATAACAGAGGTTGTGACGAATGTGAGATTCAGAGTGTATTATGTAGGTAACAGCCATAGCCTCTCATCTACAGTAGAGGAATCTATCATAAGGAACAAAAATACAATAACATGTGCATGAGGATGAGCATACGCACATACAAATACTGCATGCTATCAGGAAGGCTATATAGAAGAAAGGTCTAGTCTACATACATATAATGCAGCAGCTTGCTTGTTTTTAACCTCAAATAGTTCCTAGACAATGTGTATCATAATGATGTAGTGACAAATTCACACTGTATGTTTCTGAAGCCCCCAGTAGACAAACAGGTAAGAACAATAAGAAAAGGGACACAAGAATGGCTACCATATGCAATCTTCCATGAATTGGAATGAATGAGGAAATGATGAAAAAAACCTTTAATGATAACACAACCAGGATCAACAAGGGAGAGAGATGCACAATCTGCACTATTCCTACCTTGTTAAGAAGTGACTTATGGCTAACACGAAGCAATAGTGCAGTGATGAACTCCAGAGTCATGTAGTTTACAGCAGGAAGCTTCTTCAGGATGTTTTTCATTGCATGAACGCTAGAGCGGGCACCTTTGATCTCATCATAAAGTTCAAATGTGGTTAGGGGTTCAGGAAGGCTTGCAAGATAGCATTTGACCAGATACGCCACATCAATTGGGTTTAGACCCTCTGGCAATGATGCATTGGAGTCTGTAGCAAAGACTCAGCATTACAATACAATTCCATATAGACTCAACAAAACAATTGTCAGCTTCGAGCACATAACAATACATACCTTGGTTGTACAAGGAAACTAATTGCTGAATAACCTTTTTATCCCCTTCGGCTTTAAACAAGTGCACCGAGTTTAATCCTGAACCAAAATCATAGATATTAATCCCTGTTCAAAATGAATGAACTTCACAATCACAAATGACTACTGATTTATTTAGCCTGAGTTTTATATCAGTTACCTGATAAGATGAGATAATCTGCACATTTGACCAATATATGTGGAACAGGCCTGCTGAATTGTTGTCGTTGCACAGTAACCTCAATTGGAACTCCAAATACTGAAGATAAACATGTTACCAACAATTATCAAGATCCATGTAATATGGAATTTTGTAATCAGTAATTTTGAAACACTTTCAGGAGAACGACATGCGAAATAGTGAACAAAATAACAAACTTCATTCAATAAGCAATATATTTAAAGATTATGATAGTATGAAACTCACCATCAGTGCTTGCAACTCCCTGGGAATGGAAAAAAGACAAAGCAAGAACATCAAAGCATGTCACTGTAAGCAAAATCAAAAGAAAATAAAACTGGATAAAACAGGAGAAAGCAGCCTCACAATCCTATACCTTCTGCCATCGTTCAATGTCAGTCAAAATCGTCTTGCTCTTTTGAGCAGTCTTTTTTGCTACCTGAAAGAGAATTCACCATGTCAAAGGAGTTGATCATTCAACTTTACAATCCATAAAACTATTTTCAGCTGTTAGGAATAAAGATTAGGGTAGTCAAGAATTGAATATTATGAAGTATCAATTTTTTCAATGATAAAATGTTACAATCAATGGTCAGCCAAGAGAATGGGAGGTATGAAGTATTTAAAGTCTACTATTACAATTCGGAGTAGTCTTTGCCAACATACACACAGCATTATCCAGCCAACATAAGATAACTGCCAATTTTGAGCCACAGAAAGTACCAAAGACAATAGGCAAGTGTGAATACCTCTTCAACTTTTGTCTTCCCAACAGTAACCTTGTCCTTTGTCTCTGAGATGCCCTTCCTGAAGAACATACCAGTCGTAGCAGCAGCAGTTATCAGACGTTCCTGCATAGCATGCCTAGTTGATGGCTCCCTAAGAATTGCCCATCGAGTTTTGACTGCTGATCCAACTTTTTCTGCTACATCCGCAACATTACCTTTGGCATCCTTTGCAACCTCTCCCACAAATGTTCCAGCTGATTGTCCAGCTTCTTTAAGCTTCACCCCTTCATAAAAACATCAATTAAATTCCTAAGAAATGAAATTTAAGGGAAAACAACAGCAAGCAATTGAAATTTTAATAAACCCACCTGAGGAAGAAAAGAAACCAGTAGCCTTGTCCTGCCACTGAGGCGAGACGGCGGAAGACATTTCTCCAATCACAGCAGCCAATAGCAAATTCCAAAAGAATTATTAAAGAAAAAACCTGTTATGAAGCAACTCATCAAAGAAACATAAAAAGGTAAGAAGCCCCGTACCTTTATATAACTTAAAGCCTTGACAAATTTGAAACAGAAGGAAAAAAAAAGAAGAAGAAGACATTTTGATTCTAATCAACATCTCCCCCCATATTTGTAGAATCCATCTAAAAACACAAACTTTTTAGTAATTAAAACAAATCAGTGAATCAATCAGCTATCAAAAAGTTCAAACTTTTACCTCTGATTTAGAGCAATAGTTTACTAAAATCAACATCAGATTACATAATTTTAAATCTAAGCTAAAAATTCCAAATTCCTCCTTCCCTCCAATTTTCTCACCAACAATACAAGAACACAAAAAGAAGAAACAGACAAGCTAGCAAATCCAACAAAGTAGTAGTATGAAGAACCTGACTTTATTAAAACTTAGAATTAAAAATAAAAATAAAAAATAAATACAATACCAGAATCCATCTATCTATCAAAGAATCAAATTAAAAATAAATAAATAAAGAAGCTATCAAATAAAATAAAAACCAGAAATTCAATACAGAGAGAATATTTGTACCTGTTTTTAGCTTCTGTGGTATAAGAGAAACTGAAGGTAAAGTAGGAAAAAGCAGAATCAGAGACAGAGATTTTTCCTTTTGTGAGTTAAACGGAAGGAATCGTGAGAAAAGTTGATAAGTTTAAAACTTTGAAATTGAAATTGATAGTCAGCTGATTAAATTATTTAAAAATTATATAAAAAAAATTAAAGAGAGCCAGAAGTGGTTTACTTTTAATTGTGTTTGTTTATTATTGGAGACTGACTTAGTTGTGGTGGGCCACTAATCAGGACAGAAAAAGGGTTGCTGCCACGTGGATATTTCTCGTCTTTGTTTGGGTTTTATCTGAGTAAATTATAAATTAGTTCCTCTAGTCTTGAGAAAATAATTAATTAATCTCTTTTGTTTTAAAAACTAAATATTTAGTCCTTTAATCATTATTAATCACATTTAATTTAATCTTATTTTATTTTTAAAAAATATTATTTTCTTATCAATCTTTCTATAATATTTATTTTTTTTATTTTTCAAATAAAAAATTAGAAAAAAATGGATAAAAAGGATTAAATAACTGGTTTTGAAACAAGAGGGACTAATTAATTAAATATAAAAAATAGAGTGACTAATTTTATAAAGTACTTGTTTTTTTTATCTGGATGCTTCTAACCGCTATAACTACTGTAATCATCTAACCCCCAAGATTTCTCATATTATTACTTCATTACGAGTATTTTATGAGTTGAATCAATGTTAATTAGACCTTAATTACCCAAAAATCATGCTATGTGTAAAGCAGGTCTCATGCTTGATGCCCTCGTTGACCAATCCATAGTGTGCACAAATCCATGCCTCTAGCCAAAAGTTTTTTTTTTTTTTTAATAAACTTGCATTTAAAATTTTATTCCTTAAAATCATCTGATGCATTTATCGATAGAGTTTCAACGGAGGATAATTGGTTATAAAGTTTTTTTTTATTCTGATTTGAGTTTTAAATTTTTTATTTTTTTATTCGTAATTAAATTATTTTATCTCGTTAATTAATCTCGGACGACATCATATTTACGTAAAAGACACATCATGAGATGTTAAAACAACGACTCGTATTTTGAACGAGACTCTCAAATATGTGAATTATTAAAATAATAATATTTGTCTTCTCATTTATGTGTGTATATATATATATATATTGTGTTGATAAAAAAAATCAATGTACTTTATAACCGGTTAATCTTTGACAAAAATGATGGCAACACAGAAGGCACCATCTTTTCTTTCTATTTTCAGAAATAGTGGAATTTTTCTTTTTTGTTCTTTTGAATTATATATTAATGTGAGTAGATGGAATTAGATCAATTAATTAACCTCTGGAGGCTGGAGGCTGTAGGCTGCAGCTGAGGTATTTGGACCAACTAATTTGAATAGCCCAACAAATTAGAAAGAGTCAGCAAAGACCTTTTGATCAAGAAAGATGGGAAAAGTAGAAGCAATAAATGATTCATTAGTTTTTAAGGAATTAGTTTTTACATCAGATTAAATACATCATTTTTGGGATTATGTTATACCCAGATTAAGTATATCCTTCTCTTTTCTGTTATCCTCTTTAATTGAAAAAACAAAAGCATGCTTTGACTGACTAACTCAGAAGTATTAACATATGATGGCTTTTTATATTCATTGTCTGCTTGTGATGCTCAATTTCTGATTTTTCTTTTTCTCCCTTTTCTTAAGAGATTTTTTTGCTCCATATAACTTGAAATGGGAAAGCTTGCTTTTTCCTCACTTCCGTTTCTGCAAGCCAAATGGGTTACCGGATCACGATAATCTTCCATATACTGGAATGTATTTTCGTTTCTTGACAAAAACTACAAGCCAAGGCAGAAATAAATCTCAAAAGAAAATTTTCTTGTGGAGCTGAAATCATGCAGGTTCCATTTTACTCTTCTCGTCAAACTACTCTACAATTCTCTTCCAAAACCAATGCTCCCTCCACACTCTATCCATCACCTCGATTGGCAGATTTTTAGTCTCAGGCAACAGCAAATACACAAATGCAGTCATCACTGCCACCCATCCACCGAAAAAGAAGAAAATTCCGGACTTGAAATGGCAAAGCATAGCTAGAAAAGTTTGGGCAACAATGAAAGTAAAGAGGAAATTCACTGCCACCACAACGCTCTGCCCTGCCGATCGAATCTCCAGTGGGAAAATCTCGCTAGGAACTAACCATCCCAATGGACCCCAAGACCAAGCAAAGCCAGAGACATATATGCATATCATGATCAGAACAAAATAGGCATACCCTTTTTCTATGCTGCCATGGTCACCTAGCTGAGCTGCCATGATGCCTCCAATCATAATCTGTGACACAAACATTTGTAGACCACCAAATATGAGCATGACTCTTCTGCCAAGTTTGTCTACTATGAGCATCGATAAGAATGTCGAAGCAGTGCCTACGACTCCAGCTATCAGCGCAGACATGATGAGTGACACACTTTCGTTTAGACCGATAGTCCTGAAGAGTATCGGAGCATAGAATGAAATGACATTGATACCTGTTACTTGCTGAAAAAACGGTATTGCTACTGCCATGACTAGTTGTGGTCTATAGTTTTTTTGTACAATTTTCTTGATTGGATGTTCAATGGTTTTTGAGACCAAACTTGCTCTGATGAGATCATTAAGTTCTGCTTCGACATCGGTCGTGCCGCGGATGCGTTGCAGCATGGTTTTGGCCTTATGTTCGTCGTTGAAGCGTTGAATTAGGCTGTTGGGTGTCTCGGGTAGGAAAAGGGAACCTGTAGTCAGGAAAGACGCAGGGATTGCTGCCATTGCTAGGGAGACTCGCCAACCCCAACCACCTTCAATCTTTTCAGTGCCGAAGTTAATAAAATTAGCTGAGAGTACTCCAATTCCGACGCAGAGTTGGAAGCCATTGTTGATTCTCCCTCTATATCTTGGAGGTGCCATTTCAGAGAGATACAAAGGAACTGCCTGCACAAAAAAAATAACAGGAAAAAAATATGCAACCATTTCAGAGAGATGAAGATCCAATCCTTGGTTCCTTACCACGCGAAAATCAGATATAATAATTATGTGATCAATTGGGAATATAGGTGGACTAGAAGATTCAAGGTAAACTACCTGGTTTGCAAAACCAACTCCAACTCCTAGAAGGACACGGCCAAATATTAGCATGTACAAATTAGTCGCAGCCCCATTAAGAGCAGAACCAGAAAGGAATGCAGCACCTCCTGCAAGGATTGATGGTTTGCGTCCGAAGTATCGAGTGATTGATGATGCAAAGAAGGAAGCGACAAGGCCGGCAATATAGAGTGATGATGTGAAGGTGGTCAGAAGCTGGCTGTCAAATTTGCAGTAGTTGCTAATCTCGGTATCTTCCTTCATTCTAGTATAAACTTCTGGGAAGAATTTCTTGAGAAATGGTTCCATAGAGGTCACTCCACCTTTAAGTTTAAAGTGCTTAAGTTATATAACAAAACAGCAAAAAACATTTTTGACAATACAGTAGCAGTAGTTGGTGATTGAATAAGCTCAATCAAGGAAATTAAAAAAAAAAAAAAAAGGTTAGAACAACAGACCTGAAATTCCAATATCATAACCAAAAATAAGTCCTCCCATGGAAGCTACCATACAAGATAGGATAACAAACGAAGTAATCCTACCATTATACTGCCCACCTTCACTTGCTACAGCTAATCCTATGGCCATGGCTTAAACCTCCAAGTTCAAAGGGAGGAAGAGATATTCCAAGATGTAGATAGTATATAGAGAACAAAAAGAGCAGCCTTTCTTGACTTATAGAGATCACTACACCAACCTTATCGGCGTAGGATAGTCAAAGTAAAATTTGTACGTGATGTATATCTGAAATAGACTTGGTAGAGCAAGTAGCGTTGGATGTTGAAGTTGAAGATTTGGAGTCTAGCAATTTAGTAGCATAAAATCTAAGCAGAAATTGGAGACTAGCTAGTTACATCATTGGTATTAGAAATTAACAGCAGACTTTGAAATTTCATTCAAATGTAATTGAAATGATTTAGACTAATCATATGCCATCCAGTTCCATCCTCCTCCATATCCAGGGTTTATGGACAGGAGCATTTTCAGAAGTAAATTGAACACTGAACTGATCACACCCTTTTTCGATCCCAATTAAGGTATTAAACAAAAAGAGGGTTTTTTTTTTTTTTCCCAACAACAAAGTTGAAAACTTTAATTGTATATGTTTCATGCAGCTTCAATTTTAGCCTCTTCATCCATTTCGCCCACAATTCTGTTCCAAAACCAGTGCTCCCTCCACACCCTATCCATTTTCTCAATTGGCAGATTCTTGGTCTCCGGCAACAAGTAATACATAAAGGCGGTCATCACTACAACCCAGCTCCCAAAGAAAAAGAAAATCCCAGACTTGAAGTGGCAAAGCATGGCTAGAAAGGTTTGAGCAACAATGAAAGTGAAGAGAAAGCTTACTGCAACCACAATACTTTGCGCAGCTGATCGAATTTCCAGAGGAAAAATCTCACTGGGAACTAACCATCCTAATGGACCCCATGACCAGCCAAACCCAGCAACGTAAATGCATATCAAAATCAGTACAACATAAGCATACCCGTTGTCTATACCACCATGATCACCTAGCTGAGCTGCCATTATCCCTCCAACCATTATTTGTGACACCAACATCTGCACGCCACCAAATATAAACAATGGTCTTCTGCCAAGTTTGTCGACTATAAGCATTGATATAAATGTTGATCCAGTACCCACAATCCCAGTCACAACTGAAGACATGAGGGATGCGCTTTCTCCTAGTCCTATTGTCCTGAAAAGTATAGGAGCATAGAATGCAATGACATTGATTCCTGTTACCTGCTGAAAAAATGGTATGGTTATTGCCATTACTAGTTGAGGCCTATACTTCCTTTTTAAGATATTCTTAAACGGGTGCTCAACGGTTTTCGAGATTGAGCTAGCTTTGATGAGATCATCAAGTTCTACTTCAACATCTTCAGTGCCTCGGACTCGTTGTAGCATTAGCTTAGCTCTTTCTGTGTCGGTGCGCTGAATGAGACTGTTTGGAGTTTCTGGGAGGAAAAGTGCACCTAGTGTAAGAATTGCAGCTGGGACTGCTGCCATGGCTAGGGACATTCTCCAGCCCCAACCGCCTTTTATCTTTTCAGTGCCATAGTTTATGAGGTTAGCAGAGAGTGCCCCGATGCCAATACTAAATTGGAACCCATTGTTGATTGCTCCTCTGTATCTTGGTGGTGCCATTTCGGAGAGATAGAGTGGGACTGACTGCAGAACAAGTCAAACGTAAAACAAGCTGATTAAACAAATGATTGAAAAGGAGTCAGGCAGTCTACCTGATTAGCAAAACCAACACCAACTCCAAGTAGGACTCGACCAAATATTAGCATGAAAATGTTAAATGCTGCACCACCCAGGGCAGCACCAGCAAGGAAGGCAGCACCTCCCAAAACAATCGATGGCTTGCGTCCAAATGCTTTGGTCATCGATGAGGCAAAGAATGAAGCAAGAAAACCAGCAACATACATTGAGGATGTGAAGGAGGTCAACAATTGGCTATCAAACTTGCAGTAATTGCTAATCTTTGTGTCTTCTTTCATCTTTCTGTACACTTCCGGGAAGAATTTCTCCAGAAATGGTTCCATTGAGGTCACACCACCTTCACAATGTAGACTAGCATTAGTTAATCTTCTTCTTGTTTAGTTATCTTTTAACATCAACATTGATTCAGCGAACGACTAGTAATGTGATGGTCAAACGAGTTCAATCAAGCAAGTTATAATGTTAGCTGCATGTAGCAAGATTCTAAAAGATGCTAATTTTCTCTTCTTTTTCATTATTAAGCTAATTTAAATGCTATCTCCAAGTCGTTATACGTTATTATGGTGTGCTTAAAATACTGGTAAATCGCAATCCAGAAAACATGAATATAATCTTAATTCTATAGTACATAAACAAGTGGCAATAAAGAAAGATCATGTTTAGGACTGATATAGTAGATGTAGAGCATAAAAAAACAGACCTGAAATTCCAATATCATAGCCAAAAATGACTCCTCCCATGGCAGCCATCATACAAGACAAAAGAACAAACCATGTGATCTTGCCATTGTATTGCCCTCCTTGATCACTTTTTATGCTTAATCCTACTTCCATGAGACTAAACCTTTCCAAGTTCACACACAAGTCTCTCTGTGAGAGAGAAGGCAGTTAAGGAGGAGATATTTCTGATGGATGATGGAAAGTGCAGTTTTCATTGACTTGTAGTGGTCAACATCGAAACCAGCAGTGCAGTCTTCAAAATTATAAATAATTCCATGAACGCTTGGAACTATTAGGAGCAAGTGGGGCAAAATTTTAGAATTTTATCGGCATGGAATCTTGTGTGGTTCCCTCTCATACACTTAAAATATTAGGAGGACTAGCTTGCTTGCTTAGTTGCCAATTAGTGTCTGAGTAGGACCTGTTTGAATCATTTCTTTTCCAATTAGTGTCTGAGTAGGACCTGTTATCCATGGCTGACCAGCAATTTATCACATTAACATTTCTTTTCTCTGCTTTGCAGGGGACAAAGAAACCGAACTGAACAACTCAAACTCTTTTACTTCCAACCAGAACAGGAAAAAAAAAAAAAAACCAGTGCGAATATAAGTAAATTTTCACAAGAAATTCGGAAATTTTAATTCCTTATGTTCCATGCAGGTTCCATATTCTTAATATTCTCATCCATTTCCCCCACAAATCTCTTCCAAAACCAGTGCTCCCTCCACACTTTATCCATTTTCTCTATAGGCATATTCTTGGTTTCTGGCAACAAGTAGTACACGAAGGCTGTCATCACCACAACCCATCCCCCGAAGAAGAAGAAAATCCCAGACTTGAAGTGGCAAAGCATGGCAAGAAAGGTTTGTGCAACAATGAAAGTGAAGAGAAAGCTTACTGCAACAACAATACTTTGCCCTGCCGATCGAATTTCCAAAGGAAAAATCTCACTCGGAACTAACCATCCCAATGGACCCCAAGACCAAGAAAAGCCAGAAACATATATGCATATCACAGTCAAAACAAAATAAGCATACGCTTTACTTATGCTGCCATGGTCGCCAAGCTGAGCAGCCATAATACCTCCAACCACTATTTGTGACACAAACATCTGTGCGCCACCAAACAGAAACAATGCTCTTCTCCCTAGTTTGTCTACTATGAACATGGATACGAACGTTGAAGCAGTGCCCACAACCCCAGTCACAACTGCAGACATGAGGGATGCGCTTTCACCTAGTCCGATTGTCCTGAAAAGTATTGGAGCATAAAATGCAATGACATTGATTCCTGTCACTTGCTGAAAAAACGGTATGGCTATCGCCATTACTAGCTGTGGCCTATACTTTCTTCTTATGATCTTCTTAAACGGGTGCTCAATGGTTTTTGAGATTGAGCTAGCTCTGATAAGATCACCAAATTCCGCTTGGACATCTTCAGTGCCTCGTACCCTTTGTAGCATTACTTTAGCCCTTTCACGGTCATCCGTGCGCTGAATGAGACTGTTGGGTGTTTCAGGGAGGAAAGTTGCACCTAAAGTAAGGATTGCAGCCGGGACTGCAGCCATGGCTAGGGAGATTCGCCAGCCCCAACCTTCTTTGATCTTTTCAGTGCCATAATTTATAAGGTTAGCAGAGAGTACGCCGATGCCAACATTGAATTGGATACCACTATTGATTGCTCCTCTGTATCTTGGAGGTGCCATTTCTGAGACATAGAGTGGGACTGACTGCAAACAATATTTAATAACATAAGTTTATTAAAGTTTCTGAGTTTGAAAAATAAAAAATAAAAATAAAAATAAAGCGGAGGGGTCAATGGAATCGAATAAAATTATCAAAGAATTCAAGGATTACCTGGTTTGCAAAACCAACACCAACTCCAAGCAAGACACGGCCTAATATTAGCATGTACACATTAAACGCTGCACCACCGAGGGCAGCACCAGCAAGGAAGGCTGCTCCACCTAAAAGAATCGATGGCTTTCGCCCAAACGATTTGGTGACCGATGAGGCAAAGAAGGAAGCAACGAGGCCAGCAACATACAGTGAGGATGTGAAGGAGGTCAACAATTGACTATCAAATTTGCAGTAATTGCTAATCTTCGTGTCTTCTGTCATCTTTCTGTACACTTCAGGGAAGAATTTCTCCAGAAATGGTTTCATTGAGGTCACTCCGCCTTCACATGAACTTACATTACTTAATCTTTGTATTTATTTTCTTTTATTCGTTTACTTGGTTTTATGCTAACACCGTTAATTAGTAGTAATATTGATCATCATTTGCATCCTTATACTTTCATGGTAAGTATTATGATCTACATGAGAAATCGGCAAGACATGCATAGCCCAAAAAAAAAAAAAAAAGCATATAATCTTTGCAAATATATAGTTTACAACAGAAAACAGAAGAAGAAAATATGCAGGTAATTGGCAAGATATCATTTTAAAGACTTTATAGTAGAGCTAGCATGACGACAGACCTGAAATTCCAATGTCATAGCCGAAAATGACTCCTCCCATGGCAGCCATCATACAAGATAAAACAGCGAACCAAGTCATCTTTCCATTGTACTGCTCTCCTGCACTTGCTATGGCTAACCCTGCTGCCATGGCTTAACTCTCCAAGTTTACACCCAAATGTCTGTAAGAGGGAAGCCAAGGAGGAGGAAAGATTGCAGATAGTTGTAGCTAGATAATGAAAGGGTAGCCTTCCTTTGACTTGTGGATATCAGCACCAGAAGCATGAGTTCAGTAGATTCAAAGCACATGTTGCAATACAAATCGTTTACACTTTGGATTTTTGTGGGACAAAATTTTGGAGTGTTCCTTGACTTCAATTAAATATCGTATGGTTTCACTCTCAAACACGTAATTTTAATTTGCAGGACAAGCTAACTTGACAAGTGAACATGGTGTCCATGTAATATATAATTGCTAGAAAAGTTGTTCAAACTTTGAAGTTCGAAGATATTTCAGTAGGATGGCAGTCCCCAATTATTGGAGGACAATATCTTTACTTGATCAAAAATTGGTTTCATGGTAACTTTTTGCTCCTTAACTAATGGGATCGGAGTTAATTGAGGTTTGAACTATCAATTTGCTCAATTATATCCTTAGACCATAATATTTTGACAAATGTTGTCCTTCTTTTTTATTTGACCGTTAGGTCAACCAGTCAGATTTTGACCATTTTAATAATAATTCAATATGTTTTCAAAAATAATTTCAAAATTTCAGAGGTTACGAAGTATTTGTTTTATTTCAATAAACATTAAATATTCATAAAAATTGCAAAAAATAAAAAAATAGAAAATAAATTGAAATACTCTCAAATTTTTTTGGGGTTGTAAAAAAATTATTAAAAGTTACCTTCATAGTTCTAATGTGATAGCTAAAATATTTTTATGGTTGAATGGGTAGAATCTAATTAAGGTTAAATATATCAATTATAGGAATCACATTTGCAAACATTTTGAGAATCAAATCAAAATTATCCATAAAAATTCATATGATTTCCCTATGGAGCTTACAAAATGTGAAAATGTTCTAGCTCATTTTTTATTTTACAAAATTTATTGAATTTTTATTGTTCTAAAAAAATAAAAAACTTTTCAGCCTCAAACAATTTTAAAATTATTTTACAACTTGGATTGAATTTTCATGAACATCTATAAAATCAATTGAAAATGCTAAAAAAAGATTCATTTTGTTTTTTTTTTTTTTTTGGGTGACCTTTGATCAATGGTCAAATTCTAAGTTGTTGATTTAATTGTCAAGTCAAAAGAAAGCATAAAGTTTGTTCAAAACATTCGAGGACATTATCCTATATACTAAACCAAAATGCTTTTTCACTATAGCAATTAACGGTGTCTATCACCGTTTATTGCTACGTGTGTTTTTTTTTCCATTATTTTTTTTGGCTAGACTCATTGCCCCCATCCGTTTACTCGTTCATTTGAACAAGTAACGACTTCCCTTCTTTTTTTTTTTTTTTGTAAACATTGAATTTTTTAAAAAAATTTCCATCCATTTATCGTTCACATGAACGAGTAAACGGCTTGCACCCTTTTTTTTCTAATCATTGATTTTTTTTTAATTTCTGTTTCTTAATAGTATTTGGTGTTAAAATTTTAAAAGAACCAATAATTAATTGAGTGTTAAAATTTTAAAGAAACCAATAATTTATTTCCTTTATTATTTATTTTTAAAATTTAAAAAAATAAATAAGAAATAGTTAAATACATAATTTTTTATTAAAAAATTATAATTATTTTTTACCATAAAACAGATTATTAAATTAAAATAATTTTTCTAAACGATTTTATATATTTTATCCAATCCGCGACATAGCGCGAGTAAAAAATCCGATACTATATACTAAAGAAAAACCATTTTCATCGTAGTAATGAATAGTGTTAATCACTATTCATTGCTATATTACTTTGGCTTTTTTTGGTTTTTTAAGTTTTCATTTTTTTTTTACCGAGCACCCACCGGCCTTCTCCCTCCTTTTTTACCCCGTTTCTTGTTCATTTGAATGATAAACGGCTTGCTCTCTTTTTTTCCCTCTAAACACTAATTTGTTTTTTAATTTCCGTCCGTTTACTATTCACATGAACAAGTAAACTACTGGCCTCTTTTTTTTTCCCTAAACATTGAATTTTTTTTAATTTTAATTTCTTAATAATATTAGGTGTTAAAATTTTAAAAGAACCAACAATTAATTGGGCGTTAAAATTTTAAAGAAATAAATAATTTATTTGCTTTATTATTTATTTCTAAAATTTAAAAACACAAATAAGAAATAGTTAAATATAAATTTTTTTCATTTAAAAATTATAATTATTTTTTATCATAAAACAGATTATTAAACTGAAATAATTTTTCTATATGATTTTATATATTTTATCCAATCCACGGCATAGTGCGGGTAAAAAATCTAGTAATTAACTAAACTGATACTTCAAATCTTAATGTCTTTGACCTGAATAATTAGGGGCAAAAATTGCTGTTAAATCATCATAAATTATAGTTGAGGCAAGTACATTAATTTTACTTTTTTTAATTAAGTATATGAATTTATTTTTTTTATTTGAGTATGTTATGTTTTTTTCAAAACTATCAATTAAATATTTCTCTCAATTTATTCATTAATTGATGATGTGCTCGTTATTCTAAAGTATCAAATTTTAATTTTAATTTTTTTCTAAATCAAGATATGATTTTATCCCCTTTTTTTTATTGGAACAAACTTCTTCCTTAAAGGTGAGCATACATACGAGGATAGGTGGATATCATTGTGCCCCTCTCTAGCCCTAGATGGCTAGGTAATCCTATCACTAGCAAGAGAAGCCCTCGCCTCATGCTTAGAGCTCAATTGCTCACTATATATTCTTAGCCTATTGGCATTTACCCTGTTGGAAAAAAAAACATCATTAAAGGCACTTAAAGCCAACCTAACTACCCCAAGAGGAATCCATGTCACTTCTCTATCTCCTAAGGCCTCACATCTACCTTTCGGAGAGGCCTTGGAGCCAAATGCATCAAGGCATGATAGGATGTGTTTGTCGTGGTGGGCATTTTTTCTCTACTAACATGTTGGTGAGGACCAGGAGAGAAAGAAAGAGAAGTGCTAGAGGGGGTATATATAAACCAAGACCCTCCATATTTTGCCGAAGGTTGTTTACGTAGCCCTTCTATCTTTCTTTTGTGTTTGAACTGGTAGGAGATACGACCAATACAGATAGAATTAGAACTGGCTCTAAGGCCAATCCAAGCGGTAGATATGAGGTCTTAGCAGAATTAATGATGGGTGCATTGGGATTTCGAAACGACAAAATTGCTAGCATTTGTTTAAAATCCCATGCACCGTCCTTTGGGCTCCCCTAGACAGTACAATCTACAAAGATAAATCAATGATGACTACACCTGCAACGCATCTAAAGCTGGCAGCACATAACAAGACTTTACGTCATCTCGGAGACAAGCAATTTCCCTCGGGGCCAATTTGATGTAGGAATGCCTCAGAAATTGTAATCAGTAGGGTGTCCTGACGAACTCTAAAGAAAGCAAGTCTTTACTAGTAAAATGCCAAGAATTGCAGAGCCAACTGATATATCCAGAAATATGGAAACTTTTTCTATCACATCAACAATGAACATCATCGCAACAATCGCCAAATTATTGGCGATCCACATTATCCACGCAACTGAACACCTAGTTTATAAAGAATCCTAAAGACTAAGGATTCCTAGCTCCAATTTTGCTATCTCAACACTAATAAATTGGTTAATGGCAGAGTAAACAAATCTCAAATATGATAGCAAACAATCTCCAATAATTATAAAATTTAAAACACAAGTTAAACACCAATACATGAAACACCCTAAAAATTTCAGATTTAAATAACTAAGGTAGGTAGACTTGTTAAAATGAATAAAAACCGAAACCAATACTTATAAACTTTGATTTTAGACTAAGGACTAAAATTCTATCAATTTCAGATTTCACCATCCCTCCCATCCAAGAGAAACGTAACAGCGGCATGCATGGATTCTGCAAAAATATCCCTCCATTCATTTTGATTTATATCTGTTTAAACTTGAAAAAAATTCATCCTCTTCCTTCACATACTTATAAACTTTGAGTTACAATTAATGTTTTTACATCCAAATCTTTCAAAACTTAGATGAGCTTTTAGAGAGAGAAAGAAAAGCCATGGAAGATTATTTTACCTCTTGAAAGCCTCTCTTTGGCCGAAATGGAAAGAGGGTCACTTAAGATTAACTACACCTCCCTTATCATAATGAAGAAGAAAAAATGGCCTAAGGTTTCAAGCTCCAAATCCAGAAAGAACTTCCTTCTCTCTCTTTTTTTTTTTTTTTTGAGAAACCCTACTGTCTCTCTCTCTCCTCTTTTTCTGTCCCGTTTTGTTCTTTTTAAAGCCATATACCTTTCAATCTTAACCCTTTGATCTTCTATCCTGGATCCTGACCCTTCCTTTCCCATCCCTAAAAATCCTCTCCTTCTACTGTCATTACCATTTTCTCTTCTTTGCTGCCGAGAGTCTGGTGAGGGTTAGTGAGTGCAAGACCAAGGCATGGCCTAGTGAGGCGAGTCAGTATGAAGATTAAGTGCCAGGATGGAGGAGTTGGTGCTGGTTTTCGGGACACTCCAGCCAGCACCCCACCCCTCTGCTTCGTTCCCGTTTCTTTTTCTTCTTCTGTCGCGTTTAGCTTTGCATTTTGTGGGAGAAGGAGAAAGGAACGACGGATGACGCGTCGTTCGAGACGAACGTTTAAGTTTGTCTTTGTCGTTCTATTATCTTTCAAATTTCATCCTTCTCTGCTTAATTTTATTTCAATTATACCCTTCCATTTAAATCATTTTGGTCCTTCTTGTCTTAAATTTTACTTATTGTCCCTATTTTTCTCAATTGTTTTCCTTAAGATTTTGGTATTTCTAAATTGACCCACAAAATTTTAAAATTAATTACAATTAAAACGCAAAAAATCTGACATTAAAGCTCTTCTTTTTGTATTTTTTTTCCTTGGCATTTATGATAAAATGAGGAATGAGAATCTACGCTGAAAAATTAAAAGTTAAATGAAACAGAATCTAATAATAATAGTAGCAGTAGATTAAAATAAAATAAATATTCATGGGAAGTCTATATCATGTAAAATAATATATATAAAAGAAAATCTAAAATAATTATGGCAGTCAAAATTGGGTTTACGACACCAATCATGACGTTTGCTAAGCTGATTTGTGGGTAAGTTATGGGGTTTTTTTATGCTTGGCAGTTGGGCTTTTGAAAGGTTGAATGAGAGGTTGATTCGATAGTGATTGCAGCTGGACTTTTTACTGTACAGAATGTTCAGATGGGTGATCCTATTATGTGTGAGATTATAGAGCTTTTGTGCATCAATCATACTTTCCTGGAGGATAATCGTTGTGCGGATTGGATTGCTAGCTAATTGTGTTCACAGATTAATGTTAGGAGTCCATTCTTTTAGCAACCCTCTAGAGGATATTTTATCTTTGCTATTGACCGACAAAGTACAAAACAATAGATATCTACGGTAGTTGAAATTTCCTTCTCATTGAGATTTTTCTTTATACCACTAGAGATTAATACTTACAATAAATACAAAGTCTTGCATGTGAGGAATTCCTGTTGATATATCTTGTCCACGCAGATCAAATTTCATAAGATCATCTCCATCAACCTCAAGAGGCAATAAGTTAGTAATTGGAGGGCCCTTGAAAGCCCTTGATAAATAGGATTTTTAAGATAAAACAGGAATGAATCGCGGGAATCTCGAGTGATTAACGACCAATAACCAACATCAACGGCAAAATTCATGGATTCAAAATATTAATTATCGGTGCAAGGATATGAAGACAAAATATTTACAATCAACGAGTCCCATTTAACGAGTAAATTATAAATTAGTCACGCTAGTTTTGAGAAATGATTAATTAGTATTTCTCATTTCAAAAATTAATTATTTAATTTTAAAATTTCTTGATAACTTAATTCTTTTTGTTTTTGTTTTTAATTTATTTTGATATTTTGGTTTTAAGAAATAAAACAAATAATATGAAAAAATGATATTTTTAAATAAATTAATATTAAATTAAGTATAATAAATACTAGTTAAAGAATTAATTTTTGAAACAAGAAGGACTAAACTAATTTACGTTGTACGCCCATCTCAACAGACAAGACTTTTTTCCTTGAGTAATTCAAGCCTTGCAAATAGTCAAGAATCGACTAATTGATTGCATTGATTAAAAAGCCTTAAGCTTCTGCTGTTTATCATGGAAAAATTTGAAGATGGTGAGAAAGAATAATGCATGATACTTATTATTATTATTACTATTGTAAAAAAAAAAAAAAAAAACACCAAATTATATATATATATTAAGACTAACAAGAAACTAAAATTTGATATGAACCTAAGATCTTGATCCATTTTCTTTTCTATTTCGAAGAGAAGAGAATTCAATTTTAATTTCTTAATTTTTTTTTTAAAAAAATCTAACATTCATATATTTAATTTCAACATACGTCAATAAGAAATATTATTAAATTCTAATTATAGTCAGCGAAACACTCTTAATAATTTTGTGATTATATTATATGTCACAAAGAAAATTTTGATTGCCAAACTATATAATAAATCTTATGCACATGTGATACCAACCATGTGCTAAATTTCTGACAAAAAATTAATAATTTTTTTAATAAAAAATCCGAACCGTTGATTGATTTCAAAATCAATGATCTAAATTTAGCTAACATAATAAATCACGTCACTCCTAACTTAAGGATCGAAAACCAAATCTCCTTGCAAGAAAATGCCAAAGTTAACCCTGATTTTTGCTGTGGCACCAGTACAATTAATCCTTTGTTGATGAGTATTAAGCTTGGCTTCTCCTTTTCTCTAACACTAACAATTAACCACTAATCATTACTATGTCAAGAAAAAGGGGTAGAAACGTCCTTCTAAGTAAGAGTTATATTTCTAGGATTATGATTAAAAAAATTAATTGATGTGGAATGATTGTAACATGTCACTTGCTTCTTCTATAAATACTACAAGTAAGTAGTGATCAATCACCATAATCTACGTAATCTACTGCATTAGGTCAGGATCTTTAGAAGTAATTAATTAGCAGCTAGTAGTGACTAGCAAGAGCCATGGCACCCCCACTCTTCATTTTTCTTCTAATGGTTTGTTCATCTTATATTTAATAGTACTTGTCGTTGGCTATTTAGAGCTATGCTTTTGCTTCAATCCCAGAAATTTAAACCTGTCATCAAGTACTGTAGGCATTCGTTGGTCTTCTGCTGGAGCTACTTGGTATGGTAGCCCTAATGGAGCTGGTAGTGATGGTAATTAATTAAAGAGAGATCAGATTTCTTTCTTTACACACACCCACAGAGTATATATAGTGACTGATAATTTGTTCATGTAGGAGGTTCCTGTGGATATGGAGCTGCAGTTTCACAATCTCCGTTGTCTTCAATGGTTACCGCCATAGGTCCATCGCTATACAAGTCTGGCAAAGAATGTGGAGCCTGTTATCAGGTACGAACAATTTCCGTGGCATGTGTCTTCATTGAGTACTACTGTTTCCCTCTTAGTGTAGACCAAATTGTGCTTCAAAATTCAAACTCTTTCCTTGGCTTATATATCTACCTATCCAGCTTTTTTATTGAATATTTTTTAACAAACACGAAATATGTTGTAATATTGGTGTGCGTACGTAGGTGAAATGTACGAAACATCCATCGTGTTCTGGGAAGCCAGTTAGAGTGGTAATAACAGATTTTTGCCCTGGAGGTCCATGTGTGTCTGAATCAGCTCATTTTGATCTCAGTGGTACTGCCTTCGGTGCCATGGCAATTGCAGGTCAAGATGACAAACTTCGTGATGCTGGAACCTTAGAAATCGGATTTGCAAGGTGCGTACCTAAATCTAACAAGTCAAAATTCAAATTCCATCTATAGTACTTACGACTCGCGACTCTGTGTTCTCTAGGGTTCCATGTGACTACTCAGGAAAAAACATAGCATTCCATGTAGACCCGGGGTCAAACTCCAACTATATTGCAGTTGTGGTGGAGTTTGAAGACGGAGACGGTGATCTAGCCAGAGTAGATTTAAAGGAAGGTTCGACTGAATCTAACGAAGAATGGAGGGAAATGCAACAATCATGGGGTGCAGTCTGGAAGCTTGATGCTGGAGCACAACTTCATCCTCCATTTTCTATCCGATTGACATCTCAGTACTCGGGCAAAACCCTGGTCGCAAAGAACGTGATTCCTGATGGATGGAAGCCTGGCACAACTTATAGATCTTTGGTTAATTTCTTGTCTACTTGACAAATTCCATAATTAAGGAGATGTATCTATCATCTATTGCAATTAATCAAGCATAAGGATGGCCATGCTTAATGTATTGAGTTTGCGGGCTAATTAGGACCAATTAGGCAACTACGAACATGCTAGCTAGCTAGTATATATAGAAGAATTATTAGTGGTGTGGTGCTTGTAAATGAATGTTGGATGATGCTAGTAAATAACTAGAAGATGCTTAGCATAGGTCAAGTTGCTTGTTAATGGATTATATATCCAAGGGCTTATAAGCCTGGCCCTAATTCCCTATAAAAATATCAATGGTTTATGTACTCTTTAGATTTATTTTCTTTAATTTATTTATGGAGTATTTTTTATTTTTAAATTTTTTTTAATTAATATGATTTTTTTTTATGGAATTCAGTTTAATTTTTTAAATAATATTAACAAATAAACTAATATGTCGGATAAAACCGATACGTGAAATGATAAAAATTTATCACATGTCATTTATATATATAGCATGTTATTTTATTTGTTATTTGCTTCCGAAAATTTGACTAAAATCTTATCAAAATGGCTACTTTAAAAAAAAAATATTTAGGATAAAAAAATCAAATAAACAAAAATGAAATAGAGGAGAAGCTAATTTTTGGAGTTTGAAATGCATTAAGAGCTTAGTCTGAAATACATTGGTACGTTTAAAATACATTGAAAATTTGCAATAATTAACTTGATTAAAGAATTAGACAAAAAGAGACAAAGGAAGCCGTGATTAATTGAAAAAGAAAAGAATCGAAAAAAAAATCAACAAAAGAAGAGAAAGAGCAAGAAGACATATGATCAAGAAAGGAAAAATGAAACCACCAACGGGTGGTGCAGCGGCAAGAATTTAGTATTAAGGGGTTTACTCTTTCGTAATCTTGGGTTCGAGTGTTAATTATTTTTTTATGATCACCGAAGGCTTATATGGTCATTAACTTTAAGATTCACAAGATTAGTCGAGGTGCGCGTAAACCGATCCGGACACCTGCATTAAAAAAAAAGGAAAAATGAAACATAAGTGGAGGTCAGTGTTTAAGGGAAAAAAGGATCTTACATGACTTGAAAAAGTTAAACCGAAAGTCCAAATACATACATATAGACAAATAGAACGGAAATCAAAATTAACCGAAACTTGAATTGACGATAGACAAGTAGAACGGCTCAACCCATGATTATTCAATTGCTTAAATTAAAATTACAAGAATCTCTTTATCAAAACCGATACCACATCGACCTCTAACATCATTAAACCCACAAACTTGAATATGCAATTACGATTTATGCAGTAAATTACTCATTCCTTGCATAGTTATGTAAATCTTGCATATAAATACCATATAATAGGTACATGAGAAATACGCAAAAAAAAAAAAAAAAAAAAAAAAAAACTAACTTGTTTTCCTATGATCTTAATTCTCTACTGTTAGTTTCATGGCATCAGAACCATGACAAACTAATCCTTTTATTTTTGAAATAACAAATTAATTATTATTATTATTTTTAAAAACTAATTTTGAATTTAAAATATAAAAATTAAATAATTAATTTTTGAAATAACGAGGATTGATTATTATTATTTTTTATTGAATCCAGAAAAACTAATTAAGTTTTCAAGAAAGTGGATCTCACGAACAGAGGTTCTGTGTGACCATGGAGCTGGCTCGCCTAATAAAAAAACTCGAGATCTTGGGCTACCTGTTCAAGTCATAAAATGGGATTATTGAGGGTAAAGTTTCAAAACCAATGCTTATAATTATTGACTCCACTGTTTTTGTCATCATCCAAAGTCACCAACTTTAAGTTCTCATCGTCGCCATCTTCAACTTCATCGTTTGAGTAGCAAATACAAAACTAAACGCTTCTTTTATCTGTCTTCGTTTTCAACATCAAAAAGCCATATAACACCAGTTGTCCTGGGAGCACTCACTACAAGAGCAGCTGCAGCAACAACAACAACCGAAATGGTCAAAGCTATCAGGGTTTATGAGCATGGTGGACCTGAGGTATCTCTCTCTTCTTCTTGGTTGTGTTTGGTACATGTGATCTTATAGGGTACTAATGGTTTATTATGGTGATGGGTTGATAAAGTTTTGTTCTTTTGATCCAATTACGTTGACCTGTTGTTAAGGTTTGATAAGGATTAGTTTTATCTGTTTTCAAATCAAATGATTCATCTATATAGGTTGGTAAATGGGTGGTTCAGACACCATACTTTGGTCAAAAGAGAAGGCCCCTGAGTTTGTTTTGTCCAAGTTGATTGTGCTTATGATCATATATTTTCCTTTTGAGTGTGCCCGTGTGTGAATTTGGACTTGTAATCATTGAAAGTTTAATTCTTTTGATCGTACGTTTTCCTCGTTTCAGTTAAAGTGTGTATTGAGATCATGTGTTGGTGTTTGATTGTGCTTATGATCATATATTTTCTTTAAAGTGTGCCCGTGTGTGAATTTGGACTTGTAATCATTGAAAGTTCAGTTCTTTTGATCATATCCTTTCCTCGTTTCTGTTAAAATGTGTATTGAGATCATGTGTTGGTGTTGCATAGTTAGAATCATCTTTATTGGTGACCATTTTGTGTTTAATTTCTTATCCTTTGATTGGGTAATCATGTTTTTGCTTACTGAATGCGCATGATGGCAATGATATATACAGGTCCTGAAGTGGGAAGATGTGGAGATAGGAGAGCCAGGTCAGTGTGAGATACGCGTGAAGAACAAGGCCATTGGGCTTAACTTTATTGATGTCTACTTCCGCAAAGGAGTTTATAAGGCTTCCACTATGCCCTTCACTCCAGGTTTGACATTATAACCCTCTCGGTTCACTGTGTAACAGCTGTGATTATTCAACAACAGTGGACATATTTCTAGTAGAATGCCTTTTGTGTGAGAAAAAACTCTTCAATTTTGGAGGAGAGCACAAACACATACGAGGAATGTCTTAAGATCAGAATCCTAGTATATAGTTTGTGTAGGAATTTTCTTCATCAGCTTTTGCTAGAGTTTTTGACAGTATAAAGGTGTGCATTTATCAGCCAATGTTGGGCTTTAAGCCATTTAAAAGTTATGTCTCCTGAAGGTAGTTGAGAATTTTTCTCTATTGAAGGCATGGAGGCTGTTGGAGAAGTGATAGCTGTGGGCCCTGGAGTTACAGATAGAAAAGTTGGAGAAGTTGTAGCTTATGCTGGTGGTCCTATGGGTTCATATACTGAAGAGCAGATCCTTCCTGCAAACAACGTTGTGCCTGTTCCTCCTTCCATTAGTCCTTCAATTGCAGCATCCGTGATGCTTAAAGGCATGACTGCTCAGTTTTTACTCCGCCGCTGCTTCAAGGTAGGTTGTATGTCTGGCTGCTTTCTGACTTCAGCAATCGTAACTTGTCCTATCATGTGTATCAATCAGGTTGTAAAATAATTGGGTTCGTAAACCTGAGAGGTAATGTCAAATTATTATTTGACATCTAAATACCAAAAAAGGAAAAACAACATTCGTTCATCCAAATGCCAATGTATCTTAACACATTTTCATACAGTTTTCTATTTCTATGTGCCCGATCTAACTTTTGCATTTTCAGCTTGTTATATAGAGTTACTTATGATTATCATCATTTTTTTAGTTGTTCTACTTTTTGTTTGGACAACATTTTTTGGCTACATGGACCTAGTTACTCTTTATAAAAAGAAACATGTCTTGCAGTGGATTATTTCAATTAGTTCATTATCTGACTTTTTCCAGAGAAACAAATAACTAAGTTAGATTTTTTATTCCAGGTTGAACCTGGACACACTATCCTTGTTCAGGCAGCAGCTGGTGGAGTCGGGTCTCTGTTATGTCAGTGGGCAAATGCTCTTGGCGCCACTGTCATAGGTACTGTCTCAACCAAGGAGAAGGCAGCACAAGCGAAGGACGATGGATGTCACCATGTTATAATTTATAAAGAGGAAGATTTTGTTGCCCGTGTCAAAGAGATAACATCAGGAAATGGCGTCAATGTTGTCTACGATTCCGTGGGGAAAGATACCTTTCAGGTAATGCTTATTCTATTCTTCGATTTGAGTTGTCTATGGAGGCAGAAACTTTATTTCCCAAATTGATATTTTTGGCTTTAGGTTGATTTTACATCCTCTATGTGCTTGTTATCTCATTTTTATGTACTAGGTGTCATTTTAAGGTACTTTTAGAAGGTTTGATTTGTCATGGACCCAAAGAGAGACATTTTTTCTCTTAAAAAAATGTATCTGATCTTATACTTCAAACTGTCTAAAAAGTGCTCCTGATCTCAAATTTGATCTGTTACTTCTAGCTTTAATCTGGTGAAACCTGATTTTTTTTTTTTATTCACTTATACTAAGAAGAAGGCTATATAGAACACAGTAGTTACATTTTGACCAGTTGGGCTGTTAGTCTAAGGCCAACCGCACATTTCTGCTCTAAAGTTTTATTGGTTAAGTCCTCATCGGTAGGTTTCCGTATGCAGGGCTCGTTGGCATGCTTAAAGACTCGTGGCTACATGGTGAGTTTTGGACAGTCATCTGGGACACCAGATCCGTTCCCAGTGTCGGTGCTTGCACCCAAATCATTGTTCTTGACAAGGCCCACCATGATGCACTATACTGCAACCCGGGATGAGCTGCTGGAAACTGCTGGGGAGGTATTTGCTAACATTGTATCTGGCATGTTGCGGGTTCGTGCGAATCACACCTACCCTTTATCTCAAGCAGCACAGGCACATGCAGATCTGGAGAGTCGAAAAACATCTGGGTCTGTTGTATTGTTACCATAAGACTCTGAGCAGTCAGTATTGTGGTTGCAAGCTATACCGAATCCTTGTGGGGGAAGAAATCGCTCATCTGTACTTGCTCGGTTTGGCGTATCATCTCCTTGACTTCTCATTGACGTATAAGCAACCTGAACTACTTCGTTCTATAGTTTCCTTTCTATCAAATAAATCTAATAGGCGATGTTTGCTATCTGTTGTTTTTTTCTTGCTGATTGTGCTCTGCTACAGCCAGTTGGCTTGCTTTTTTGTTTTTTTTTTTCCTTCTTGTGAGGAACAAAGTGCTGTCTTTAAAATAAATCAACAATGGACAAGCAGCTTTTCTTCCTTCTTGAACACTTCCACTTTGTTCAAGCTCAAATTTGATCCATGCAAAATTTCCAGTTTTTTTTTAAACAAGATTAATATAATGCCCTATGTTTGTTAATCCTTGTTGTGGCAATATGACTCTTATTTTGCTTACCAACTACTAACGATAACCATAACTATTGATAGCGGGTTGTAAGATCGTATCTATAGAAAAAAAACTGTTAGTTCCATGGTCAGTCTTATATTGTTTTTGTGAGTAAATATAATTATAACAAAGATAAAGGGCAATAGAATTCTAAAAGAAAAATTTAGGACAGCCATGTTTCATTAGAATCAATTACACGGATAATAATGATACATAAATAATGATTCATCTTCTGAACGAGTATTACATAAACAATGACAGAACACACAAATCTATTCTGTGTAATGATCTTTATTTTGAAGACTCGGCAACAAAATCATAAGCAGTACTCATACTCTAGCTGGTTGTAGCTTTATAACCACGACTCATGACATTGGCATGTTTCTTAATGACAATAAATCTACACTAGTTGCCTGCTTTTATGATTCAGAATCACCACTGACGCAAGTAGGGTTGCAAGGGTAAGGGCAATCGATTTTTTCGAAGGCACTTCGGTCATAGAACCAATCTCCTACAGCCTTCCCAATTTTCTGCAGTTAAAAAAAGGTCCATACACAAAAGATTAATAGAAATTCATAAGTAATCAATATATGATTATAAATGGTTGAAAAACAGTGAAGAAAAAGAAGATATGTCAGTCATTACCGTATTGGCCACAACTGGAGATTTGTCAGCTAACCACGTAGATACCGACCCAGATTGGCAGTGAGCATAGCAAGAATCTATCCACAATCCTCTTGATGAAGAGTTGCCGAGTCCAGTATTCACTGCTTTTAAAAATTGTGTCCTATAACCTGAAATAAAATCCTCGGAGTAAAACTTCTCTCGGCACAAAAGATTACCTCATTACCAAGCTGATGAACTTCACTCATTTCCCATCATTAACTCGGAATTTGGTTGTTATAAAATTAATAAAGGAACAAAAGCTTTGGAATGGAAATGATCACCTTGCACGGTTTGGAGTTGACTAGCTGAGCATTTCTTCAAATCAAGCTTGCAGTTCTTCCATTCTTTTTTGGAATCAACAGCGGTTGGCGCAAGGATGTTCTTTATCTGAATCAATATGAAAGGACGGAAGATCAGATAAAATACAAGAAGATAACTGTCATGTACGTTGCGTTCTTTATTAACAACAGTATCTTAATTTATTGCGTATTTCAGTTTTAGGGTTACTGAGTAACAAGTTAATATAAATCAAGGCGCAATCCTTGCCATTTCCATAGTCTTACAAGAAAGATACAACAACAAGAGCCAAGAGGAAGGTATATAGTTGAACAATAAGAAAACTATTCGCAAAATGTATTTATATATTGAACAAAAATCTTTACTAAGAAGCAGAAATTTGCTAACCTGCCAGGAATCGTAGGCTGAGTTTATGATAAAAAGTGGTGTTCGCATAGTCTGTGCCACATATTGTGGGAAGAAACACTGCAATGACAGGAAAGCATTTGTGAGAAGGAAGAAGAATGGTGAAGAGTAGCAGTACTAGGTCATTATTAGAATAGCCTTCCTTACCAAATCCGGTCTCATTTTTGAAGTGCATGATGCAGGCAAATTCTTTGCTGATCCCTGCAGAAAAGATAAGAGAAACAGAACGAAAAAGATGTTGCAATTAATAAAATGTAACTCTAGCAAATGAAATCCACAAGTTAACAACAAGCGAAGGAAAAAAACTCAAGTTTAAGTACAAGGACAATATAGGAAGGCCAGAAACAAAGAATAAGATAGGAACAATGGTCAAAGATAGAGAGTTACATGGGTTTTAACGACTTGGCCAAAGAAGGATTCAATTGGCAACCCTCCGGAAATGTCCGTCCTGTAAAGAAAATTATAATAATAAAAACTGATTAAGAAATTTCATGAAATTAAAACTAAGGGAGATAGCATCTGTTCTTGGTATATGAGCTTAATTACCCGTGAATAAAATAACCAGCATCAGAAACGCATTTTACTCTAGCACTTGCAGGCAGGAGGGATTGGAATTTATCACAATGCAAAATAGCAGCCAATCCACCAGCAGAACATCCAGAAAGAATAGCCTGTCATTTACAAGTCCCAACAGCTTATCTTAAGAAAATAAATGGATGAAATGCAAGTAAATAAGTTGTAGTAGTTTTTTAACGGGAGTCTTACATTTCGAGCATTTTTCATTCCTTTCGCTAATAGATCATCAATGACGGCTTGCCAAATCCTTTCTCCCCTGAAGAAAAGCTTAGTTTTCTGGTCCAGAAAAACAAATACTACCTTCAGTTCGTAAACAATTTAGAATTTTCAACTACCAGAAGTCTTTGAAGTTTCAAGGTAAATTCAGCTAGCTTACCGGATCGACAGCTTCGACATCACCAGTAAAGGATGAACCATCACAGTATCTGATCTTGATTCTATTCCAGTTATGGAAGTCTACACATTCAAACAGAACCCAATTACTTAAATGTTGAATAACAAGATCTAAACCAGAAAATGTTGAATCCTAGCTACCAGGATTGGCTGCTTGCTTGCTGCCCAGTATGCCAGAGAACCCCATTGTCTTCTCCATTTTCAATGAAGAGCCCTTGTAAGTGTCCCTACGAGAAACACAGGACTCAACACTGTCACACCATCCTCCTCCCTGTGAATCCCCATATCACAAGAAGACATGTTATACTTAAGCAGATCAAATTCATGCAACTATCATTGCTAACCATAGCTAATTAAGATCTAATTTATTATATTTAATTAAATTTGTTAGTCTACTCCATAGTATAGCTCGCAGGAAAGAAGGTCAAGGCGAATAAGAACTGACCTCCATGTGAACCAACCAGTTGTCAATCCCAGAACCAGATCCTTTCTCAAAGTGGTAACCTGGTGGACTCCCATCTAAGCAAACTGCAGAGTAAATCACAGTGATAATCGGATTAAGAGAGAGAGAGAGAGAGAAGAAGAAGAAGAAATAGCACAAAATAAATCAGTTTATGATTAAGTAGCTCACCAGCTCCTCTTGAAACAGCACTCTGGACAATAGTAATGGGAATGCTAGCTCCTTCTGTCTTGAGCAATATCAGTACGCAAACAATAAGACACAGCCATTGGCCTAATTTCGAACCAGCCATATGCTGCATGCTTGTTGTAAGAAACAATGTGATTTAGAAGGAAAAAAATTAATATAAACAAAAAGGAATAAATTGATGCTTGAAGAAAAGGATAGAAACTTGGGAATATATATAGAGAAGAGAAGTATTGCAGTAGTACATGTGCAAGGAAGAGATCAGAGATTGCGTCATACAAAGAACGGTATAGATTCACCGAACTTTCCTTCCGACAAGAAACCAAAAAAATGCCACCTGTATGTATGAGATAATGTGGGCAAGCTGTAGGAATGTAACACTGTTACTGTTGTTTTTGTAAGAAAGAGGAGAACCAGGAGTTCCTCTATTTATAATGGAGTCAAACCAGTCGTTAAAGCTAGGCGCTAAAAAGTTTGCCTGCAACCTATGAGCTCTACGTTACTGCCTATTGGCTCTCTGACAATTTACCATTACATTCATTTGATTGGATAGAAATATTGTAAGTCTTCTTGTGAAAGATTTCCAAATGGATGGCCTAAGGAAGATTGTCCCTTTCCATGATTCATATGATGTCCATGCTAATGGCTACTTCCTGTCTCAAATATATATATATATATATATATATAAACAAAAAGTTTTTTTAAAAAAAAATATTTTTAGTAAGAGAAAATATTATGCTATCTCATCAAATAAAAGTCATTTTCTATCTGTCTTTGTCGTTTAGTTTTGAGTTATCATTATAGTGGTTAGGAGGTTTGGCCCATCTCTTTATCTTTTGAATTATTACAAAAACTTGACTATCATTGCTAGCTGTTGGTGAAATGTAAAGTTTGATCCTTTATCCTCGTTGTTATGGAGACATGTTGCTGTCGGTGGTCTTTAAGGGACGCTAGCTAATTAGCATTTTCGTATTTATGTACACTTTCGTCATTTTTATCCTTTTTTTAATCATGGAATATAGTAATTTTATTAGACACAAAATAATGTAAAATATATAGCTATTTTTATAATCTAATAACTATAAAATTTACAACTTATTAATGAAAAAAATATATAAAAAAACAACCAACAATAACTATAAAATATGATCTTTTAAGTCACAGTTAGTCTATTTGTGGATGTTAAATCAGACTTTTTTTTATTATTATTAAAAAAAATTAAATAATATTGTTATTACAACTTACGTATACAAGAACATTTTGAATCACCATCAACTAATAGAAACACAAATCTCACTAAAAGGTTTCATTAAGTTTGGATTTGAAATGATTATTTATTTACTATGCTTTTTTAACTCATTTTTATTATTCAAATTGGTCCAATATATGTTTATTTCTTTCGTTTGAATTTTGAAATTTTTTTTTTTTTTTTTTGGTTCAATCACAAGAGGAATTATCTTGGATAAATTATCTATTCAATATATTTTTTAAAATTTCTTTCTCCAAATATATATATATATAGGTCGAAAAATAGGTCAAGCAGCTAGCCGGTGAATATCATATAAAATAGATTTTATATTGGGTTACAGAATCTTGTCCATGCTGATGGCTACGCAGGCATGCGTTATTAATTATTATTATTATTTTATTAGTATAGTACTTCTTCCTACAACCTTCGAGGTTGTTTCACTCGTGACAGACAGTCATGACGCGTTTGGTGCTTTTTATAGTCAACAATAAAGGGACGAAACTATCTTTGTAACTTTACTGTAACTCTATGGGCCGGGCTTCATCGTCTCGCAGCTTGATTTTAGCCAGCTGATTATTTTTTGGAAAATCCTCAATTTATTCCTAAATCTATGTCTTTATTCTCAGTTACATCATAAACCAATACATTTTATTAATTAAATTTCATATTTTTTTATATTTTATACACCAAAATAATGTTGATTAAAAGAAAATTTTATGAGAATGTTAATGAATATGGATATTTTCAACTGATGTGTATATTTATAGACTAAAATAAAATACCGAATTGAAAACAAATTGATAAAAATATTGATGAATATTAATAAATAAATAAAAATTGGTTGAGATTTTTTAAAAATAATTTGGACTTTATTAATAAAATTTATATTTTTTTATTAAAAAAAAAAAAAGGATCTAGGACCAGAAGCAAATTATTTAATTAATGCTGGTGCGAGTAATTAAGTCCACGGTCCACCCACACTTATTGAATACATCCAGCACTGAATTTATGTTTAGCTAAAGTCAAATTTAGTTTAAGCCAACCAACAACCCATAAAGAATCATTTTTTGAAAAAACGTTTTTTGAGGGGAAAAATAATAATAATAGTACATAGATTTCTCTTAATATTACTAAAATCGTAAGGTTTTTTATTATTTTTTCTTTTTTATGATAAATATTAACACTGGTGGATTAAAGATAAGTTGGATGAGGATATTCATAGAATTCGAGGCGTTTTCTCTTTTTCTGTCTTTCCATCTTGCATATATATATCTATATATATATATAAAACCCTTGAATGATCCATGCATGATAGGTTGCAAATTTTTTGATGTATTTGTTTGATTTTATCCATCAATGAAATTGTTAAATTATTATTATTTAAGATAACGTTGATTATGATGCTGCTGCCCTGTCAATTTTCATTAAGCCATAGATAATGGAATGGTGGATTATAAGATCTGGCAAGTACTACGGCAATTGCAGCAAGAACTGCATTTCTGAAATGTATTTTGTTATTCTATTGCATAAAACTCCCAACAGACAACCTTAGCACAGAAAGTGAAAACTCGTAATTTGCAATGTTTTGAGTGATAAAAGTATATCATCATCTTTCTCAGTATCAATCGATCTCTACTTCTTGTTCTTCATCTTCATCTTCCTCTTCATCTAGTAGGGAATCAGAAACAATTTTGTGGCAGGTTGGATTGCAAGGGCACACGCAATCAATCATATGGACATTCCTCCGTTCATAAAACCAATCTCCAACTGCCTTTGCAATTGTCTAAACATAGCATGTTAATCACATTAGAAAGAGAAAAAAAAATTAGTGCTTATATATATATATATATATATATATGTTGCAAATGGAGGAAATGGGAAATTAGAATGAAGATCAAGTCTGTCATAATTACTGTATTTTTCACTAATGGAGACTCAGCACTTAGCCAATTCTTCTGTTTTCCAGATTGGCAGTGGGCATAACACGAGTCTATAAACATTCCTCTCGTTGAAGAGTAGGGTAACTCACTCAGTATCTTCAAGAATTTCAACCTGAAATCTTCAGATAAATCCAACAAAAACAAAAATAAAAAATTGTTCAGTCAGCAGGAAACGAAAGGATTGGCAATATTGCTGAAGTAAAATAGGCCTTTCTGGTCACCTTGTATGGTTTCCAGTTGACTATGTGTGCACTTATTTATATCAAGCTTGCAGTTATGCCAGAGTCCATTGGGATCAGCAGAACTTGGTACTAAAATGTTCTTTATCTAAATTAGACAGAACATGGTAACGTTACTGGCATCTTGTATGATTATTTGGTTTTCGACAAAGTACAATTCTAACTAAACAACTGATGGACTTGCTTACCTGCCAGAAATCATAAGCTGAATTTATAATGAGAAGGGGTGTTTGCATTTTCTCTGCCACGTATTGGGGAAGAAGCACTGCAAATATTGCCAGGAAGTATACATGTAACTATATGTAAAACGAGAGAAAAAAATGGTGGAGGCGATAATCGTATCACGGTATCCAAACCGCCAACTTTACCAATTGATCAGGCTTCGTTGTTGAGGTGCATGATGTAGGCAGATTCTTTGCTGACCCCTAGATGAACTGTTAGTGATTGGATTAAATCAGCTAGGGTAAAAAACCATGCTATATACAAGTTGTAACATAAAAAATAAAAACCAGCTGATCATCATATTGAACTATTGAGAAGAAGGAATTCAATTGCGGAAGTGAAAATAAGTACGTGAGTCGCGACAACTTCGTTATAGAAAGTTTCGATCCGCTGCTGTCCTGAAACATCTTTCCTGTAATGGAACAATACAGCTTGAAACCAAAATATAGATTGAAATGCATAGATGTATAATGTGGTTCTCTGTACGAGCTTACTCATGAATGAAAAATCCAGCGTCTGATATACATTTTACTTTAGCATTCTTGGGCAGCAGAGATTTGAAGTTATCACAATGCAAAATAGCTGTCAATCCACCGGCCGAGCAGCCAGAAAGAATAGCTTGTCGTAATTAGACCTAATAATTATCAGCTATCAGAAAAGGTAGTCAAGAAATTCCATACAGCTTACTTAGATCAAATGGATCTTACATTTTGAGCATTTTTCATTCCTTTAGCTAGTAAATCCTCAATAACAGCCAGCCAAACCCTTGCTCCTCTGAAGTGAAGATTAGTAACCTGCCTGATCATATTAGTTATTAATTACTGTTTGATTAATAATAATCAAGAGAATCTTTGGATATATAATATGCACCAAATATATGTGATCAGTGTCATTAATTCAATGATTTGAAGCAAATTCTATATCTATATATTTCACTTACAGGGTCAACCACCTCCACATTGCCGGTGAAGGACGATCCATCACAGTATCTAACCTTAATTCTGTTCCAGTTGTAGAAGTCTACGAGTAGAATTAAAATTCAGTAAGTAGAGAAATCACAATGCTGATGTATAAATTTCGATACATAATTAATTGTATTCAAGGCAAAACCTGGATTAGATTTTTGCTGTCGGCTTAGTATCCCAGAAAATCCCATTTGCTTTTTCATTTTCTTTGATGAACCTGAAGCAGTGTTCTTACGAGAAAGGCAACTCTTGATGTCTTTACACCATGCTCCCTCCTGAGAATCCATGGCCAAAAACACAGAAACAAAGTAGCGAGCTGAGCTCTCTTGGGGTTCCAACAAAGTGGGCGAAACCGAAGGACTAACCTCAATCTGAATCAACCAATTGTTAATCCCTTCACCAAATCCCTTATCAAAGTGGTAAGCTGGAGGGCTTCCATCCAAACAAACTGCAAACAGATAACAAATTATCATGTCAATAATTGTGCAACAACATTCTAAAACAGAATTTCTCACCAGCTCCTTTGGCCACTGCACTGTTGACATAAGTAATTTCTACAGAAACTCCTCCTGTTTTGAGCAATATCAGCAGACAAACTATAACACTTAAACGTTGGCGTAATCTTGAATCAGTCATTCTGGACTCTCAAACTTAGAGACAACAGACTTCAAATTGATCAGACAACAAAGCTATGTTTGCACATTTCGTAACTGAAATGATGAAAATCCAAATTTCTTCATTTCCTAAAAATCTATTTATATAGAATAAACTTTGTTCTTTCAAGGTATCGCACATTACAGGATACGATGATATCACCTTCAAAAAAAAAAATTCTTAAGACATGAACCAGGATGTGTCCCAAACGAATCTAGTGATCAGTTTCAGCAAACAAGTCTGAGCAATTTGTAAAAGTACTTCTTTAACTGTTTGCGATTTGCAAAAGTTTGCTTGTGTGCTATATTGTTGTATATTTTTCTCCTTGGTTGCAGTTGCCAGTTGGTATTTATAGATTTTTTTGCACCTCTGTGACCTCTAGTAATCGGTCACTCTTCCTCATACAATTTGCTTCATGTTCTTCTCTCCTTACCCTGCAATGCATTCGTGTCCTTCTTTTCTCGCACTGTAGTGTCCTGCTATGTTATCTTTGTGCTGCAATCTTCCACGTTGTTTCTAAATGTCTGAATCGTGTTTTTATTGCTACTGAAATTTTGTTATTTTTTAACTGCATATACATTAATTGTGTTTTTGTCCAGCTTTTGTTGATTGAGAGTTCATCTTCAAGGGTTGATTTGTTGGGCTTAATAAGCTGGGAATGATTTTTGCTCAAAGAGAACAATCTCAATAGACTTTAGGTGAAGCCAATTCAAAAGGTTTAAGAAGAATCTATTGAAGAGCTTGATGGATTTTTCATCCATTTTTTCTATTTAATTTATCAAACTCAGACCCCAAATAAGTTTGGGAATAAAAGAATAAACATTTTTTTCCACACGGATGCGAGTTAAATTTGGTTGGTCCTTCTGAGATGAACTCGATACGTTTGTTCCAATGAAAGTCTCGGTGTTGCATACTTGCATCTAAACAGGTGCGTGTAAGGTTGAAATTGAAAGTGTTTAATAACAAACAATTAAGCATGTACCATGGACAAGTAGACAGCATCGTGACACGATAACGACGTGTCTTCTTTAGCCGTGAAGAAGTGATAAGATTTAAGAAACATCTTCCACCGCACAAATTTGTAACGAGAGTTATACTACCTAGTACTAAATGCAGTAATTCCAAGATTAGATAGTTGGATTGCTTTTGCTTAGTGTGACTCGATCAATAACAAGTAATTCTATCAGCTAAACTGGTTAGCTCACACGAACAAGAGCAAGTAATAAGCTACAAGCAACTGAACAAGGTCAAAAGGGTTAATTCGGATTTATTCAAACAATGTGAAGATAATCAAATATTAGAATTCGGATTTGGAATTAAACTTGTTGAAGCCTAGCTACTACAACATAAAAGCAAATGAAGAAAATTCCAGAGGACGGGCGTTGATTTAGAGTTGAATGATGTCCACTCCGTTTACACAGCTTTGTTAGCGCTGTCGCTGCCATTACATCCACTTCCAGGAACTGCTGTCTTCCAGTGGCTGCCTTTTACAAGAATTCTTGAGGGTCTGCAGCGAATTCGTCCTTAGCTCTTGTTCTAAACTGTAGTAAAAAAAGAAAGCTAGTGTTTATGTTCCTGAACTTCAAGACATGAGCAGACTCAACAGCTGTACTGCAACCTTTCCATGCTTGAATTTTACTCTCTGATTTGTGCTTACTTGATTTGATGTTTCACAGACTGATTCTCACTCCAACATCACTCCAATTAGCATTAGTAACCCACACAATAACAAACTCATATTCACTGATGCTGCAGAGCCATTTGGCGGTCTCTTCTGCAAAAGCAAACCATCAATTTATTAACCATGCCAATACATTGTCCCTTTTCTTTCTCAAGAATGTATTTCTCTGGATATTTTTACATTTGAGCTTATTTGCTATACTCATGTGGCCTTGGTTTTCCAATTTCATTTCTTCTTGCTGTTAATTTGGCAAATGAAAATAAGGTTCCATGGAGGTTTCTTCACAGTTTTGTGATTATAGATTTCTTCAAGTTACTTTGAACAATGAGTATGCTTATGAAACAAAGCTGGGGTTTTCAGGGATAAGCATTAGACTTTGGAGAGAGATTTGTGATAAGTATTTTAAGGTTTTGGCTCTTTTATGCAAAAGCTGCAAATCACAAAAACAGTATCTAGTACAAAAACCATCTACTACTATTTCTTCATCGAGAAAAAAATGATTTTGTTTTGAGTAATAATTGAATACACTAACAATGATGGGAGACACCCAGCACACAGGTTTAGTGCAGTGGTGACTTTTGCTTATTCAGAAGCCTTAATCAATTGTAATTTTCTATTTGCTTGTTTAAGCTTAATTTTATTGTAATTGTGACTAATGAAAACAAAAAATCTGGTTTGAGGAAATAAATCTATACTTCTGGGTTGTTTGGCGGAGCCAAACCATTGTTTTGGCAAGTTGGATTGCAAGGGTAAGGACAATCTATCTTTTGGAATGGATTCCGATCATAAAACCAATCTCCAACTGCCTTTGCAATTTTCTGCAAAATAGTATGGTTTTAGAAAACAATAGGAAATCACTTCTTGTAGCTTAGAAAAAGAAAAAACAAGAAAGAATGAGCTGAGCCTATAAAAAAATTACTAATGAATAGACAATGGGAAAAGATTGACAACGAGAAGAAAACTTGTGGTCTCTTACCATTTTAGCAAGCACTGGGGAGTCTGCCGTGAACCATGTTGCCTGTGTTTCAGTTTGGCAGTGGGCATAGCAAGAGTCTATATACAATCCTCTAGATGAAGAGTTGGTTGCTCTATTCAACGCATTCAGAAACTGCAACCTAAAATCTGAAAAACAAACCCACAATGAAATCCTTGAAAAAATTTCCAACAGTTGGTTGTTTTGAATGCTATCTATGAATCCTCTCTGTTGACTGCAAGAAGTTTTTCAAAGATATCACAAAAGGTTCTGCTCACTAATGCAAAAATTACGAATAGGAATGTTTAAGAGCTGAACCAGTAATCATGGATGTGTTTTCAGCTCAGTTGACGAATGTTCGTACAACAGTTTTTTTTTCCCTCTAATCTTAAATTTTTAATTCCTAGAAGTCTTTAAATAAGATTTGTAATTAAAATCTTCAGAATTGAGTAAGTTCAGAGGAATGCTTTGTGTGTAAATTAGGTTGCTTCCAGTCACCTTGCATAGCTTTCAGTTGAAGAGGTGAGCAGTTGTTTATGTCAAGCTTGCAGCTGTTCCAGGCTCCACGGGGATCAGCAATACTCGGTGCCAAAATGTTTTTTATCTGAATTAATTATGACATAAATTAGAAATAAAATAAATAAATTGTAATGGAGAGAAAGTGCTCAGATTGCTCCAGATATCTAGGAGATTCTTCTGTTAAAAAGAAAGTAATTGTTTACAGAGAACCAGATATATGCTAACCTGCCATGAATCATATGCTGCATTTAGAATGAAAAGTGGAGTCCGTACTTGTGGGGCCACATACTGTGGGAAGAAACACTGTAAATTGTTGAGAGAAGCATCAGTAAGACTGCAGGAAACAATGAAGAGAAAAAACCATATCAGCAAAAATATGCTTACAAGTGAGGGTTTCAGTCTTGAAGTACAGGACAGAGGCAAATTTTTTGCTGATCCCTGCAGAAAACAAAATAATCGTAAGTGTTTATTGGCTCTTCTGTGAAATCTACATTAGAAGGAAGAAGAAAATCCGAGGAAAGTACATGTAATGTCACGATCTGGTTAAAGTAGGACTGTACATGCGGGGCTCCAGATACATCCTTCCTGTTACAAAATACTTTGTTATTATATCTCAAAAGAATATTACAATACCAGCATGGGTTTTGGTAAGGTCAGGACATAGGTCCTATCAATGAGCTTACACGTTGATAAAATAACCAGCATCTGAAAGGCATTTTACTTTAGTACCCATACGTAGAAGAGCATGGAAACTGTCACAATGCAAAATGGAAGCCAATCCACCAGCTGAACAGCCAGAAAGAAGAGCCTGTAGAACATGACTAAACAGGTTATAGAGAAAGTTCTGTCAAAAGAGAAAAATGTTGACAGATCTTCGAATGCATCTTACATTTTCAGCGTTTTTCAATCCTTTAGCTAATAGATCCTCCATGACAGCAAGCCAAATCCTAGCTCCTCTGAAGTGAAGATTAGTAGCCTGATCAAATTGTTTCTGATTAAAAATGAAACTATGAAACTTTAAAATGGTTCCTGTTCAATTTTTTATTAACTTACAGGATTGACAGCCTGCACATCACCAGTAAATGATGACCCATCACAGTATCTGATCTTAACTCTATTCCAATTGTAAAAATCTGCAAATCCAAACAAAACTCAATAACCTAGAGAATCGAAGTTCAAGAGAACCATGCTAATCAAATTCAATAAAAAAGGTCTAAAATAATGAAATATTTGGTCACACCTGGATTAAACTGTCGCTTGTTGTTCATAATCCCAGAGAAAGCAATTTTCTGTCCCATTAGCTTAGATGAACCTAAATGAGTTTTCTTACGGGAAAGGCAGGTTGTGACATTGTTGCACCATCCTCCTCCCTTAAAATCAAAAGCAAAAGGCATATTAAACAAGATGAAATGAAATACAAACAGTTCATGTACTTATCAAACTAACAAACCATTCTAAATGCATAAAACTGGATTTCCTTAAGCCTGTCTACCTGCTTTTATTATCTAATTCATACAACTAAATGCTCTTTTTCCTTTCATCAAAAATCAAAAGCAATTTGCCTATAATAAAAAAACAGGCCCCAAATCTTATCCAAGAAGATTTATGAAAACTAATTAAAAGAGAGAGTCAGAGAGAGAAACGAAGTAAGAGAGCAAAATCGAATTATGTCCCCTTCCTTCACCTTCCAACACCATACCAATAACAGCTTCCTTTTATTGTTGAAAGAAATTATGAAGCAACGCAAGACGACTACAAACCTCAAAATTTATCAACCAACTGTTAATGCCTGTACCAAACCCTTTATCCCAGTGGTAAGCCGGTGGGCTTCCATCCAAACAAACTGCAAAAACAAATATTGTATACAAGAAAAAGATTTACAAATTTGTAATTGAAATCAAGTAAGGCAATAAAAACTTGAATTCAATCGGAGTTTTGTAATTTCTAACCAGCTCCTTTCGCCACCGCATTCTTTACATAGGTAATTCCTACATAAACCCCTTGTGTTTTCAGCAATAACAGCAGAGAAACCAGAAGTTTTAACCATTGGCCTAATCTTGAATCTAACATTCTGCACATAACAAACAATGATTACACAATATAAACACAAGTTGACATGTAGAAATGCAAAGCGAAAAGAAGCCAAAACCAAAAAGAAAACAGAGAATGGCAGTGAGAATTATCAACAAACTGACATATAATTATACAATAACACCACAGAATCTAGCAATAGACGATGGAGAAGTGAACTCTTATGATCAGAAAATCTTTACATTTTATAACATAAATCATGGGGTCTGTCATTTTTAGTGCTAACATTGTAAAATAAAAAGGTCAAATCACAGAATGGGGTAGCCTGACAAAAAAATAAAAGCAGCCAACTCATATGCATTGAATGTAAAGAAAAAGACACCATAAAATCTAGTGGCAACCAATAAAGTTGCAACCTTTTGTATTGGTTCCGGCTGAAAAAAAAAAAAAAAAAAAAAAAAAAACTATACAAAGCAAATAAATAGGAATAGAAAACATGAACAGATCAAGCAACATAATTTCCACCATTGACATAAAACTACAATGCTGAATGATTATTCCGTTCCTTACAAGGATTCGTACTTTTACATTAAAGCTGTATCCTTTCAATGACAGAAAGTTGAGAGAAAGTAAAAAAAACCAGTGCTTCTGGTAATAAAATCAGTGATCATTACCCGTTGCTAGATGTTGAGAGAAACAACGAAATGAGAGAAGCCCAGTAAGGAGTTCAGCAGTGCATTGGCTTTTTAAAGATGAGAATGAGAGGAAATCCCACTAAGTTTGGCAAGTGAAACAATGCTTGGATACGAGCAGAGAAGCAAATGTGTGCCTGAGAAAGCACTTTTTATACAAGTACTTTCTCCTTTGTTTTGCTGAGCAGAGAACACAAGGGGAGCCGACACTCATTCGCTTAAAACGTCCACAAGCACAGGAATTTATAAGGGAATAAATAAATGGTTAAACTATTCTTTTACTCTTTAAATTTCTGAGTGTTTCACTTTGGCTCTTATAGTTTAAAAATTTACAATATTATATCTTTAATGCTTTCCGCAAGCTTCTTCTGTACGAATTTTTTAATGTGAGTATTTTAAATATCTAATTAAACCTATAGTTGGCTCTATGTGACCTTATAGTATAAAATTTCTATATGGAATACGAATGCTTACATTTTCTTTTTGGTTTATTAAAAAAATTACAAATAACAACACATACATTGGTGTTTTCATAATAGTAAAATTAATTCGTCATTACTAGAGATCGTTGAGCAAGATCACATTGGCTTTTTCATCAATATTAAAACTATATTGATCCAGGTATCTAAGAAGGTTGAAATTCGTTCCTTAGAAAACACTCGAAATGCTTTTTTCTTTTATCTTTTCGTTCTCGATCTTTATGTGTGTGTTTATGTTCTTGTAAAATTTTAAAAAATTAGAGGAAAAAAAGGGAAAACATAACGGTTCAAATTAGAAAATTGTGAACTTTTAAGGATCAAAGTAGAATAGTTCTGAATCTCTTGGAGTAAAAATGTAAAAAGAATTACACCTGGATAAATTATTGTAGTTGGTTTGTCACGGGTTTATATGGGCAACAACCCGACCCGAAAATTTAGCGGCGCCGAAATGGCATGTAATGTCGTAACCAATTTTCATCGTATGCCGCGCGGCTAATTAAATTAAATGGGCCAGATGGACCGAACAAAATAAAGTTTCCTTTTCATTTATATTCTTTCTATTCTAAAAAGATTTATTTTTTTTACTTTTCATATATATATATTAAAACATTACATAAAATATATACTTAGATCAATTGAGATTCTTGGCATCAGATTTATTCTAAAAATAAGTATCAAGGATATGTTTTAGAAGACATTAACATCGAATCAAAAAATGACTACAAGATCAATATATAAGGGTTTTTTTTTTCAAAAATTAAAAGAAAGAATTAAAAGTACATGAGATTTTTTTCAAACAAATTTAAATATGGGATAACGAGATCTGTGAGGAGATAAATTATATATTATTTGAAAAGTAATTATCAATATTTATCTTATAAAAAAGAGATAGATATAAAGAAAATGAAAAAAAAATTAATAAATAGCAATATATTTATCAATTTTATGAGTTTAGATGTGATTTTTTTATATATTTTTTTCTTTCGAATTTATAGAGTAAGTATTTATAGTTATTCTTTAAATATTTTAATATATATATATATATATATATGGATGTTTATACGTGGTAAAATATTTTGGTTTGGAAAAATTTGTCATTTACGTCATGTATGATTTTGTTTCTCATTTGGTCTCGTACTTGCCTTGTTAAAGATTACTTTACCCAAAATGCATGAGCAAAATCAGATACTCAAATTAGGTTACCAAGAACATTTGATTTCCCTACATGGCCCGCTTACTCAAGGAGAATATGTTCTTCCTTTTTTTTTTTTTTTCTCCTCACTATGAAACATTTATCATCTACCAAAGCAAAAAAAATAATAATAATAATTGAGACCAAGTTTTATCGTTGCTCCAAACAAGTTGAGAAAAATATTTATAAACCAATAGATATCATATTATAAATTTTATAATATTCAAGTAATAACTAATGTAAATTACTCCATAAAAGAAAGATAAATACAAAAAAAAAAAGAGAAAAATAAGAGATTAAAAAAAAAAAGAAATATCGATAAAAATTTTAATTCTCAACACATCCTATAAAATTTGTATCCTTGTGAATAAAAATTGATTTGGCAAAGCATGATCAGAAGCTACTGTATATACAAAAGCTTTAATTATTCTTCTACAAATGTGTGTTATTTTTTTTATAAATTAGTCCCTTTAGTTTGGAGAAACAAATTATATTATCTCTTTTATTTCAAAAACTAATTATTTAATTTTTATATTTTCTTACAACTTAATCCTTTTTGTTATTTTTCAATTCCTTTTGATATTTTGTTTTAAGAAATAGAAAAAAAATATTGAAGGTTTGATGAGTAAAGATGATATTTTTTGAAATAAAGTATATTAATTTAAGTGCAGTCTCAATGGATTAAAATAATTGGTTTTTAAAATAAAAGGATTAATTAATTCATTTATAAAAAATAGAGTGACTAATTTATAGTTTACTCTTATTTTTAGAGAGGGACAAGACGAAAAGATGTGTAGAGATATATTCGCCAACTTGTGTGGAAGAAACATGGGAATGTGGAAGCGGAGGAACAGTCCATCATTGGAAGTGGACCTCGTCACAAGCTCATCGCAACACGTGTTCGATGATCATTAGTTATGGTTTATCTGTCACGTGATTGGCGGTAACCGGTTTTCTGTTGGGGTCACAAGTTGGTTCTGCCTCTGCCCATGTGCTTTCGTTTTTTCTTTGCATTCTTAATCTTACTCGCTGTTGTGGTTGGAGGCTAAAGTATTGGGTTGGTGGTTAATAATTTTTTAAAAATATTTTTTTGATATATTTAAGTAAGAGACAAATCTCGGAAAACCTTTATAGATTATAAAATTTGGGAGCCCTAATTTCATAAATATCTTTTGACAAAAATATAAGACAGCTGAAAAAATCATTATCGATATAAAAATTCTTAACGAAAATAAATATTTATAAAAAAACAAGCCAATCTACTGTATGATCATGCTACAGCCATTAAAAATACAATAAATTAACTTTTTCTATAAATATAAGAAATTTAAACTTTTTATTATAATTAAACGATACAATAGATGAAGTGAATGAAATGATCTGTCGTTTGAAAAAATCAATAATTAAAAATTTGAGTTAATATTTATAAGCATTTATTTTTTTTAAATATATAAAGTTTGATTTGAAATATATGTTTTTTAAAATCCTTTTGAAATATATGCTTTTGACTTTTAAAAAGATAGTTTCGATTGATTGATGCATGATTATTTAAAAAAAAAAAGAAGAAGAAGAAGAAGAAGTCAGTTGTTGTGATTGTACGTTGTAACTGAAATAAGCTTGTAACAATAATTGACAAGCTGAGCTATGGGCCTATCACCCGACTCCGTGAATTTGAAGATTGTAGGCGTTGAGTGACTTGCTAGGCAATTCGAAATAAAATATTTCAAATTTACTGATGAGTTCGATGGTTGCCTACTTCGCTGGGGACGTATCATCCACCACTCAAAGATAAAATGTTAATGGTGATCGTTAGCCGATTAGATAGCTAATCAACCACGTAAAAAAGCAAATGGTTCTCTTCTTCTTTATATAAATTCTATTTGTTTAAATTTTTATTTTGAATCATACGTTATAGATTCATTCTATTTTATCTTTTTTACGATGTTAATGTAAATCATTTGATTGCAGATATATCGTATTCATATTAATAATTATTTCTTATTTAGTCTTTTTTTTTAATTTATTCATTGTAGAATTTTGAAAGTTTTATTTTTTTAATTTAAACTGAAATCACCTTTAGATTTCAAAACAAATTTTTATTTTATTTTAATAAAAACAAATTTTTTATAATATTATTGAAGGACGTATCTTAACTTATATAAGCTAATAATTTGGATTCATGATGAGTATTTTCGGATCAATTTTTTACATTAAACAAAATGAAACTTATCATTTTTTAGATTAAATCAGAGTAAAACTTGAGTTATAATAGCATAAAGCTAGTTGATTCGTTGTAATTCACTAACATTGCTAAGATGATTTTAGAAATGCCTGTTGAGCTTAGCCCAACATATATAATTAAGTGCTCACTAAAAAGTGAGACACTTGGAACATTTTTTATGTTTTTTTTTTCTTTAGAATATGTTCTTTCCATTGTTCCCCACCCCATTCTATAAAGCTGTACCAATTGATTAATCGAATCTCTTAATGGAGGAGAATCACGGAAATTAAATTATAGGAAAATACAATAGGGATTTACGTGCTTGCCTTTATTTCTCTCTTCTCTTTTTTTAAGAAAATACATGGAATTTGGTTATATGATATTAATATGCAGAAATACATCAGAGAAAATTGCTACAATATAACATGGATTAATTCAAATTATTTTTGTTGGATAATTGCACAACCTAACACAATCATGTGATAAGATCAGCAAAACTGTTTAAAAGTTGTAGCAGCAACTTTCTGACCTTAAATTGGACCAACCAACTGGTCCGGAAGCATCGTCAATGACCAACTTGGCGTGGGCCATGCCCATACGTATGCAGCAAAACCGATAGGTTTCTTTCTTTTCCGGATGGACCATGAAAAGATACGAAGTTACGTAGTCCTAAAAAAAATCCTAAAAAAGAAAAAACAATAAAATGCACAAAACTTATAAATTTGAATATTTTTTGATGATATAATAATAATGATAAAAAAAAAATCAGTAAACAGTATAAGTAGTTTATTTTAGTTGACTAAAAACTAAATTACAAAATAAAATAAACTAGAAATTCAAAAATTAATACTACAAATATATAAAAATTAGAAAAAGAAAAAAAATCCTAATTCTTAAACTATAGCAACTTAAGTTGATTCTTCATGTCTTAAATAAAAAGTCTTGTAACAATTGTTACGGGCATCCGATGCTATAGATTTTGAATAAAATTTTCGAATTAATATGATTTAATTGAATACTTAAATAAATAAAAAAATTATGATTGTTTAAAAGATCAAAATGCATTTATGCTTTTAAACTGTTTTCTCAAACTTGTGTTTCTACAAGCCAATCTAATCCATGAACTCATCATGTGCACTTTCGTACGTTACTTTCTTTCATGGTCCAAAAATCCAATGATGCATGCATAAAAGAAACCCAACTCCACACGACTTTATATCGATGTCTTTTTTATTCTTTATTCATGGCATTGGCGCCTTTGATAAAAGAGGCTTCCAGCTAGGTGTCGTGTCACGTCACCAAGCTGTAACATCATATTCACACCCTCCACTCCTTCCAAAAGAAGAAAATTCTCATCCTTTCCATCCAAGAGTTTCTGAGAAATTTAAAAACAAAACAATCTTTTCTTTTCTTTTCTTATATATAAACAACTGATGACAAGCTAAAAGCTCACTTACACGTAAACATGATTGGACGAACCAGGAGGTAGTTACAGGATCCTATTTATCTACCAAGAACGTAATCATGATGACAACCTGGGACTTTTTGAGTTGGTTTCAAAATTTGAAATTCTAAGAGTCCTACCTCGATCCCTTCTTATTTTTACTTGGTTGACTTGATTTTCAAGCTTTGCAAAGCAAGTAATTGTCAAGAGTTGGTTATCTTTGATTTGTTTAGGTCACCAGCTGATATAAAACAATGACTCTAAGTACCAACACAGCTGACAATTTTGCTACGTTTTTTTTTATTTTTTATACGGATTAATAAAGAGTATTTTCAAGTTATTTTGTAAATTAATCAAAATTAAATTTATTTTTGAACAATTTTAAAGATGTACGATCTGGGATAATTAAAAGAATTTTAAATAATTTTTCAAAAATACTAATTCTAAGATTTGAATCCAAATAATAAGGGGGAAAAAAACATTCTTAATTATGAGACTACCTTGTCGAAGTTATTAAACGACAGCGAAACATCACCTTGAAAATGACTGAAAACTAAACGAGCTCTCAATGGAGGTAAAGGGGATAGAATCTGTAATAAAAGTCAAGCTCGAGAAATTAGATACCTGCATGGAGTCTTGCACAAAATACAATTGAACTATAATTATGACATTAAGGAGATCTATTCCACTGAATTTATTATGAGTCCTTGTCAACTTGAAAGGGGATCGTAATTTATACTAATAAATTAGTGGCCAGAAATTAGAATACTTTGCCGGCCGGCAACATAAATAATAGGAGAGGATGATAAGAATAATAATTTAGCTCTATGGGAATTCCAATAAATGGTCTCGTCCATATCGGACGATCACCAAACATTAGAGATAAGGTGGTAATATTGATGCCCTTGGCGACAGGCAAGTGCTAATTGCTAGATTAGTCATACATCTCCCAATCAAGAGCGTTAGGTTAGGTGATTAGGTCCAGATAATCGAACATATAAATTGAACTTAAAAAATATATGTATCGTCAATTCACCAGGCCCAGTCCATGCTCGAAGTCCCTGAAGATCAACAGCCTCCCCGAGAACTGGTCATTTTTTTCGAGAAAGGCCTTAGGACTCTCACGTCCAGAAGCAGCCTATCCTGGACTCTCTACGATGGCTAAGGAAAGTAAAACATTCAATGAAGATACTCTTACACGATAATTCCAATCAAATCATCATCTATCATAATAATAATAATAGCAGCAGCATCGTAAAAGATCAAATTCATATGCAAGCCACCATCAATCGTGGCCTTAGCCACTAATTTAAAGTCAGAAGAGAGAAAAACAGTTCTACCTTTCCTTGCCCTATTATTATTATTATTTAACTTGCACAAATACCAAATTTGTCATATAGTTTAAAAACAATAAAGTTATTTTAATCTCAAATAATTGGTCGGATGGTTCACGAAATATGCCATCTATCTTTAACCTTTTGAGTTTAAGTATTTACTAGCATCTACAAAAATTTAATTAGATTGTTTTTTGTGGATTAATTGCAAGATGAGTAACTCTTAGGAAAGGGCCGAAAGGCCCATTATCTAATAATGGATAGCCCTGCTCTATGTATACATGGGCTTCCCTAATCCGAAATCAATATCTACAAAGTTCTGTCGGCAACAAAAAAGGCTTTGAGTTTAAATATTTACTAGCATCTATAAAAATTTAATTAGATTGTTTTTTGTGGATTAATTGCAAGATGAGTAACTCTTAGGAACGGGCCGAAAGGCCCATTATCTAATAATGGATAGCCCTATCTATGTATACATGGGCTTCCCTAATCCGAAATCAATATCTACAAAGTTCTGTCGGCAACAAAAAAGGCTTTGAGTTTAAATATTTACTAGCATCTATAAAAATTTAATTAGACTGTTTTTTATGAATTAATTGCAAGATGAGTAACTCTTAGGAAAGGGCCGAAAGGCCCATTATCTAGTAATGGTAGCCCTGCTCTATGTATCCATTACTAGATATTGATTTCGCATTGCAACTGTTGATAGCATCTCATCTCTACAAAGGCAAGCCCCGGCTTTGTTAATTTCCACCATCCAATCCTCTGTACAACTGGATGACATCTTCATTATACTCTATTTCTTTTTTTTTATCCAAATATGCTAGTCACCTGCCCAGCACACTAAAAATATACGTGATACTAACCACTAGGGGTGGCGCAGCGACGGGGACTTGATATCAAGGGATTTGCTCCCTTGTGGTCTCGAGTTCGATTCCCGATTGCTCTCCTTAGTGGCCACTAGAAGCTTACATGATCGTTAATTTCGGAACCCGTGGAATTAGTCAAGGTGCATGTAAAGCGATCCGAACACCTACGTTATCAAAATATAGTTATATATACTTGATACTCTATATTTCTCACTCGTATAAAGATCATAGTTTTAAATAGCGGTCATTTGTTGAAAAAACGGTTGTGATCGCGATCGCGGGTCGCGGCTCATCGCGGTCGTAAAATAACGATCGCGGCGATTAATTGTGTGAATACATTAGCAATCGACAATAAATTTATTCTAATTCACATTTTTTGACGAGTTTTACTAATTAAACATAATAATAAGTAATCATATCTCTAATAGTTTAATAATATATAACAATAGTTAAATTTATTATAAAAAGTAATTAATAACAATTCCAATAGATTAATATCACATGAAAAATAATAAAATACATTATAATTTCAGCAATTGCGGGAGAAAGAAAGCAAAAGAAGGCAAAACAAATTCCCTCTTTTCATTAATAATTACGAGAGAAATAAAGCAAAAGAAGACAAAAAAATCCCTCTTTTTCATTAGTAATTGTGGGAGAAAGAAAGCAAAAGAAGATAAAAAAAAATCCAATTGCATTTCAAGCTTTTTTTTCAACAATTTAAATTTTTTATATATAATGCCGTTATATAACGGCTAATAACGGCGTTACATAACGGTAATGCCGTTATCTATCGTTATAGGCGTGAAACGGCATTTAAGCTCTTATAACGCCGAAAAACGATAACGGGTTCCTTCGTTACCGTTATATAACAGCCGTTACGCGACGTAACGGCCGTTTTTTAAAACCATGATAAAGATACTCTCTTCCTCATAAAATACAACTCCAACAATAATTACACAACCAAAGAAAGTTAGGAAGTGACGAGGCCACTCGCTAATACCGATACTTATGCTAAATGCTCGCAAGATTTAAAAGAACACCATCATCAATTTTTCAAAAAAATTTATAATATTCACAAAATAATTACTTTATATATACAATAGTTATTTTATGAGTTCACTCGTTTATAAAAAAGATAGATATAAAAACAAAATAGAAATAAGAAAGAGAATTTTTTTTAAAAAAAAATCGAATCAAAATGAAAATTTTCTTATCATTTTTTATTGGTTGAAATATAATATCACCTTGGCTTAATTTTTTTTTTTAATGTTCTCTCTTTGAAAAAATAAATTCCATGAAATAACTATTATATATATATACCTTTATTATTCATTGATTATTATAAAATTTTTCTAATTTTTCAATCCAAGGAGAATAAATACCAAATACAATCAATGTAGATGTCCAAAATTTTGCACATCATCGTGCATGACTTCCTAGTCTTCGACTAGAGGCAGGGCAGAGATCCTGATACTTGCTGATGTACGTTGGTATTTTCCCAGAATCCGTTCAAGTAGGCGCCACGCACCAATTACACTATTACACGTCAATTTCGACCTACCAATGCAAATAGGGTTTCATGGAGATTGAATTGCCAGCTCAGCGGTCAGGCATTGAACCTATGGAATCAATCTATATGTCACTGTTCAATGCCGAGTATCATTTAGTATTTTGGGATCTAGGTAGATGCCCTTAGCCTTTTCTTTCATCGATGGTCTTGTCATTCTCTCATTACCACACATAGAGTACCATTAAATATACCAACCAAACCGTTATTTCCATTAATTTTTTAAAAAACAAATTATAAATGAGAGAAAAGTTTTTTTACTGCCCAACCTTTCAATTTTTTTTTTTATGTCCAATTGTTGATTTCTCATAATTGATTATCCAAGTTTTAATTTTTTTTACTTGTTTTGATGTTTGAATTTACATGAATCTTGATTTTGCTGATGTGTCCGACGAAATCTGTCACATGACAGCTTAAAAAATACCACACGATAATCAACTCGCCACATCAACACTTCATACTTTCATATAGCTATGAGTACTCAAATAAATAAATAAATAATCAAAGGTTAGATATTAAAATAGAAAAAAAATTAGTTACCAAATATGTAGTTTTGAAAAAAAATTTATTATCTCGAGATTGTAAAATTAGTTCAACAATTTCTACTAAATATTTTTCATATTATACTCGTAGCATTTTTTTTTTTACTTATCAATGGTAATTTTTAATATTCTATATCGATTAAAAATTACTTTTTAAGAATTCTAAACCATTTTACATATATAGACTAATTTAAAATTATGTCATTTAATCCAAATATATATAAAGTTCAATTAAGATTAAATTTATAAAAATAAAAAACATATAAAATCTAATTATAATTGTCATTTGCAGAACAAATGGTTGGACAATGAAAAAGGTTACAAAAAATAAAAATTGCTTCCTCTGTCTAGTGAGAAAATTGACCAACATATCATGAGTGACATAACCTTATTGTAGCCAATAACTTGCTAAACTTTTTATAATAAGCTGAAATGGGATAGAATTGATATAAATAAGTTTATTAATCAAACCTTTTGATTTGAGCGCTTAAAGTTTAGTATTTTTTATAGCGATAACAATAATGATAAAGATAATAAGTAAGCTGTGAGTGAAGCTAAAAAATTAATACATTGTTAAAATTGTTTATGCAATTAACATAATAACAAGAAAATATGCATGAATGTAATTATTGATATTTTTTAAATTTAAAATTATATGATTTTTAATATCAAAAAGAAAGTTTTGTAAGATTATACATATATATTATGATGCACAAAATGCATAAAGGAGATAAATATTTGAAGTGAGAAAATTATATTTTTTATGTCCAGCCATATATTTTTTTTTCTATTGAGATGCCTAATCTTTAATTTTTTTTTCCTATTTCAATGCCTAAACTTTGATTTTATTTTTTCTATTTGAATGCCCATAACTACCTAAGTATGATGTGTTGATACGATAGGATTGACTGTCACGTGGTATTTTTTGATTGCTGCGTGACAGATCTTGTCGACACATCAACAAAATCATAATTTAAATGAACTCAGACATCAAAACAAATAAAAAATCAAAACTTAAATAGTTAACCATGAAGTCAATGATTGGGCATAAAAATAAAAAATAAAAAATTGGACACCAACAAAGCCTCTCTCTTGTAAATACATTCTCTCCAAATATTTCTTATAGGATGTATTAGTAATTGTCTAAAAAAAATGTTGAGAATAACAATTTGATTGATAAATTTAATTAAAAAAAAATACATATATATACACACCACAAGATAAAAGCAGTAGAAGAACAAAATGACCTGCTGTTCCACTAGAGACGTATAATATTATTTCACAAGATATTTTTGCTTTACCAAGTATAGAATCGATGCGATGCAATTGGGCAACTAGTCCCAATCATGCAAATGGAAATACACTGACAAAAAGATATCCAAAATTCCATGTGGAGGAAGGACGAAAGAGAGAATAACACGTCCAAAGACAAAAAATGAAATGATTAAATACATAAAGCGTTAAGAGTGTTGACAATTAAACACCAAGGAGATGACTAGATGATGAGAGAGAAAAAGATGCCTAGACAATTTGGGCAAGCACAGAGAGACAAAGGGACAACCCTCAATGGAATATTTAGGCTTTTCACATTGGATTTTCTTTCTGTTGTAGGAAATAAAGAGTTACCTATAGAGACAATGATGGGAGAGTCCTTCAGAGATGCTGAAGAAATGAATAGATAATTCAGGGAAATAGGATCAGAACAAAATGACGCTCGTGTTAGTGCATCCTTTCAAAATGCTTAGCATGAAAAGATGGAAAAGGAAGGTATCCTGCAAATATACACTCGGGAATTTTTTTTCCCTCCCCAAAATGGTAATGAACATGAGAATTTGAAATACTAACTGATCACTTACTGAATATTTAAGTTCTACTTAAGTGAAGAAACATGACAAAAGACTAATTGATAGCAGAATAGAAAAAGCTTCTCCATTGCATCAGGCAGTGATCCATATTTTCTTTCCTTTCTAATTCGAGTACACAAAGATGCAGGCTTCAATGTTTTATAGCCATTATTGATCCTTGAGTCATGCATATAAATCCTTCAGTACTGCAGAAGATCTGAATTTATGCGGAAAACAGAAAAAGGAACATCATGATACAAAGGGATTGAAAACCTGAACGTGTAAAGCTGAACCTCCTGCGAGCTGCCTGCCAGAAGAACTATTTATCTGTCACATTACCAGAGACTTCCTCGATAAGTTAAATTCCACGCTTAGCAGCATGTTATGGAACTCCCTGTTTTCCATTGATACAGGTCACTAGCTTTGTAATGTTCTGAAAAAGGCCAAGGTCCTTAAGATCATTTCAATACAGGAAAAGAAGAGTTCATGGGCTACAAATTATACATCATTCAAAAGTATGGAAAATTGGCATGTGTACCTGCAGAAGTACCACAACTACCGACATCTGTGATTGTATTGTTCCTCACTTCACAGCGAAGGACTAAAGGGCAGACTATATATGTTCTATTGAACGCTAGAAGTTCAGATACATATACACTACCATTAGAGAATATGGTGAGGAGCTGCTGGCATTTCAGTCTTAACCAGTATCAGTCAGCATAAAGGATTTACTAGTGGTTGTCCATGACCACATCCATTCCCTACCAGTTAATAGTTAGCAATTCTATCCAAATTACACTCTTAACATTGAATCATTATCAGCCTATGAATATTGAGCCAAGACCATGTTTTCAAAAACTGCACAAAGTACTGACGGAAATAAATTACGAGAAGGTCCATATTACAACTGCTATATCATTTCCTTAAAGCTTTTCACTACATGTGTTAGACACAAGCTCAATTAACATTTTGATTCTTCAAACTAAAATGGGGAACTGTTAATTGAAAAGATAAAGCACTCTTGATGGTTCAAGCAAGTTTTTAAACAACTTGGAATTAAGTAAGGCTTTATCTAGTAGATACCTTCAGCAGTAGGGATGCAGGAGGACCATTTATTCCAGGGAAACTTTTGGAGCAAAAGGTGCATTTCCAAAACAGGTTATGGAAGCTAAATTTCAACAAAAAGCTACACTTCCCTAAATGAGAATAATTAGGAAGTGGGTCCAAAATGAATTCAAAAGAAAGTATAAATTCTTAGACATATTTGCAAGCACACAAACATACAAGATCAGCAGAGTAGAGTGACAGCATAGTGAATCAGGTATTTAATAGAGATCTTTCTCCTCATCCTCTCTCCCAAACACCTAACCACCACCTGCATAGCATTTTCCATGTACTTAAATATGCCAATTAGCAGTAAAGGTAAACATTTACGGTCTAGCTGGAGGCCTTAATTTCAAAGACAAAGAATGTGGAACTTTTTTCCTATTTGGATCACTGCTCAGGAATGTGATTCTCAGAGACATTTTTGTTTGTTTGGCAGATTTCCAAGTAAACATTTTGACATGGTTTGGCTAATCGTTAGACCTTGGCAATCCAAAGATTAAAATGTATTGTACCCCTAAAACTCAATATCTCTACATTGCCATTAAATTGTGTTTATCTTTTTTATTTTTATACTCACGACACCTATCAATTAAATTACAAAAAAACTAAATTAAAACCATTGGTTACTATTCACCATACTATTTGAAACATTGTTCATCCAAACTCATTCACACTGTTCACCCAGATTCAGATGCAATATTCCTAATTGCAACAACGTTTTTATAGTTTTCAAATATTTTTAAGACATTTATTATGAAAGTTTTTGTGACATTATATTTTAATCCTTCTTTTTAAAATATTGTTTTTTTAATCCGTAAATATTTTTCATTTGATTTTGATCTTACTTTTTTGTTTCATTTTGGTCACTTTCCTCCTTACTTTTTTTTCTCTGATTTTTTTAATTAAAATTTTAAGACAAAAAGATGTTCAGAAAAAAAAATTTACAAAATAAGATTTTAGTTAAAAATGTGGATAGAGATAAATAAATAATATTTTTTTAATAAAAAAATTTATCAAATATAAAAAATAATTAATAAAATACAAAATTTTAATTAAAAAATAATAAAATTGAATGAATTTTTATTTAGTTTTGATTTGATATATTTTGTTAGACGTGTACTATAACACGGAACATCAAAATAAAATATTTTTTATTTAAATAATTTTATGTATTTTGTCCGATACGCAGCGCTGGTAAAAAATTAGTAAGATCTAAATTACAAACAAACTGAAAACTTACATCGCTTTATACATCATGAAGAAAATACATATTTACCATTAATGCCAAAATGCTAAAATTCATAAGAGTTAAATCTAGAAAAAACCAAGCAGCCCTAATTTGAAAGCAAAAGCTACGGGAATTGTCGGTCGGCCCAAATTTCCATTATTTCCATGTTTCCAAAAAAAAATTCAAACAAACAAATTTTGAGAATGACAATGCGCAAAACAAACACTAGAATACAGTCCCTTGGAATTTCAAATTTCACCAGCTCACAGCCATAGAATCCCAAAGTATAGATGACACCAAATAATTTAAAAACAAAACAAGCCAGCTAAAAAGTAAATTATTTCCTAACCAGACTGAACATATTTAACGTGCTTAGTAACTTTAAATAAACCTTTGGCTTTTCGAAGTAAATTAAAACAAATTTAACTGTATTGTGAAAGAGATTTATAACCTAAAATCGTAAATTGAATTGAATTGAAACAAATTAAGAAGCCAAGATCTAACAAACAAGAAGACAACAAGTACAGTGGGTTCAATCGGATTCGATTGGATTCAAAGCCAAGATCTATTATAAGAAATGAAATCAAAATAGAAACTTTACGAAAACCTGAGATCTCATTGAGAGAGATCTAACGCTGCTACTGCTGATTCTGCTTCGGAGGCGGCGGCGGGTTCTGCTTCACCGCGGTCTCCGATTCAGTTGATGCAAGGCGGGATCCAATTCACTTTTCTTTTTGTTTTTTCCTTGCAGCCAATCGTGTTTAGGCATCTGCCAATCAAATCGATGAATCAGTTCCCGACCTGCACCAAGCGAATTAGAGACCGCCGGTAAATAAATCCTCTCTCCTTCTCTAATCAGTTTTTCCCTTCACGGGTAAATAATAATGATAAATAATAAATAATTTTGAAATTTTCAGTAAATAACCGGACTTAAATACTAACAGCTTTGAGTGGGTAGGTATTGGAGTGGGATGGGGGTTATTTATAGTGGGCACAGACGAACATGATTTCGACACGTGGTCTCCTGCAGACTCTCGTTTCCTGAGGCGGCAACCATAAGCGGGATGTGGTTTTTGATTTGTTAAACCATGATATGATTTTAAAATAGTGTTAGGTTTTGTGAAAATTGCGATATGTGCCATTCATTCATTACCTACTGAACTACGTGGAGCTACAGTAAGCGCACGTGCGCTTGATTTTCAGCTACAACTTGGACTCGAGTCAATACGCGGGAATGCACCTCGTTAAGGTACTTCAGCCTTAGTGCTGTTTTTTTTATACCACAACATAAAACTATAGTAAATATAAACTCAAGAGGCTTGGAAGATGGTTAAAGATATTAGCTTTCTCTCTCTGTTTTTTTGAGTTAGTATTTGATTGATCTAAATATATCAAATCGATATGAGAAATGTATTTTTGAAATCATTTGAGGAAAAAATATTAATCTTTATTGATACTTAGAAAAATTCGAGAATCTATTATCTTGAAACTGAAAAGAAAAAACAAACATAAAAATATATAAAAAAAATATCATTTTTCTTGTCAATATTCTAAATTTTCAAAAATTATAGCTGTCATCGCCCCATGTTTTACCTCGAAAACAAAATTTCAAAAAATAAAATAAACTTGTTTTTTTTTATATATGTGTATTCTGTATAGGTTCAGAGTTATTTAATTTACAAATGGATTTTACGCAAGGACTTCCACCCTTCCGTCCAAGCTTCGACAGCCAAATCACATTTTGGATTTGAAATTAAGTCTTTTTTTAATCTTTAAATCACCTCATTTAAGATTAATTTAAAAAATCTCATAAATTAGAATTGTATGGTAATCTCGTTACGAAGATACACTAGTATAACCATGATCTTCTCAATTATATTACTAATCCCATTAGTCATAACTCTTAAGAGTACTAGTTTGTTTGGTTTTTATTTTTTACTTTTCACTTTTAAAAAACTTAAGTGACAACTCTATATTTTGAAACCACCTTTTTTACGATTATTTAGACGTTACCTTGTGACAATAAATAATCTCACTAATTTGATATCCCACATTCATACTTTTAATTATCTCGCATTGATCAATATATAGATATGAGTTGAAACAACAAGAATCTTACTTGTTGCTACTTTTTAGAATTGACTTAGCTTCGATTCCGTTCTTGTTTTGTTAAGTAAAAAATTTTAGGAAAAAACTTGAACAACAATCTTAATTTGACCTTATGTGGATTCAAAGAAGGAGAAGGTAACAAAAAAAGGATATTCGTTAATCAAAAATCCAACTGGTGACTATGTATGTATTGTAAATAAGTAATTGTGAATAATCAAACCAAGATAATGGGAAGTAGACCTAAAAAGATCCCACATAAAAAAAAGAAAAAAAAAAGATAGTTGGGTATATCCATTGCATTATATGATATGTCCAAATAACACGTGTCATCACATGGCTTTATGACTCCGAGTTGGAGCCTTGTCCTAGATGAGATCAATCGTCAAACACGCTCTAATAACCACCATGACTAGGCATAGCCCGTGATATCCATCCGAATAACCAACTCGGACCTTGATAGTATAATCGTGGTCTTCTCAATTATATAACTAATCCCTTTAGTCATAACACTTAAGAGTACTAGTTTGTTTGGTTTTTATTTTTTACTTTTTACCTTTTAAAAACTTAAGTGACAACTCTATATTTTGAAACCATATTTTTTACGATTATCTAGATGTCACCTTATGACAATAAATAATATCACTAATTTGATATTCCACATTCATACTTTTAACTATTTGCATTAATCAATATATAGATATGAGTTGAAACAACAAGAATCTTACTTGCTACTACTTTTTAGAATTGACTTAACTTGATTTCGTTATTGTTTTGTTAAGTAAAAAACTTTAGGGAAAAACTTGAACAACAATCTTAATCGACCTTATGTGTATTAAAAAAAGGAGAAGGTAACAAAAAAGAGCATTCATTAATAAAAAATCCAACTCGGTCACCATATATGTATTGTAAATAAGTAATTATGAATAATCCAATCAAGATAATGGGAATTAGACCTAAGAAGATCCCATAAAAAAAAAAAAAAGTAGATAGTTGGGTATATCCATTGCATTATATGATATGTCCAAATAACACTTGTCATCACATGGCTTTATGACTCCAGTTAGAGCCTCCTCCTAGATGAGATCAATCATCAAACACGCTTTAATGACCATCATGACTAGGCATAGTCCGTGATATCCATCCGAATAACCAACTCGGATGGATACGGTGCTTTTAACCCACTTGATAGATGAAATGGACGTCCATTTAATGACAACATGATCTCTAAATCACCTCCATTAAATCTACAACAACCACAACTATAGAAGCATTGCCAAACATGAGTCATTATTAAAAAAAAAAAAAAGATTTTAATTCATCAAATGGATGTCGAGAAAATATTGGACATATATGAGTTTACCCTCCTCTCTGTACAATTCATTCAATACCCTCCACTACATAAAGGTCCAATAAGCTAAAAGTTTAAAAAGATTTTACTTCTCTAATTGATAAATATATTATTTATCATCTCCTACGTACGAGAAAACATACTAACACTACAACCTATCATTACATCTCCTCTCTCTGTCTTCTAATATAGTTATTAGAAGATCCTCCGATCATCAAATAAAAACTTATTTTGCAGGTATTCAAAACTGTTTGATCTCAATTCACCATAGTAGGACCATTCTCTACCGAGTCATGTGACAAGCCACCTCATCAATATTAAATAATTGAGGATCATCATCTCACCACTACGTTATTATCTCATTATTGAGGAATTGAAATTTGAATTTAGAAAAAGAAAGTTATTTTTTATCGTTCTAAAGTGAAAATATTCTTAAGTCAAATTTGTATATCAATCAAGACTAAGTTTTTCGTTGGATGATCTTATGTATGCACGAATTTAGGAGATTTTTTTTTTCAATTCGAAGGTAAAGATATTATCATGTTAGCTTGTACATCAATGAAGACTAAATTTCTTCCTGAATGATCTTAAAGACACTAAATATCAATCCAATGCGTTTAGTGAAATTTAATAAAAAATTTTAAACGTTCGCATCAAGGTTTGAACTCAATAAATTAATGAATGGAGCGAACCTACCACTAGGTCAATAAGAAAAAAACGAAGTAAAGAAATTTAATTTATTAAAATTTAAGAGAATATAGTCATTTTTACAATGATAAATATAAAATATATCATCAAATTATTGGGTATTATCAATCTTGCATCCAAACTATTTTTTTATCAATTTTATCATTAAACTATATCTTGATATCTCAATTAAAGATTTATGTTAGAATCACTTATGTCCTTATAAAATGATGTAATTTCTTACATAAAGTACAATTTGAAGAAAAATATAGACGAAAATTCTTTAAAAAAATGATGAAAGTCTTTAATTGAGAACTCTTAAAAATTTAAAAATAAAATTGATATTAAAAATGATGAAATTCGAGTAGCCGACACACGTATCATTTAAAAGGTGGCATTTCGTTATCACGATAATTGTGAGACTGTCATGTCCCCATGACCAGAAGGGCAGGCAACTCATTTCGTCAGTTGCCCGAAGTCACATTCTGTACCGACTTCTTAGCGAAGCCATGATGTTTCTATGCCTGTTTGGACACTCCAGTTGGTTTGCATCCTCGAGCTCACAATGTCGTGTTTCTTTTCTTAGGACTTAGTTTTGTCTTTGCCTTTCTTAATTTTGCACTAAAAAACAATGTTTAAAACAAAAGGAAGTTTTATTCTATTTATATAAAGCTGAAGGAAGGTGGATTTAATTAATCTGGATGTGTACAAACCGAAATACTCTTAATTACCATAAAATAAAAAAATAAATAATTACAAAATATTGCCATTCATTTTTTATTTTTTTATAGTTAAAATATGAAGAAATTTTATAATAATCAATGAGTAATTAGTATATATGTACATTCGTTACTCTATGAACCTATTTTTAAAAAAAGAGATCTACGTAAAAAAAATAAAATAAAATTTGACCTCATAAAAAGTAATAAAAAAATTTTCATATTGAAGAATTTTTTTTATTTTTTTGTGTTTATTTCTTTTTATTTGTAGAATAACTTACACTAATTACTATAAAATTTCTCATAAAATATGGACATTCAGAAAATGGTATATTTGTAATTAATAAATACTAGTATAACTAATGGGTGACCTTCCACTCCATGTCGAAAATTTTGGAATAATATTTTCTAAGCTCATGGCTCATCATGGCTGGCCTCCTTCACAGCATCATATATGCTAGGCATTTGGAGGCCAAAACTTGAAAGATCATTAATTTTAAGATTCCAAGGAATCGGTCCTGCTTTTTATTAATTACTACTATATATTAAAATGAGTGAGATCTTAATAGAAATAAATTAAACAGTACTGTTACATCAACTTTCACTTTCCGTCCTAAGCTTTTGAATCCATTAACAAAGCAACAAATTAGGTAATGTAATTGTATTGTTTATTGCATGGTACGCTTTTCGTTCTTAATTTCTCTGCGTGAAGATGCCAAAGTAGTTCCTTAAAATATATATATATTTTTTCCCCGATAATGGTACCATGAAGGCTGGCAAGAGGTAAGAAATTCATTCCATAGAAAATGGAAAATTACATAAATCTCTTATCGTTTTTTTTTTCCAAGAGGTGTTTGCAAGGCCCATAATGTAAAATAAAATAAAATAAAATAAAATAAAAATTTACTTAATGAGTTTTAAGTTTCAAGTTTGTTTCAATGGAAGACTTGATTCAATGAACGTTGAATTATTCTCCTCCACTTTTAAATCTCATTTTTCTTAGAATCTGAATATAAAATATTGAACTGTAAGCATGATTCTTCTTTCATAGAAAATTAAAATTCTCAACTTGAATTAAAAAAATTCATAAAATATAATATCATGCATGCAAAATTATAAAAAAATTGTAGATAAAGTGATAAGAATAGTATCTCTAACTCATCAAGTTAGGGTTTTGATTTTTCATCTTTGAAAAACTCAATCTTCTTATTTGCGTGGCACTGAATGTAATTGTTAGCAGACTCAAAAGGTCCGATATTTAAAATCCATAAAAAATTAAATATAATTCAACACTAATCTAATGTAGAAAATAATAAATTTAATATCCATTGATGAAAAAATTATCCAATAATATCTTGCCATATGTTAATAATAAAAAAAAAATCATATATGCAAATGGAGATAAAAAATCTAAACAAGGGGCGCCCTTTAAAGCGTCCGTTGTCTCTAGACAAGATTAAGAAAAATTGTCAAAGGAAATCATGGTGCGTGTTTATGGAGATGATAGCCCCTGAAAAGGTGTGGAGAACATGACTTGCCGGGTATTTCCCAATTTTCATTCGCACAAGCAACTACATTATTTTGCCTCCATTATTGTTATTACTATTATTTCTTCATTGACCTAGACTTTATTCTAGGTTTGATGAACCAAAATTTCTATACGGTGTCATTTTTTTCCATGAAAAAGGGCCCTATGTACAGATGCTCGTTGGACTTGTAATTTGGTTATAATGATCGACCATGTGAAAAAATGAGGATAATTTTCGGATGCCAAGAACATGTATATACTTGTCTCAAACCCACATGTTTTAGCACCAAGAAAGGCACTATATGACCAAATATTTATAGAAAAGGAAAACCTCAAATTAGCTACTAATATATTATTACCCCATCATCAATAGAATCCTTTTTTCTTTTTTTACTTTATTAATTTTATCTCAAACATATTTAATATTTTCCCATCCAAAGCATTCAAATAAGTTTTAATGTACCTTACGAGACAATTTTAGTGTGAAATCATGATATATACTAGGAGTGATTTTGCGTATTGAATGGAAGCACTTAATGGGTTCAACCCATAATGGCTCATTATGATTGACTAAATAAGAAAAGGATTAAAGTAAAAAGAAAAAGAAGAATTATGGATGAAAACGTTCATGCATGCGTGAATGTGAGCGGACAAACTATGAAAAAGAAAAGGACAATGCTGGGGGTATTTAAATCTTTTACAATTTTATTTTTTTTACCGAGTGATCATGCATTTGCTACATAAAAATATTTTCAAATCATGTTTCTTGTCATATTTAATGATACAACAGTAATTATAAAATATATTAACTAACCAATCATCAATTATGTACTGTCACGTCATTTAGTAAAACAATCCTAGTAAAAAAAAAATATCTCCAGCATGTCTAAAAGAAAAGGGAAAAAATAAAAAATAAAAAATAAAGAAGAAGAAAGATGTGCTCCTTTTTTATCGTTGTTACCGGGAGAGAAAGTAACAAGAAGGACAAGGAAAAAACAAAAGGAGAGTATTTCTTTGATATTTCTCCTTATCTATAATAATAATGGTTAATTTCACCTTTTTACCCATTTATCAGTAAGTTCCTTTTCGTCTACAAGAGGATAAAACGAGAATAACCAACTTATGAAGGGGGTAGTTGATGAAGAATAAATGCTTAGAAAGAAATTAATAGAACCCGCATACTTTATGGGGATAAAATGAAATTAATCCTAATAAAAACAAGTAAAGATTTTTGTTTCAATAAACATTGGATCTCTCTATAGCATTAATTCTTAGATACTACCATCATTAAGAATTGTAGCAGTAAAAGTGGTGATTTCACAAAAAATTAAAATTTTGTAAAAATTCAAAAATTTCGTAAATCTTAGGTTTTGATGGTAAGATAGATCTAATTAAAGAGATAAATTGTATTATTACTAATAGTTTTACTTGTCATGTTCATAAAAAAAAACTTGAGTGATTTTATTTTATTATAACCAGTTGTTTTAGAGTTGGTCTCCTGTTTTTTTTTCCTCTACGATTGAAAAGGGTTTTTTATATAAATTTGATGTTTTAAAACTAATATCGTAGGTCTTTTTCTCTGAGGTTGAGAAGATTTTGCACATAAATTGGATGTTTTGCGATTGTGCTATTGGATTTTATATGCATTTGACTTAATTAATTATTTGTTTGATGAAATCTAAATTAAACAAAGTGGAGTTAAAAATCTCAACAAATATCACGCGCAAATTGAACCGAATCTTTTAATTGTCACTAACATTATCTAAGGCAAATTCGCCTTAGGGTAAAATTGATAAATTCAAAAGAATTGGAACTTAATAGATAATAAAGTAATAACTTACAACTTAGATGTTAAATTGAGGTTTCCCCCAAAAGGTGCCCAGCAAGAGAGACAGAGAGAGAGAGACAGAAGAAGGCGTGAAAAATGGAAAGAGAAGGCAAGCTGCATGCGCAAAAAGGCATGGCGTACTTGTGAGACGTAATCGAAATTTGGCAATGATAATGCTGCGTTTGAAATAGAAGAAAAGTCTTCTACGCGAAGACTGTCGCGCATGTCCACGTTAAACTAAAGTACTTCTTTTTCGCAGTTATCCATGAGAAGAAGCACGTAGATGAATAAAACCCAACGAACAAATTATTTGCCCAGCCATACACTGAGCTCATTCCCATATAAATTTTACATAAATATGTAAAATTCGAATTCTGAAATTAATTACATCTCTAATGTAAACTGAAAATTAAACCCTAAAAGGCTATGCTACTACGGTGGTATAGCAGTTATTATATCTGAAAGATGAATTAAACATAACCAATAAGTTATTGTTCTAGCCATCTGAACGTGAACTGATGTCATGCAGATTTTTTGTCAATGAATTGAATTCGAAATCTGAAATTTTATTGTTTCTACCTCAAGCATGATTAATTCTACCTGTAAGATGAAACGAGAATTAAACCCCTAAAATACTATGCCCGGTATGCAAAACAACAAAAATACAGTAATGCGTCTGCCGCTTCAAATTTACAGAGGAAACACAATTTAATCGAGGAAAACCAAACACAAACACGAGAATTTAATAGGGAAGGAGAGACTAAAGCTCACAGCTGGAATAATTAAAGCTGGTCCCGACATTTATATCTTTTTGTTGATTTGTAATTCTCACAACATCCATCCAACCTTATCCAAATTCAGTGGACTATGTCATGACATGAGACATTCAAAGAAAAGGACAATCAAGATCACACTATGCCATAAAAAACTTCACATTATTACAGACAGAAGCACTCTCTGGTCCTTAGGGTTAATATGATTTCAGAAGATGCTGGACCATTTGACACCAACAATAGCGTTTAACGAGTCAATGGTTCCTGTCCCACTGATAGAAAAACCTGTGCTCTGATTGGCATAAGAGATGTTTATTATGAATCACAAAGGCAAACCAATCATGTAGGTGAGTTTGTGTTCTCGTGTGTGATTGTTGTAGTTTTCTGCATTTTTCATTATCTGATGGATCTGTAGCTGATTAACCTGATCTAGGAGAGTGTCCTAACACAATCACACACAAAAAGTAGCGTTGAACTCTGGCCCTATCATGCACATGGTTTTAAAACCTGATGGTCCTTTAGGACCATTAGTCAAGACATGCTCACAGCCAGTCTATTCCTCTCTATTCTTTTCTCTTCCTGATGCAATATCCAACTCAATTAAAACTGTTGAATCTCCCTTTCATAGTGTAAATGCTGCTAAATCAACACCATAATTTGAGGCGCTTGAGTTTCGCCTTCTGGCCCCATAGAACCGAATCCAAAAGACTTTCTATCCAAAAGGTCACAGATTATGGCTTTTCAACCACAGGAAACTTGTTCTCAACCAGAGCACTCTTTTTCTGATACCTCATTCAATAACATCACAGGTTGTCAACTAACAACCTCATAACCCTATCAACGTTTAAAGTTTATCGCTGATTAAGCTCTTTTTATGTCATATTCTTTTGCATTTTCAATAAATTATACACCATTCTAGAAAAAAGTAATAATGTGCATGATATAACTTATTAGACAAATAACTGTAAATCAAACCACTCTGCATGATTGAGAAGAGAATCGATATCAACCTTCAAGCTAATCTCTCCACTTAGATAAACAGTAGCCTGCTTCAAATTCTCATCCAAGTAATAAGCCAAAAGGATCACATGACTACTAAATGGACAGCTCAGATTGTATCATTGTACCTATAATGTGATCGATGAGCCGACATATTTGTCCTAGCAAATGATGGCACCACACAACTGTAGGTAAAATATGGCATTTTTATTCAAAAACTTGCTTCAATTAATGTACCACACCGAACCATCATTGATAAAGTGCCTACTTGGACAACAGAGAGGTGTTGCAACATAATTCATTCTCGTAACTGGATGTTCAGCTGAAGAGCTTTCAAAATCACAGAAGGTTGCAGCTATCCAATGCGAACATGCAATGTGCAAGTTATGCTAAAATAGATTCAAGAAATTAAATTATGTAACAATCTTCTGTCATCCCATCCACTCAGGGTCATATTTAAAAGGAAGTTGTTTTACAAACAACTGAGTCCGTTCTTTTCCCAAGTTGGGCCCTAAAACTCACAATAGCACCACATGTCCGTTTCCCACTTAAATAGAATAAATTTAAATATAAAAGAGAAACAAGCATGATCCCACAAGCATATTCCTGTTTATATATATACATGGAAGAGATGTAAAGGTAGGCTCTGACGTCCTTTTTATTGCGCCCACAATTACAAACCACAAGTGCAAATACTGTGCTATTCTACTTTTGTGATGAGAATTTGAAGATGATTCTTGCAAAAAAAATTCCCGATTCTAATACCACTCGAATTCAAAGCAGTAACTAAGCTAAAGCCTCAACCAGTAAAATGTTATCAGATCATGAGTTCAAGGACATTCAAACTTTATAAGATTAGACTAAACCTTGTACTGACCGACTCCCTAGAAAAATATGGTTGGTTGATTGTAACCACTTATGCCATCAAAATTTGTATCGTTCTACCCTTTTTTATAAAGAGAAACGTAGGCAAAAAATGGAAAAGAAGGTGATACTGACCTCTATTGGAAGTGAAGTGCAGTTCAATAGTGTATATATGAGAAGCTACATGTGCACCGCTGGATACACCACATCAAATGGGACTTCTTTAAGTATGTGCTGAACTCTTCCACCCACTCATGAATCCTGCATCACTATAAAAGTCCCAGGTAACAACACATCACGACTCCGTGCCCTCTAGAGGAAAAGCATTTGATAAAGATAGCCACTACATACAAAAAATAAACATGCATACAAAACACAAATGCACCGATACGCGATGCCACATACATGATAACACGATCTACAATCAAATTCCTACAATTCTAATTCTTCCTGTTTAATTACGAGGCAGATAAAAAGAAGTTCACAAGTAGATAGCAGAGAAGAAAAATAAAAGACCACAGGAAAAGCCTACATCGTACAAGGTATACACATGTTTACTACAATAAAGAAAACCTCAAAAAGGACCTATGGTCAGTTTTACATTACATGGTTGCATACTGTGCTTCCTACAACTAAGTAGATTGCCAGTTAACGGGAAGAGATGCCAAGCCAGCTCACTGTCCGGTCCAAAAAACTCAAGGCCCATGGTGCCAACATATGGGCTACCCTTGGCAGCGTTGGGTAAGTGAGTGTGCCAAGTATGAACCAGTTGATACTTAAAAGAGCAACTGCATCAGAAGCAGGTTTGTTCTTTACAGTGGAGAAAAATTGAACCACGCTTTTCAGTGACATGCCAACAACAGTGAAGAGAGCTACCACAAGCGGCATGCAAGGATCTTCAGCTTCCCAGATGATCATTCCTACCAAAAGTGAAAGCACAGCACTGAAAAGAGACTGAGAAAGTGCAGCATCCCTTCTATGTTCCAGAGCCTCAATTGTGTCTAAATTCCTTGAGAAAATACCCGCAGTAACTTGGTGGACAGGCACACTATCTGTGGACACAAATTCTGCTTTGCTCTTGCTGTTGCCCTCCCATCCATCTTTCTGCATCATCAGGTCTTGGATCAGGGTTCCAGTTCCTTTATAGTCAGATTTCCATGACTGGATACCAGAGGAAATGCTATAGTTGTCAGCTATGATATTACGGCCATTGTCTCTGTGATCATGATCTTTAAAGCTCCAACGACCTTTAACCAGATTTTCCTTCAGCTGAGCATTTTCAGCCTTCAGATCCTGTAACTGTTGGAACCCACACATTTTTTCATTTGTACAGAATACAGGTAGGCAAAGCACTGGAAGAGATTAACTTTAATCTATATGGATGCATAAGTTGTAAAAGTTGAGGTAAATTGACAGAAAATTACAGATACAGATCCGAAATCTAACCTAGATTAAGCGATTCCTTGACTTTATTTGTTTGTGGTGCGCCCTATATAACCTTTTGGCATGTCAAGTGAGATCTTGACAATTCGTTCCACTTCCAAACTTGTAAGTAATGCTAAATTGCTATTTTCAAATTGACTAGGAAGGTCGGGAAAGAATGGCACTCTACCAGGTTGTCTATCCTTCAATATGGCAACAGCAACTACTGCTTTAGAACAGCATTCAGATTTGAAAGGACAGATAAATAAGATAACAAGATTTTTTTGATGAAAATAAGAAAACAAGATTGGTCATATATTATGCAAAGACCAGAAATGATGGACTACTCAATCTGACACATGCAAAGGAAAAAGGAGAGGACCATAAGAAAACTAATACAGGTAATTTAACACATCAAACAAATTAGGCTGGCCACATTGTTAGACATGGCAACTTTACCAGCAGCACTTTTTCAACAGACCTCTTATCAAAATTTCGATCTAAAGGATGATACTATGTAAATCATTATGAGCAAAAAAGTCCCGGTAAAAAAGTTCTACAAGTCAGGTCACAATAAAGCAAATTGAATATTCAGATAAACGTTCAAATTGGAACAATTCTCTGCATTTTCTTTCTGGTTGAACAACCGAAACATGTCAATTACAAGAGAGAATTACAAGCGAAACACTTTTATAAGGACACTTGGAAAATGTAATTTAAAAGTATGACATTGCCATTGCCATCACTCTGTGTTAGATGAATGAAACCACAAATTAACTTAATCAATTTACTGAATTTGCCAGAGGATAGAGTTGTTACCTCAACCTCTAGCAATTCAATTTTGGCAATCGTCTTGTCATTTTCCTCTTCAACTTCTGCAAACATCGATTCCAAAATTCTACGTTCTTTAACTGCTATCTGGAGGTGGCTATGAAGTTCCTTTTTTTCCCAAATAAGATTATCCAACTCAATCTGCATCTGAAGCAAATGGTCTTCCAGCTGAAAATCATAATAGCAAAGCAGCTAAAAAATGAGTACGAAATGCAAACGAAGCTGCAGTTCACCATTAACATACAGTTGTGTAGGTCCTAGCCAGCTCACACAAGATATCAAAGAGTGAAACTAACCATCTTCTCCCTTGGTAAGGCATTCAAAACTCGAACAGGAAAAAGAACAAGACCAATAAAGCAAATCATGGTCTTCCGGAACATATTTAGATGAAAATTGATTGTGGCTACCAGCAGCTCCACCCAAGTGCGAATCACAATTAACATGATTTTGAGAGAAATCATGATGGCCAATTTGCAAAGTGAGAAAGGCCTTGTCACCAAGATTAAAGCAGTAGCCATTGATTCCGCAAACAGCACCATAGGATCCATTATGATTCACCAATTAAGTTTCTCTCTCTGTTGCTCAATCACTGCATGTCCACGAGCTGCGCAGAAGAATGAATGTACATTTATTATTGCTATAATATGATTCAAGAAATGCTGAAAGCAGAATTTTTTGGCACAGGGAACATGGAGGCAATAGTGAAGAGCGAATGACATTGTTAAATTGCTCCTCTGCACTAAAACAAAATGAACAATTCTTAAAAAAAATGATTTTGGCAAACTTAATTAGTGGGAAAAAAACCCATTTGGGCAGCTTTGTAGAAAGAGAATTGAGATCGTCAGAAATGAAGCCATTAACATTAATTTCGAAAAGACCGGGCACACTTTTGAAAGGTGCAGTTCTTGTGATCTGTCTGTCAAGATACAGCACCAATAAAAGAAGAGTAGAGCCCACGAGTAAGATAGAAACAGTACATGAAAAGGGAGAGAGTGACTTACTTAGAAATGAAATGAAAGCAAAGTAACTGAGTGAGCAGCGAAACTTGACAAATAAAGTTCGAATGTTTTTTGAGAGAGAGAGTGAGAGAGAGACGAGTCGCACTCATAACTCGTAGCTAGTAAGCAGAGAAGAGGAGAGGTGGCAACGAGAGAACTGCCATGGCTGACACCTGGCTGCTGAGAAATTATTACCGGGATTTGTTCTACTGGATAGACCAAACGGATAAAATTATTATAAATAATTAAATTTATCTAAATTATCTATTAGCAATTAACATTTAGAATGTAAATAATTTCACGTTCATAATTATGAATAAAATAAATATTAATAGATCGATTGTAAAATAATTCTAATAATGTAGAAAAAATCTATTAGTTTGGTTCATAATTTTTTGAATTAAAACGATGCATTAAAACTTATCTAATCAGATATCTTTACTCATCTAAATGCTGATCGAATTTTTTTACAATCAGAATTTGTTCGATCCCAACCTTGCATTTTTAAGGTTGTTATTGAAAAACAGTAATTGCACTAAACATGTGACACGTGTAACGTGTTCAATTGATTGTGTTTTAACGTTTATTTTTCGTAAATACAATTTTTTTTGGCATTTTGCAACGTTAATTAAAAAAAAAAAAGTGTTTTAGTTTTCCAAATTAAAAGAAAAATACGTTAAGAAAAAGGGGTGTAAGTGAAGGGTCCGGCTTCCCTCGACTTTAATATTCCTCAAGTTCCCTCAAATGATGTGATGTACTGTATATATAGGACACCTCGTCAAAGCGAATCCAACGGTTTATAAAAACACAAATCAATCAATTATCTTAAAATTAAAAATCCTTTTTTTTTTTTTTTGAAAAAAATTCAAATACTGTGTTTCCGTTAAATAAACAAATTAAATTATGTATAAATAATTTGAAAAATTCGATTTTATATTTAGATAATTCGGTGCAGTCATCTTCAATTTTTAACAAATATGTAAAAACTTGTTGATGTAAAATATATTAACTACATGGTCTATAATTTTGACTAAAATACGCCATCATAAAAAATAAAAATAAAAAAAAATCGAAATATTTTTTGTAAAATTGAACAAAACTTATATATGATCCTCACGTGACTTTTTCCACAACGGCACACCTCATATTGCATATTTTAAGAAAGCAAAAAGACAAGAAATAAGACTCTCAATTCAATAAATCTACTCTTCTTTATAAATCTAGTTTTTTTAAATATTTCTTAAAAATTAAAGGTATTTGGATCTAATTATCTAAATATAAATATAATGAACATAGAGTTAAATTTGCCAAACTATTTAAACATGATCTAATTTACCAATTTGATAGAAACATAGAATCTCAAAATGGATTTTTTTCCCTCTTTTCATTAATCATGTGGCTGCTATGAGCAATATTCTTCTTCTATCCCTTTGATAATGAAAACAATCTCCATATGAAGTTCGAGTTATAGAGTAAAAAAAAATAAAAGTCTTGTACAAGCAGAAATCATTATTCATAATAAAATATTTATAATATTTTAACCCCTAATTTTTTATTTTTTTATAAAATTATAAATTTTTTTTATAATTTATAATTTATAAAATTATAGGGTTGATGTTAAAAATATTATAAAAAAACATTTTATAAATATTTTTAACCCCTAATTTTGAATTTATATATATATAAAATGTTTATAATTTAGAACTTATAAAATTAGGAGAGTCAACCCTTAATTATTTTCTTTTTAATTTATAAAATATTCTAATTTATATTATAAACATTTTAATGCTCAGTGGATATTATAAACATTTTATAAAAAAAGTTGGTAAAAAAACCATAATTAACAATACACAATTTCAAGTTTTAAAATAAATATTTTAAAAATCAAAATGAGCATAATTAATGATTGACCTCGTAATTTTATAAATTATAAATTATATAAAAAAACATTTGTTTATAAATTTTTTATAATATGTTATAAAAATTTTTTCAAAATTAGGAGGGATTAAAAATATTTATAAAATATTTTTTTATATAATTTATAAAAAATCATGAGAAATTTTTTTAAAAAAATTAAAATTAGAGAGTTAAAAATATTTTTAAAAAACATAATTAACGACAAAAATATCAAAACAACGTCGTTTTAACATTACAAATAACGATCAATCCAATTGACTATTACATATAACGATAATTAGAAAAATTTAATCAATTTTGTTCACAAATCAATAATTTAGAATTTAAATTGTACAATTTATTATTAAAAACTTGAAATTATCAGATCACGATAAAATATAGGAGTGAAATTTACCATTGAACCCCTAATAAACATAAACGTGGGCAGGTATTCGAAAAGCAAATCTTCAGGTTAAAAGGAGAGCTGACGCCATCACGAAGCAACTAGAAAAGCATACTTCCTGCCTAAAAAGAATTCACCAAAAGATCTGTAAACAATTGAATAAAGAAAAAGGCATTCCTTTTCACAAGTTGCAGATATTTGTAGATGCTTTTTGCTGGCTTTAGCATGGAGTAAATTATAATTTATTTCCTCTCGTTTCTACAAACATATTATTTAACCCTTCTCATTTTAAAAATTAATTAATTAATTTTTTATTGTTAAATTTTAACATATATGTTAAATTGACACCCAATATCTAAAAACTATTTTAAAATATATATCCATCCATAGAGATACATTTTGGTGCCTGAGAAAAAAAAAGAAAAAAGAAAGCAGAGATTAATAAATGAAAAAGAGAAATAAAAATTTGTTTTAGTGCTTAAGAAGAAATCAATGGAAAAGATACGTGCAAAAATGAAAAATAATACATAAAAAAAATAATTCGAGAACAAAAAAATATTACAGGAAGAATACACCATCTCTATTCTACTTAAAAATGAATAAAATGACTAAGTTTTTTTGTGATATTAAAAAATAAAAAAAACTAAATAATTAATTTTTTAAATAAAATAAACTAATTAATTCGTTTTCCGAAACCAAAGAGAATAATCTATAATTTACTCCCATTCATGCCTATTTTTTTTTCCCCCAAAATAATATGGCTACAGTACTTGTTATGTTGGTACTGAAAGCTCCTTGAAAAAAAGGTTGTGCCTATGACGCAGCCCTCCGCCTTTCTTTTTTGTTCTTCTTTTTTCTTTTTTAATAATTCCAGACTGAATATTCACCGCTAGTTTACTCACGATCAAGATCAAAAGAGAGGGAAAGAGAATATATGAGCTTCATCATGCATGCTTGATAAATTCAAGGCAGACTTGAAATTTCAATTAGAACATGTATAGCAGTGAAAGGAAATTACAGCTTATTGAATAAAATACCTTTTCTCTCTATACAAAGGCAGTCTTAATAATTTGTAGCAAAGCTTAGAAATAGCTATTTTCTGGGGAGAAAGAAAAAAAATCGTTGTTTGGTTTATATATTTCGAACTTATTATAGCTCAAAACCTATGCATACTTACCCTAAAGAAAAGGGAAGGAGAGGAAAAAAAAAGGAAACTGAAGATGTACATGATGAATCAAGGAGAAAGAAAAAGGACAGATGCATAAATCATTTAGCCCTGGAGGTGCAACGTCTGGGTATGTAGCTTCCATTTGATGGATGAAAACGTAGTTGACAATTCAAGTGACACAAGAACTTTACTGACCCAAGAACCCCAACTTTCCATCTAGCTCTAACACCTCCTTTCAGCTCGAACTTTGCTTCATCCTCTCTCAGGTATGCATCCACGTTATCCATTTGCTTAGGGTTCAATGGCATAGGATCCGAGGTGTATTCATAATTGAAATCAACAGAATCATTCTTCTTCACTTCATATGGACCCGCAGACAATATGGCTATTCTAATCCCTTGAAAGAGCAGTTCAAGATTGAAATCTGAGAAGCTAGCATGAGCTTTCCTGTTGTCATTCTTAGACCTTACCTTGATGTTTATTTGCGTTACTAGTACCCCTGCTCCGTCGTAATTGAAATGAGGGAGGCCAGCATCGACCACGCTGATGATCGGAACTCTTGGGTGAATTACCAAGTAGCCGATGAAGACGACGATGCCGGCTATGATTATTGCGATGGTGAGGAGGGCACATATGATAGCAGCACACCACCATAGCAAATGGGTTCGGGGAGGATCACGGTATCCGTTTCTCGTCAATTTCTGGGGCATAATTGGTGCTGGTGGCGGCGGCAAGTAATAATTGGCACTCTAGGAGTGACAACATTCGGTTTTTAGGTGTTTTGTGGCAATTTTTATGTCAAACAAGAAAGGTGGAGTAGAGATCGGCAGCAAGGTAAAGAATTTTTAAGGTGGGTTCTTAGCTCTAATTGGTGGGAAACGTTAGGTATCTTCTTTTCCTAGTTTTAAAGCTTTAGTAACTATTTATATGTCCATCTGACTGTTATTGTAGTAGCGTACAAGAAGAGCCCCTCTTCTTCTCTGTTAAGGAATCTTGGCTTTGGTTACGTAGCCACACCCTTTTTATCCTGGACCTGATGCAAATATATTCTTAACTTGCACCGCTAAATACCCTCTATTCCCCTTTTCAATTCAAATCAATCCAAATAATACCAATATGACTGAGATTAACAAGATCAGCACGTTAGGAAAAAAACAGATATCGGAATTCTTTAAACAAAATTTGTATCTCAATGCATAATCAAACAGGAAGATTTATTGGTGATGATGAACATCAACGCAGTTATACTCATATGACTAAAATTCTTACATGGAATACCTTCTTATTATTAATGAGAAACTACAGCAATCTCAAATCTATTTGACTTACTACATGAATTCCCATTAAAAACTATAGCTGCTTGCTTGTTTCAGTGGTAAATTGGTACTGAAAGTAAAGTTACAGAGTTTCCATCGTCGTCGCAGCTTAGTTTTTGTTGTCGTTCAAACGCATGATACTTGGATCATTTCTGAAAGCAAACTTAGCAGAGAGGCCATTACTTCTACAAGCTTCAACCAATCTAGGTGAGTTCGAAAGCTGAAACCAGTTGCTGTTTGTCCATTGACATGAAATCCATGTCCTTAAAAATATAAGGCCTGAGTTAACGAGGAAGAAACAAACAAAAGAGTTACAGATAAACGTGAAACAGACGGTCTCTTTGCTGTAAAAAGACTCGGTCAGTATATGAGAAGCAGGGAAAATCATATTGACTCAGAAAAGACAGTTTCAGACAAATTGCCAAATTTTCTACCGTCTTTTCTCTGTATTCTCTTTGATACACAACCAACCCAACATCTAATCAGAGATACCATAATCAAACCAATTATGAAATCCATACACCTAAAGTAATTCCAAACACCATTCCCTGTCAACAACTGTCTTGTAAAATATCCAACTGTTGGAAACAACAAGTACATAAAAAGGCTAGGGTGTTTTGGGGCCAAATCATACTCTAATGGAAAGCGTAACCACACAAAAAGGACTTGAATGAGATCCCATCACAAGCAACGAAAATTACCAACATAACTGTAATGAATTTCCACAAAACAGGACCAAGAAATAAAAACAGATATGGGCTATTAAACACACTGACCAAACAAATCCCAGCAAATGCTATGCATAACCTAGTAAATACCAAATTATACAACTGTGGGGATTTCTCTTTTATTTTTTAAATCTCTATAGATCAGAAATATCGCTTTCCAGGCTTTGCTGGGGAGAGTAATGCCATATTCTTGGCTGCTTCGGTAAAGGTTGCATTCACAATAGATGCCTAAGAACAGCATGCAAACACATGAAAGAGAGCTGCAAAGGCTGTTATGGATCAACCGGAACCTCATTGACCACATATTGCCCCTGGACTTGATTGTCCACTAGTAGGAAAGGCAATCTACCATTGGTCTATCTCATCAGGCGCACTGTGGCAACTCAAAAGAGAAACTTACGAATAGCCCTTGGTAGGCAGAAAAGGGAATACACAACAACCAAGGCTAGGAAGATCAAAATTAACTATTTCTAGAACATTATCTGACTTGTCTGAGGCGCATATCATTATCTAACTCAAATCAAAAGGGCTTGAGAAGGCTTGGCCAGGAAAACCAGAGTTAGCAGGAGTTTCCGCTATCACTAACGTCCAGGAGAAGATTTAACGCAACGACTAATAAGATAGCAATGCTAGGAAGATTGAAATTGCTATTTCTAGAACATCTGGAGCACAGCAGCAAAGAATTCAATCATTACATCATGAGAATTTGTCATTTAGATAAAATGACCACTTCATCTTAGGTTCCCTCACCATAAAAATAAATAAATAAATAAAAGACTAGACCTAAATCAGCAATCAATCAATTCAAATCATGTTCACGGTCATGCCATGCATTACAATTTATGTTACAAGACTTGGAGACGAATGTCCAAGAAGGGTGAGTGGACTGACACTTACGCTCATGTTAGAATCGCCAATTTTCCCAAATCACTATTGATTTTTCACTAAGATTTAGTGTTCGAGTGGTGTACCCATTATCCTGGCATCTGGTATCTTACAAAGATGCTCTAGGACTAAGTGAAGAAAACCAAAGGAAATTACACAGATCATGAGTATTAGCATAGGAAAATGAAACCAAAGGCAACAAGTCCAAGCACAATATAGATGGAACATATTGAGGGTCAAGAAAGCCAGCCGATTTGTCCCTTCAAATTCCAAAAGAAACCCAATGGTCCCAATTTAAAATAACTTCTGAGAGTAGTAAACAAATAGGGAAGATCATAAGGAGAAAAGGTATGTGACAGTAACATACCAAAAACGAAATGTCGCATGCCACACTCATCCTGCTGAATTAGCTGTTATGAGACAAGAACTCCAGAAATTCATTAAAAAATGACCCACTTTAAATAACTTTGCATCAGAATCCCAGTTTAGATAGAAACCATAAACAATTGCTACTGCAAAGGCTAAAAACAGTGGGATCAAACATGAGAAGAGATTGAGGAATCTACATTCAGAAAACAAAATTGAAACGCATGCGCAGGTGAGAGAAAAAGAGTGTGAGACAACAGCTACATATAAGAACGCAAGGATATCACAGTGGGAGGAACTTATATGACTAGGAGAGACCAAAGAAAAGGCAAGAATAAACAGAAGAATCCGCTTCCACCAAAGTATTGCTATTAAGGACTGCCACATACCGTAGGTGATCCGAAACAGTGCCAGAAAGGATAGATCAAATAGAAAATATACAGCATGACATCTAAAGAGCTTTCCATCTCCTCGTGAGACTATCATAATTGTCTCTTCCATGTGTTCCCGTGTTATAAAAAGCATCCTTCAACTTCTTCATAGTTGATTCATTTATATTTATTCTTCTATCAAGCATATCTGCTGCAAACTGCCTCACCTGTGACATCCTTCCCAAATTACAAAACCCAATGAGAAGCGCATTTGCGCTTCCATCAAGAGGCAAGACACGGTTCTCAACCATGTAGTTCCATATCTCAATAGCCATTTCAGGGTCATCACCGTCGATCAATGTCGCAATGGCCACAGAGCAATCAACATGGGTTGGAGGGCTTTCATTCTTGACCATCTCATAGAAGAACTTGCCTACCTGGTCAACCTTCTTGTTCTTGATCAACCATCGGAAAATTATATTGTAGGTCAAAAAATCCGGAAAAGCTCCATTAAAGACCATCTCATCAAGCAACCGAAATGCATTGTCAACATCATTGTTGTTGCAAAGCAAGCCAATCATTGCATTATACATAATCAAATTAGGCAACAAACCACTACCCATCATTATATCCCACAAAGGGATGGCGTGGGTAAAATCATTTTGCTTAGCAAGCATATCGAGTGCATTAGAGAAAAATTTCAAACCTGGCAAGCAATTCTTCCCCTTCATCACCCGAAGGAACTTAATGGCTTCATCCGCCTGCGACCCACGAACAAGTGTTGTCAAAAATGCATCATAAGCTGACATATTCTCTGGACTCCATCCAACTCGTATCACCATCTCACCAAACGTCGTCTTGGCTTTGGACACATTGCCTTCTTTCTCCCACCCTTCCAACAAAATAGCAAAAGTATCGGCATTGGGGGGATTTTCAACTTAATCTTGTCGAAAAACTCCCATGCCTTTGTTGTCTGATTGTCCTCGCAGCAAATTGCGCTCAAAAGCGAATTCACCGCGACAACATCTTGCTGAACACCATATTTATCCATAACATCAAAACTCATTATAGCCTCGCTAAACTTACCAGCCATGCAATAGCTTCCAAAAACAGAAACAAAAGTTGCAATTGACAGCATATTTTCTTGTTTCATCGAACGAACGGCATCCCACATGGGCTCGTACATCCAGTTCTTGCCTAGTAAGTCCACCAATATATTCCAGGCATACGAGGTCAGCTTGTGGGTCCGGCCAGCCCAGCGAAAGAATGTGATTGCAGAAGTGGGGTTTTTGTAGCAAAGTTTAAGGACTTCATGGACAATGCCATGAGTGGGGGGATTCCAGTGGAGGAGAGTGCAGTATCAATATCATGAGATGAGGCTCGAGTTATGATTTCAAAGAGAAGTCTGGCCGATGGGGAAACGTCCAAGTTTGATTCCAATTGAGGTTTTGAGGTTTTGGGTTTAGAGTTTTCAGCCACAGCCTCCATAATTAGTGGGGTTTGGTTTGTTTTTACAAAGAGGCGAGTGTGTCCACTCCAGTCTAGCAATCAATGGGAGCAAAAATATATGAATATTTCGATTCTCAATTGTTGTTGTCTGTGTTAAAGAATAAAGAGATATAAAAAAATCAATGCTTTTACAGTTCATTACTACAGTATTGCTGTGCTAAAAATTCAGGCTTTTTATAATATAAACACGCATACATGAACAGAGCTCAGAGAGAGAGATAGAGAGACAGAACCTGTAGTGTTGACGACTGCCGAGGAGAGAGAAGTTCGTCAGAGAGTAACCTCAATTTATGTTTAGGAGAAACCTCAATTTAGTCACTAAATCTTATCACATTATCAATTGAGTTTTAAATCTTTTGATTTTATCAATTTTATCCCAAACTTTATGGACTTTAAACAATATCATCCCTCCGTCCATCCATCTTGTCACGGTTAAAAGATTACACAATCTGTATCTATCTATCTATCTATCTATTTGTCTATGTGATTATGTGAAAAAGGGAGGGCAGGATTTGTAAGGACTTATGATCCACCCAGCTACACTTTTACGGAGATCCACTTGTTTACGAAATTAATGAGAGTGATTATTATTTAATTCATGTACTTTTAATAAAATAATTCGTTAATCCTTTTGTTTAAAAAACTTAATATTAAGTGTTTATGTTTTCATATTTGATTGTAACTTAATCTTTGTTGGTAAGTCAACGTAATTTTTTATTTCTTACCTAAAATCTCCTTCGTCTATAGTAAAAAATTTCAATCTTCTACAAAATTAAAAATATATTTAAAAAGAGTAATTTAAAAAAAATAACAAAAATAATTAACAATCAACTTTGATCAACCAACTATATTTTTTATTTAAAAAAAAAGCTAATAATTTAAAAAATCATAAAAAATATAAAATTTTAATTATAATTTACTCATAAATATGACGAGTAATGAAGAAGTTTCTAGAATTCCCTGAATGGAAATTGGAATCTATGAATAAGAGTTGATGCGTTTCTTAGTTTCGGAGGTGCAATCAATTAATGATGTGAATGTAAAATATACATTTAATATGGCGTGTCATTTAATATATATGTAATTAATACGTAAGACATTCCTTAAAACCCTATTTGATGGACATCCTCGACATATATATATATATATATATATATATATATATATATATATATATATATAAGCATGAAGAAGAAATATTGGAGAAAATTTAAAATATTTTTAAATTTTAAAATATTTATTCTATGAATTCCTTTTTTTAAAAAAAAATAAGTATAAAGAAAAAAAATCACATCTAAACTCATAAAAAATGATAAATTTTTATCAATAAACATAAAAAGTGACAAGCATTGGTGCTTTAATATTATCATATATTATCATATTTAATATATGACAACATTAGTACAATTATAACGAATGGTAAATTGATTGAAGTTATCATTGAAAAATCTTCATGGAATGCTTGGTCTTTCCTTGGTGGCCATGGAAGGAAACAATATCTTATGAAGGATTCCTAAGTCTTTTCGAAGGTTTTGGCTCCATTGATGGAGATTTATATTGTTAGTTGTTTAGACTCTTTGTTTTCTATTTTTTTATATATAATATATTGTAAGCACTTAAAAAATAATATTTAATAAATGTCATTCATTTTGATTTAAATATGTCATTTTCATTCATTTTTCAACACAAATCAACAGTAAACATTAGTTTAATAAATGCAATCAGATAATGCTTAACGAGTGCCTTAAAAGTAATAAAGGATCCAACTAAGGCGTGCTTTTGAGGCGTTGATAAGAGTTATTTAGTGTTAAAAATCAATCTTTATTTATTTTTCTTTTTTATGTTTTATCCTCTACTCTTATTATTATTATTTTTTTTTGTGTGAGTGTGTGTGTTTTTTTTAGTTTTTCTGAAGTTTTTTTCCCCCTAATATAAATTTTAATTTTTTTGTTTAAGTACATTGATTTTTTTTAAATCACCAATTAAGCTTTTTTTTTTTTTTGGGAGATATCTATGTTAACTAATGAAGTATCTATTACCACCAAAACATCAAATTACAAATTTTTCCTTTTTTTTGTTGGAGGAAACTTTTTCCTTACATTATTCTACTTGTTTCAAAATTTGACAAGAAATTTTAAAAAATTATTATTTTTTAACTATAGAACTCCAAATTAAATTCAGTTAGGTATAGCCATGCAAACCGAAAAGAAAGACACGAATGCGAGATTTTCAATCAAGAAGATTCATTGTTTGTTAGCATTTAGAGAGAAATTTTTTTGCGACAAAAAAAATTTATAATTTGGTATTATAGAGATAATAAATGCATCATCAAATAATAAAAAAAATTGACGTAAGTACTCGATTAACAGTTTTGAAAAGATTAATATACTCAAATAGAAAAAATTAAAATTCATATATTCTATCGAGAAAAAAAAAATTATAATTTGATATTTTAAAAGTAACTAATATTTCATCGGTTAATAAAGAAGTTGAGTGTAGTTTTGAAAAAGTTTGATACATGTAAATGAAAAATATTGAAGCTCATAAATTCAATTGAAAAAAAATAAAAATTAATATATTTATAGTATAATTATCCAATTCGATTTGTGAAAATGAATCTCAATCTACCATAAAGGGGAATTTTAATGCAAAAGATCGTAGACCAAAAACTAGGTGCTATTAGACCTAGAACCAATCCAAAAAATTATAAATTTTGTCTCGGTAAGTATGAAAGTTGACAAAAAAATTATCCTATAATGATATCAAAAAAATTGTAAAATCATAATAATTTGTTTTCCACTTCCCTTTTTATACAGTTTCAGTGCCAAAAATTTACTCTATGACAGATTAGAAATTATTTTGGTGCCTTAAATATTTTGTTAGCACTTAGTAAAAACGAGAAAATTGGACGAAATCTTCTAACTATTGCCGACAATGGATTGACGAAGGAGTGATTGATATTTGAGGCAAATCGATAAAATCAAAAGTATTGATAAACAAGTCAATATTTGGGTTTAGTTTAGTACACTTCAACGGTTTAACATGCTTCCAAGTTCCTTACTTTTATTGGCTTAAAAAAAAAAAAAAAAAAAGGAGAGAGAGAGAGAGAGAGAAAGAAAAATCCAAGCTTTAATAAGTGGATTTATGTGGTTCCAGTTTCCGTGAATCTTTCAACTACGCAATCCTGCTTGTTCATGCACTTCCCCAGTACTCACTCTTCTTTCAGTCCAGTGTAACCCGGTGCCTCCAACTCACTGCATCACTCATTCATGCCAAAAGCTCCCAACTTTCATCCACCATGAACCCTTCTCGACCCATGATTTCAAGACCCGTCAAAACACCACCTTTCTTGATCAAAACTTGTAATTTGAGTCCAAATTCTAAAAGGGTATTTGGGTTTAGCCCACATGGACATGGTGTTAGATTCTCACCGACCGTGACCAAATGTTCAAGAGCTCATGATGTTCATTTCGCAACAGCAGCAGCAGAAGCTACACAATCTTCTCGTTCTTCGTCTCGTGCATCCCCTGTAGTTGCATCAAAGATATTCAAGTTGGAATCTTTAGAGGAGAACATAGAGAAGGTATATAACATAACTAAGGCGATGCTTTGTTCGGGCGCTTTATATTAGTATTAAATTTTGTTTGAATGATTTGCAGGTTATTTATCGATGTCGGTTCTTGGCGATTCTTGGGGTTTGGGGGTCTTTGGTTGGATCATTTCTCTGTTTCATAAAGGTACTGCTTCTCCAAACTCCGAATTAATCATTTTTGGGTTTGAATTACTAAATTTTCATTTCAGGTTTCGTGAAATTAAACTAAAATTCTCAATTGCTTTTCCACAATATTGATGCAAGTGTAAGCATTAGCTTCAATTATGCAAACAAATAGCAATACAACCTGCATGTCATTGTCAAATTGTCAATTACATGCCACTGAGGATGGCCTTTTTGAGCTCAAGTATAGTACTTTCAATTTGGTTGAAGGTATTGATCATTATATTGTTCTGGCGTATTAATCATTACATCGTTTACTTTGATGTGCAGGGCTGCACTTATGTTGTGTCAGCTTTCACACAATACTTTGTCAATCATAGCAAAGTGATTATATCGCTGGTCGAGGCCATAGGTGTGTGTTTGGGAATAAGTTTCAGTATTTATGGCTCTGCATTTCTCTTTGTTGAAATAATTGAACCTACAACTAGTAACCAATGTTCTTTCTTTTGCATTAAATATTGGAAGTTAAATTTTGTTCCAAAGCAAAATACAGCCACTAAAATTAACCCTTGTATCCTGTATGTTTGGCAATGGGTTAATCTAATGCTCTGTAACGCTATAGTTGTGGGCCAAGTGAAAACTAATGCTTGTATCTCCCTGGTAGAATTATGGAATTGATCGATGACCTTTAATTTTAATAAAGGATTTGGCTTATGTATATTCATTTTTCAGCTTGATCAGTAGGTCACCAGACTACTTGCAATTGCAAGATATATATCATGCCACCATACATATATCTGTCGAAGGGTTTGGATTCCTCTTATGTATCCCTCTTTTTTCTCCCTGAACTTCCAAGTCTTCGCTCGCCATCTGTTACACTTCCTGCTTTGTTTGTGAAAAGCTCCCTAGAAAATTACTAATGATTGTTTTATTGGGTTGCAGATGTCTATCTTTTGGGAACAGTAATGCTAGTCTTCGGAATGGGTCTATATGAACTCTTTGTTAGCAATCTTGATCTTGCAAAGCAGGCATCAGTGGGGAAAGCACCAAATAGGTCAAGTTTATTTGGCTTATTTACCTTGAAGGTATTTTTTATTCTCTTAAAACAACAGCAATTTTCATACTTTAGCAATGCATATAATATGACTCAGCTAATGTTTCATAGAAATTGTAGCCTTGTTGATGAGCGGGAACATATTTGTCTTGCCTGCCGATTGGGAAATATACCCGTTTAGCTTGTCATGTCTGAATGATCTCTTATTTGATACTTGACCTTCCTAAGAGTAGAACTACAAGAAAAATTTTGTTCATCATTTACAGTGTTATTGACTTGTGCACATCCGTTACGTTATTGAGATTTAACATAACCTTCCCTTCTTACCTTTTCTGGCAGGAAAGACCGAGATGGTTAGAAGTGAAAACTGTTAATGAGCTGAAAACCAAGCTTGGCCATGTCATTGTAATGCTTCTTCTGATCGGCTTCTTTGAAAAGAGTAAGACAGCAATTATACACTCTCCCATTGATTTACTTTGCTTCTCAGCTTCTGTCCTCCTTTGCTCTGGTTGCCTCTACTTGTTATCTAAGCTGGGCGACTCCAAATGACATGTATAATTTCCCTGAGAGTTCAAATGATTAGAAAATGCTGTCTGGAGAAAAAGTGGGAACTAATGTTAATACGTGTGATAAAAAAGTGAACAAGTGAGGTCAAAGAGTTCGTTCCGCATGTATCTGCTTGTGGCATGTAATGAAACCTTAGCCATAAGTTCACTGCAATAAAATCCCTCACCTCTTTCCATGTGTGTGTTTATGTGCTTTTAGTTTTTGTTTGAGCTTCTTGAAACTAGAACACTCTCAACTCCATATAGTAACTAAAAATTTTTTCGGATAATTTCAATAGAAATTTGCGATTTTTTTGCCCTTGAAATAGTAGGAATGGGCAGAGAAGAGCCACACTTGGTGCATTTTTCTTAAGGGTGAGCATTTAGTTTTTCAATTCGGTGTTAATATTTTGTCTATTAATCGAATAAAACAAAAAAACGAATCCATTTGTTTTTTCGGTTTATAAAATCAAAGTTTTGGTTTTCGTATTTGGTTTTTCGGTGAAAATCGATTTTTTTTTTATTTTAAAATAATATAAATAGATCAAGAAGAAATTTTGTGTTATGGACTAGGAAGTGCTTCTAGTCAAAATGGTCTATATTAATCTGAATAAAATATAATAAATATTTTTTAAAATAAAACCTTAATTTCGTGGTCCATAATAGAAATACAATACATTTAGCAAATAAAAATAAAATAGTGGATCGCACTAAATAAAAAAAGATGATATTAATTATTGAGATCTTCCAATCATGATAGTCATACAAGCCAATGATCTATTAACTTCCAAGTTTTGGCATTTCTTATTAAAAAAAAAAAAACACCCATCAAATCAAATAATCTATCTAAATAATTTATATTGGAAAAATTTATATGTCAAGCACATAAAAATTGAAAAATTACCCATGTCACTCAAAATACAATCAATCCATTATATATGCTAAAGTATTGATTTTTTTTATTTATATTATTTAAAAACAAATTAAAATTGAAAAAAATTAGTTTTTGGTTTAAACTGAATTGAAAATTTCAAAAACAGAATCGAAATTAAAAAATTAAAATAAATTTTTCTTTTTTAATTTTGAGTTCAAAACCGAACTAAAATTAATATTTCGATTCGATTTAGTTTTTGATTTAAACCAACTCGTTCCTAATTTATCTCCTTTTGTAGAAGGAGGGCCAAAAAAAAAAAAAGAAGAAGAAGAAGAAGAAGAAGAAGAAGGGAGAAACCCATTGTTTTATCCTATTAAATTTGAGTTTCTTTTTTTTTTTTTTTTTCCTTCCTCGGCGAATTCAGAAAGTTTCCCATACGTCTAAATTCTAGTAGTTCAGTACTACGTTAAACCCTCTAAATGTAATTCAAAAGTTAGAATAGAAAAAGGAGAAGAGGTCTTAGATGGGAGTGGACCTTAATTTGAGTAATGTACCAGTAGTCAAGTCCAAGGAGCCTCAATGGGCTTCAAGAAATGAGGTGAACCCAATAACAAATAAATTGGACTTTTGAGTTTCTTACATCCAAATATTTTGGCATGAAGATTAATTATATCGAGGCTGGATTGTTCCTAAGATCCTCTAAACTTTACGTAAATGCTGGAAGCGGGTTCTTCTTGGGATTAAAAAAAAGAAGAAGGCAGTATTGCATATAAGTAATCATGTGATGGAAATAGAGAGAGGAGGAGGACAAGACAACAATTGAGAAACCCAAAAAATGTATGGAAGACCATGTCTCGTGGATAAACTTGTTCATGGACCGGGTAGCTAGACGGGCTAGGCCGGGCCTCGTAGTAATTGGAGGAGTCTGGACAAAAGTTTTCAACCCATTTGGGTGGCACTGTTCATGGGCCAGGCTCGATCCCCTCATTTTACCCACTGGACTGGCCCAGCCTGTCCAATTTAACTCATAAAAGAAAGTAATCCCATCGCTATGCCATATTTGTCCAGTCGCCGCAATATCCTTTACTTTTTGCTCTTTGGTTCATTTTTTCTGTTTCTTCCTCAGATCGTCTTTCTTGTCTTGTGCATAGACATCAGGACGTGCACATCAAGATTTCTTCTCCCTTTTTCATCAATATTTGGGGAGGGCTTTGGGCTAGGATGCCAGTCCGATTAGCGGCGTCGGGCCGGGAAAAAATAGTCAGGGACTGATGTAGGCTAGGTCGGAATCCGACCTTTCGCAGCCCATGAACAGTTTTAGTCATGGATGACATGGTTGTGTTTGGATTTCCTTAAATGAGGTTAGTAGATACGGGCTAACGGATTGTCATTCAAGCTTATCATTTAACCGATTTTTTTCAAAAACATACCAAAAATGGTAGGACTGATGTAAGATCTTGCCACAAATCTATTTATTGGACCAATCGATAGCCTGCAGTATGTAGAAGATAGATATGCAATATTTAAAAGATTATGATAAATCAAGTATTTATACTTTAAAATCAAGTACAAATTAATTATGATAATATCATAGAGTACAAATTATAAAATTAATTTTTTTAATTGATCAACAGTACAAGTTATAGCATTAAGTGTATAACATATGCTATACTATTAATATATACCAGTAAATAAGGTACAGCTCGATTGGTATTAGTATTATTATATTTCAAAAGGTTTCAAGTTTGAATTTCTTTTTTATATATATGTTAAAAAAACTATATATGCTAAATAGAGACCGTCGCTAATTGGAAAAATAATTTTTCTTACGGACAAAATAAAATGAGGTAAAAGTAACAATTTTAAAATAATCAAAATCTTGTAAACGTAAATTTTTATTATTCGAAATGTATTAAAACGCCGCTAAATAATTAAATGATTATTAAATAACAAAAAACGAGTACATCGACTTGCGATTAATACAAGAAAACGTAAAAGCTAAAATAAATTTATTAATCCCTTCTACAAAATGCTCATTTAATAATCTACCAGTTAATCTAAAGTCAATCCAAGAGCGATCCGAATTCATTTTAAACAAAATAGTAATCAAGTAATTGTAATAATTATTTTTGTAATTACTTAAAACACTTTTATTACTAAATCTCAAATATTTTTTTTGTTACACACAAGTTATTTTTTAAATAAACAAGCAAAGTTTATATCAAAATTTTAAATACAACTTAATTTGTTTAATTACTAACAATTACTAACAATTACAAATATTCTAATAACTTTATTTTTTATCTATTTAATATACTTTCGAAAAAACTAAAAATTTTTTTAATAATGCAATAAAACTATATTCAACAAGTATATATTAATTTGTTTAATACGACTTATTTTTAAAATTAATTAATATGGATTTAACATATTTGTCATAACTTAATTTTTTTATCTATTGAAAATAATTTCGAAAAAATGCTATTTTTTTTCTTAATTAATATTGTAGTTACTTATCTATTTAACTAAATGAACAACTAAATATATAGGCTTAATATTTAATCAACAAAATAACAATATATTACAATTTAATCACTTAAATAAATTAACGAGTTAGCGACTACACTAATAATAATAACAATAACAATTAAAATAACAACATAAAATAAAATATAACAATTATATTTTCTAACTAAAATAATTAACAATAAATTAAAGTAAGTAAATTCACAATTAACAATTAAATTAATTCAATCAACAACTAAAAATAAAAATAACAATAAATTTAAAAATTAACAATAATATTCAATTAATCAAGAATTAACAACAACATTAACATAACAATTAACAATTAATATTAAATTAACAATTAAATATTTCAATTAACTATCACAATTTACACTAAAATAACACATCAAATAAATTTTAATTAAATAATCAAGTTAAAAAACACATGCAATAAACAATCAATTCAATAATTAAACTAACAATAATAAGTAATTAAACAAAAAATTAAAAAAGAAACAAATTATTTTACTTAAATAAATAACTGAAAAAATTAAAAATTTAAAGGATGGATTAGATTTACGTGGACTTGTCACTAAGAGAAGGATGAGAGCGGGTAGCTACCGTCGGTGAGACCTCGTCGAAATATAGTCGTCGAAAAATGGCGAGGTTCAACGGTAGAGAGAAAGATTGAAAGGATGAGGAAAAAAGGAAAGAAAGAGGGAGATTTTTAGGATACAAAAGCTTTGAGGAAAGAGAGGAGAAGTTTGGAGCAAAAAAACGGCAGATTAAGTCGCTACGGAGGAGAAGAAGAGAGGAGAAGAAGAGAGAATTCTATATTTCCGTTTGACTAGAACTTATAAAAGGTAAAGTTTTTAGCAACGGTCCGTTCTTCGTTAAAATTAAATTTGATCGTTTTCCACCAACGGTTTACTTTTAGTGACGGTCACATTGTTTGTTTGCAACGATTATTTTAGGAAAACCGTTGCAAAACATAAATTTAATTACGTTACCAACGGTTTAGCGACGGTCATAAACCGAATATTTTTACAACGGTTTAAAAATATCAAACTATTGCTAATCTGGGGTATCTCGCCTTTTGTTTCAGCCCGACCCCATTTGGTAAAAGATCAACGACGGTCTAGATGTTTATTTTTTTTGCTACGGTTTTTTTAATAGAAAACCGTTGCAAAAATATTAAATAATCTTTAGCAACGGTTGTGACCCGTCGCTAAACCCAATTATCTCCTTAGCAACGGTTTACCGACGGGTTAGACCGTTGCTAAATTTGCAACGGTTTATTTTTCATGAAAACCGTCGTTAAAACGGTTAACCTTTCAAGTTAGCAACGGATTTGTAGACCGTTGCTAAAAAATGATCGTAAATTAAAACATTTGTAACCATTTTTTAGACCGTTGCTAAAATTAGTAAAACCATTGCTAATTTTAGTCTTTAGCGATGGTTTTGTGACCGTCGTTAAAGTTTCATCGCTAAAAAATATTTTTCTTGTAGTGTAATATTTCATAGCTTTCTCTCGTTGCTTTTGTTTTTAACAAAAGCAAGATACATTGCTTAACTTTTTTTTTTTAATAAAAAAAAACTATAACTAATCACCTTTTCTTCAA